AATCCCAACAACAAAACAAAGATTTTATGAATACATAGAGGATATTTGTTTAGTTCAGTGTAAGATCGGAATATATTTCACCGAGTGAGCACCAAAAGGTATATTTCACGAGTGGCGCAGCCACGAGTGAAATATGAACTTTTGGTGTTCACAAGGTGAAATATATTTCGATCTTACACTAAACTAAACAAATTTTCTTTTTATTATATGCAAAGAAACGTTTTAAAAAGACATTAAACCTCATACTGAATGAAAAGCGCGCCAAAAAATTATACAACGTGACGTCATTTACGACGTCACGTCATTAAGTTGGTACCCAGTACTGTGCACGCTGGTATTTCACTGAAACAACGTAAGGGGCTTAAATTCAAAACAGTGAAATTATCAAAGTGGTAATTTCACTGTTTCAAACAGTGAAATTATCAGTTTTATATCACTGATATATTTCTATAAACCACCGAAAAGCATGTAATAAAAGAGTTTACACAAACATCCTAGTAATTCTAGTTTTGCAATTGCTCAATTCATAGGATAAGTTACAAATAAAATAATTGAATTAAAACAAAGAAAATTCATGCATAATTATTTCATATACATGTACAAATGTACATATATTTCTATTTCAGGAATGTAGTCATCAGTTCTCGGATGAAGAATTATTACGGAGAAAGGTTCAATCCCTGATGGATTGTTTCCTTGAGTCTTTCACAACACCTACACTACAGGTATCATTGTGCAAGTATTGTTATTTCAATGAAAAAAGTCTGAGTATTTTGTATATAATGCAACTGAACATAATTCTGTAAAACATTAGATCTTCTCTAAAAAATACAGTCCAGACTGCACAGCCATTAAATTACCAGAGAGTCTTCTTCTGGTACATACTGTTGTAGAGGTTGTGTAAGACCAAATGCAGGCTTAAGTTGTGGTCATATTGTTGACCAGCAATAAACTTAACAAAGAGACCACAGATTTCTTCTAAAACTAACTTTGTTTTGTAACTGCTAATAAATTTTTAATGTAGCATTATCTTCTATCCATTATATAATTACTGGTGTTAAAAACTAAGAATATATTCCTTATTGTATACTGTAGAGAATGGGGGCATGTTATTTTATATGCCCCTGCTAAAGGGGTTGGGGTATATAGATTTGCCATTGTTGACCTATCACACCGTCCGCCCATTGACTGACTGTGGAATGTTGTGGCATTTATGTCCTGCCAATACATTTCTAGTTGTAAATTTATGCTAGCATGATGATTTATTTTCAGATTGATATTAATGGAGAGTTACAACAGAAGACGGTACGATCTGCACAGAGGTACCTCTCTGGGAAAGAAGTATTCTCTAACATATTTGATGAGGCTCAGCTGAGTGTATTTAAGGAGTTGCTGCCGTACTGGGCTGGTTTCAGGAAAACATACTCCCCTCCTGATGATCCCAATAAAAAACCTGGTAAATTTATCATGTTAATTGATATTAAATCGGAGAAAAATTTACTGTAATTCTTGTAAAATTATTAGTTGGTATGTTTACTTTTAGAAGAGCTTTCTTCAACTGGAGGCAGGATTTAGTGTAAAATATGCAAATTGTGTTTTAATTATTTACAGTGATACAAAGAAAATACATGTAACAAAATCTCACAGTCTTAGTCTTACATTTCAAGTCTCAAATGTAACAATACTCTAGGATGAAATCATTTAAATATGCATGAAGAATTCTAATCTTAATTACATGTAAGTGTAAAATGTTGTGAAATTTATAGAAGCGATTGTAAAAGTTATCTTGAAGAGCAATTTCATTTTTAGTGACATTTTACATTTTGTATGTACATTAGTTGTAAAATAACATGAAAAACTATCATTTTTAGAAAAATGTTTGCTGTTAATAATATTAAAAAGAATTATTTTATGTATAAATTAAAACATTTATGTTACAGTCACCAAATATCAGAAGATGTTAAAGAAGCGTATGGAATCTATAGATAACTATGTCATCCCACCAAACGAGTTTCAACTGCCATCCATACCAGAGGGCGCCATAGCGGCCTTCACTTTCTCATTGTCAGACGGTGTGAAATTGAGGGTAAATATTATTTTATATACATATATATGTATTCACTTGTTTGATTCCTTTATTCTGGTCCCTTAAAATGTTTTCTTAGCTGTTTCTTTTTTTAACTTGCATGTAAAATTACTAGAGGTGATGTAATAATGATGTCAGAAATATTATATCCACCTAATGTGTTCTCCTTCTTTTGATATTCATGTTTTGTTTATTAATCTTCGGAATTTTATATCAATGTAAACTAAAGCGTACCTGAAATGAGTTGTATAAAATTTTTGTGTGCAAGGCAACATGAAGATATAAATATGATCAATCCTGTAGTAGAAAATGAGGTTAATGTAATTTCTTAATTGGTAGGTTTAATATACATTGTACAAATGTAATTTAGAAATTTGAATACTTGACGGTCTTCCTGTTATCATTGCTTCATTTGGCTGTAATTTACATTGATATCATGACTTTTAGCTGTCACAAGCACAATACACAAGTACTGAAGAAATTAGATACATGTATTACAAATATAGAATTTTGATATCAGTATCTTTAGATATCATATCACAATTTTTTTTTCATACAAAAGCAACAAAGAAATTAAATATTACAAATGTTGTGTTTTTGATATCATAATTTTTAGATATCACAAATATTTCACAATGATATCATGTTTCAGCCAGTGTCTGCCCTGTCTTTATCTGATCAGGGCTCAGAACGTAGTATGGCCGTGTCTCACGGTCGGGGCAGGCGTAAATCTAGTGTCGCAAGTATGAGCTCAAACCGAGGATTTGCTGGTATGAGGCAATCCTTGCCTAACTTAGCTAGGGCCAGAACCAAGAGTTCTGAGAGCCTAAGTTGTTAAGATTTGTGGTGAGTGTAAGCAGAAAGCAAAATATGATAAACATAGAGCCAAATTAATGCACCCAGAACTTAATTGTTTGCAAGATAGTAGTTGTGTTTTGTAGACCATGCTAAAAATAAAATTGTATACATGCTTTTAAACACTGAATTGTAAATAGAACACATTGAGAGCTTTATTCAGTACAGTTATACCTACATTATATATATATATTTGTTTAAAGGTATAACCTTTATGCACCAAATACTTGACATACTAATTCAAGGGGTTGGGTGCTTTATGGTTGTAAGGTCCTACTTTATGTAATATCAGTTACAACCATTTCACACTGAACCCACAAAAGGTATTTATACAAGTCAAAAAGTAATTTGATGTAATCTGAACAATCTGTAGTATATTAACCAGTATACCAAGATGTTAGAATAATTGATTTAGGGTGACAGCTACTTGTTTTGTGTGATTTTGAATGTTGCTTGTATTTTGTTTAGAATTGCTATTATGAATAATATTGAATAATTATGAGCATTTATGAGGTATACTTTATATACATGTATATCTAACATGATATATTTGAAACATTCAACAAAACAGCATAAAAGAACTTTTTGATGATCAATTTTATAAGTTTTTTGCATAATATACAAAAAGAGGAAAATAGATTTTTAATATAAGATTTGATTCAGAGAGTTTGCAAAGTGATCAGAAAACATACTTTTATTTATATCAAATTAAAGCAAGTTTTTCAAACTGATATCCTAGATTTCTAAATGTTAGTGATTTTTTATGTATGATTAAGAAACTAAGGAAAGAAAAGAGAGATGATGATTCAATAGTTTAATCATATATAAGTCAGGTGTCAAGGATTAAGCCATGTTCTTGATTTGACTACATATTTATTTAAATCACATTGGATCAGGCTAGAACACAATGGGATATTTTGACATCAAAGTTAATTTTATGAATTGGCAGATTTCTGTGAACACGTAGAAATATATTTTGTATATACTGGTAGTAAAGGACTTGCAATGTAAAAAATGCTTACAGGGGGTCAAATCGTGTTCACCATATGGTACCATTATAATGTACAGTTAATATAACTATGTATGATATATTTGCCAGTATCTAGAGAGAGATGGTTTAAGTGATGATGGATACCAGGTACCAGCTCTATGTCTCTCTCACTAGTCTGTCAGTCAACAAAATAGTCTCTACTCCTTTGTTTAAACCCATAATCTGCTGAATTTGTGCCCAGTCTATTTTTTTGAAACAATCCATTTGAAAATTCGGGGTTTTCAATATCAAAATACAAAAATTATGCAACAAACGGTATAGAGTTTGGTCAGACAGCATGGACATGCAGGCTGGCCGGGCTCTACACTGGTGGCAAAGGCTGACCACTTATAGTTCAAGCAGGTTATGGAGTTCAGATTAATTGCTTAAAAGTGCAATCTCATTTTTCTCCTGTTTTGTTTTAAGATACTTACTTTTAATCTACTTTGAAAATTCTTATACCTGGTAACAAATGATAATTAATTTAGATAGTTTGTTTTGATTTTTGTTTTATCTCTATTTATGCTTATCTTTTATTGACTAGACATCATAATTTTTTTTTATTTCAAAATTAATGACTAAAATGAATTTTGTACAACTAAAAATAATATTTACAAATATGAAAAAAAGTCTCTACTTCTTTCTGAACCTGTACTGTTACTATCACGAAAATCAATAATTATTGCTCTATTGTATGCTAAGCTTTTTAAAGCTGTGGTAAACTTGAATCCCTAAATTTCTGAGCAATAGCTGAACTTTTCTGCAGATCTTTTATACTTTATGTTTTCCAGTTCCTAAATTATGAAAAAAAAAATAAAATTGTCTCTTGTAAAACAAATACATCGTACTATTTAAATATTCTATTTTAATTGACATTTTGGGTCTATAGTGTTAATGGGTAAAGAGAACATGCAGATTAAATATAACTTTATGTAGATGTATATTTCTGAATGATAATCAACATGAAGCATATAGTAAGTTATGCATCAGTCAGTTGAAATATTGTACCATCCCAACCCCCAGAAAAGTAGAGGAAGTTAGGTATGAGTTTCCCTTTTATTTTACCTCCTTTTTGTCCACACACAGCATGCTTTATTTTGGAAGTAAAAGAGTGTGGGATATTTCAATTGGAGACAGGGGGCATTTAGCAAGGATATTATAATCTGATGGTGCTTTTTAATTTCTAAATGATAATGTTCTTGCAATACCCAGGGAAAGAGGGGATGATGTTCAGGGTTGCAGTTGACTGTTGCAATGAATACATAGACATACATAGACCAGCATTTTGATATATAGACAGTGCAAATAACAAGTTTTCAATTTAATCATCAATTAAAGGAACGATCTCAAAAAATGACACTATTTACAACTAATATTTTCTGACTTGTTAACTTATAGGAAGATGCTGTAAGTATATACATGTATATTTCATGATTTTATTTGTATACTGTTTTAATATTGTTCTTTTTTTAATCTGACCTATTTTATACTTATTGTATACTGACCTCCTGTATTCCAGCTTTGGTTTTGGGTTTGCTAGACATATTTCAGAGATAAAATGTTTTACATCTCAGTAAAAGTGAAAGCTCATCAAGATTGTTTAGAGCAGAGCTTTGAGGAACAATATTTTAATTTTCCCTTAGTTCCATTAAGTTTTGATTTTATAACTATAAATGCCTTGCTATTGTTGAAATGTAAGTTATATTTATAAAACAATAATTGTATTGTGTGTTTATTGTTTTAATCAGATAAGATTTTGAGTTTGGTGTGAAATTTTATTGCTTTTGAAATTGAATTGCAAAGTAAAGGAAAAAAAGATTCAAAATATCTTATTGCTTGCATTGAATTTTTTCTACCACTGGAATGTAATAATATTTATTTATTCACTTTATCTAGGTTCCCCTATTTCATTTTAGTTAGGTTACTAATTCTTAAGAAGTCATTAGTGTAGAATTCTCAATGGCAAGGCTTCCTGGCAATACAGTGTTGACAAAAAGTTAATAATGATGTATGCAAAAATGTACTAGTGAAAGGGGATAAAATATGGTGGAAGAAAAATTAAGTACATTGTAAAATCTTATTTGAAGCTAACATAAACTAAATAGTTTATTACATTGTATTTACCTAGTTATTGATGTACAATTTGTAGGATAAAACATTAGAAAAAGAATGATTCCTTTCATATTTTCTAATCATAGTAAAAAGTGCTTGTTATGTATCCATATCTAAATGTTAAAAAGGGTTTTTAGAAATTAAATTAAGGATAATAGATGTTATCTGAAATTGGCAATCATGAATTTTTCCTATCTTATCAGAGGGTACAAGGGGTACAAACAAGCTTTTTTTAATTATATGTATTAGCTTCACAGTGCAGAACCATTCACAATAAAGAGTATTACACTTAAAATCAATATATATTCCAAGTTGTTACAGTAAAAGTTTGCTTGTACCCCAGGATTAACTGGGAAAACGCACATTTGCTGAGTTCCAGTGTATCCCTATTTTACCATGTCTTAATAGTTTATTATCAGAAATATGCTTTGTCAAACCTGTAAAAAAATCAAGTGCTATCAGAAGTCAGTGCTGTTTCATTAAAGATAATGATAAATAGATGTATACATATAAGTTTTGTATTTTATTCATAGTGCAGGTCAGTTGCAGATGCATAGTAACACATAAACTGTTATAATAATCTAGAAATTCGTCATTTATTAGGACTTATAATGCTCCAGTTAGTTGTAACCATAGCCCACCAACAACGCTTAAGACAGCAGGGAAAATGAGCAAAGTTTGAAATTTTATGGTTTTGTTTTGGTGCCAAAATGGCCAGGGGAATATATCCAAATTGCAGTGCTGGACTTTTAATGGGATTTTACAATCTGGCTGTCTATGCAGGCTTTTGAGATCCAAAAGTCACAATCCCTGCTATTCTGTAGGGATGGCAGTGCCCTGGTTACAACTGATAAGTGCATTACTGGTTATGAAATTTCTCATGTAGTTATTTTAATCACTTTATATACATGTACATGTTTATATATCTATATTATATCTATTTATATTACCTTTCCTACATTATATTTACTTTTCTATTAAATGCATACAGGATTATTGGGTGAGTTGTAAAGCACTGAGTTGTTAATTTCAGTTTCTTGATGACATGTTTTGTGAAACAAAGTTTCTTTGTTTTGTTTACAAGAAAAGCATTATAGAATAGTTAGGTTTTAGGGTTTACACTGTGTCAGTAATTGAATATTTTGTTTACCAAACAGGAAGATTCATTCATGGAAAATGGCCGAGTTTGGTAGAGCATCATGGGTAATAAACTGCTCAGACTATGTCAATATGTGCTTGTCACTAACTTGCAATAAGGTCAATGTCACTAAATAACATTTCAAAGGTCATTGTCATACACCAAAGGTCAAGGTCATAAACAAAAAGGTCAAGGTCTTTGTAGTAACTTTCATCATCATGCTTTCTCACATCATGAAGCATGCAGCATTGCTGTACTGACAATCGTAAATGTTTTATTTAAAATGCACAGTGCTTGAAATATGACAATTATATGGCTTATTGTCATTAAATGCTTTCTTACCTGTCAAATGCTTTTAGATTAATTCCAATAGATTATAAAGTATTATTTAACTATGTATTCACAGCAATCTAAATATGCAGCTTAAATCTAAAGAATGGAATAGAAAATATTGTAGCAGTAAAAGTTAATTAATTGACTTGTTTGCATACTTGAAATCTTGTTTAGAGTATCAGGTATGTAATTGTTTTATGTATTATAATTTGCAGCATTCAGATACAGCGTCGGATATATCACATGTACGCTATATTTATATTATCCTATATTGGTGGAGTACTTATTGTGGATTAGGGAAAACTTTAGCAATTACCTCCCTTAGTTCTATTTTTAGAAAAATCCCCAAGGTTCTGAACTAGTGCTGTAAAATAATGTAGTAAAATCAGTTAAAAGAAGTTACTTTTGTGTTTATGTACAGTTGTTTTTATTTTAGTATAAAATAGTATAATAGCTTTACATGAGAACTCTGTCACTTTTGTGGTCTACGTATGCACAAATACAGCACATACAGTATCCTAGCTAACGGGCATAGTTCTAATCACAGGAAGCTTCAGGTCATCCTCAGGTTTTTTTTCCTTGTCTCTTATATAAAATACTGTACATTAATGTCATACTAGCTGCATAAAGCAACATACTTTCATCAGAACTTTGCTTCAAAACTATCTGGATTAAAGGTTATGACTGATGACAGGTCATTATTTTTACAAACTTAAACTTTGTCACTTTGGAGGTTAGATGGAGCCTAGCCCTAAACCTGCTAAATTTATGTAATGAACTTGCCCTGCTTTGAATTTAGAACAATCCATTCAAAGTTAAAGGGATTGCAATATTAAAATACAAAAATTGAATTACCAACAGTATACCTAGCATAGATTTGCAAGCTTGCAGGGGTCTTTATTGGTGGCAGAGGCTAATCACTTCCAGCAGGTTATTGGCTATTCAAACATGAACTGTCTGTTTTTGTGCAAAGTTATGTTTTTTTTATTCAATTTCTTCACAAAGATATTTTTCTTACATTTTACAACAATAATTATTTCTGTCTTGTCATGACTGAATTGGGTTGATTTTGGGTATTGCTTTCCTGGGATTGTAGTCTTCCTGGGGGTGTTCAGCTTTCCTTCCTCTGTTGTTGTGAATTTCTGTAAAGCGAAAATATCAGAATGGGTGATATGTTGTAATATTATGTTTAGATTAAGAATATATCTTCTTGTCTTTAGTATGGGTAATTCAATTTTCAATTTTTACAAAATGCACATTTCTTGTCATAGTCATGTTATATAAAATTAATGTTAAAGTTAAAACCATATAAGAAAGAAGCAGTTTAGAACTCTGTGGAAAAAGTATTTTTATTTGTTAAAACAATTTAGTACCTTTATTTTAAATAAGTATTGTTGGTTAAATGATTTAGGTTTTTAATCTAAATTTATCATTATATTGTCTGACATTGAATGAATATTGTATAAAATATAATGTATTTAAATTTTTGATATTTCCTAGTGAATAATATAACAAGGTGAGTATAAGTTGCATACTCTAGTCATGTGATACTCTAGTTTGGTCATGTGATACTTTTAGTTTTGATCATGTGATACTCTAGTTTGGTCATGTGATTTTGTATACCTGGTCATGTGATCATATATGTGACAATATATCATGGTATAAAGGACATTAGTGGACACTGTGTGTAAATTATATATCTTCCACCTATCTCTTGGCAATTTTCTTTGTCACTTCTCTAGAAATGGATTAGTTGTTTTTCTGCCCTTTTCAGGTTCAGATATAATCTTTCTCATTTTGGCGCCATATGACCTAAATTTTGTTTGTGCACTGTAAAATCAAACGAAACAAAGATTGAGAAATTTATGAAAAAAATTTTTTTTCTTCAAACATCGAAATCGATTATATAATTTATGGTGTCTGATTATAAACTGCAACTTATTTGACTAAATCATATTCTAAAAATAAAAATGTCATGTTCAAAAGATTTATGTAAAGGGTTTGGATTGAATGCTTCCTTTTCATATGACTATTTATGAAAATAAAACATTTGATAATGCTAAAGGGTCGTTGAAGTTACATAGTGTATTATATAGAACTTCTTTCTATCTTTCTTACTTTTTCTCAAATCTTTCTTCCCTTTATCACTGGTAAAGCATTTTCTGAGCAAATTGTTAATTGGGATGATATGGATATTCAAAATACATATACTTGAATATTAAGTACTTGAATGTAAAGAACTGCTAATTCAACTCATTTCTCATGGATGATTATATTTAACTCATGTTTACATGTAAATATAAATTTACAAAGTGGGTAGGAACAAATTTTACTAGTATTTCTTCAAAGGGATATACATAACAGTAATTAGAAATAGAATAAATTTCTTCACTAATTTGCTCAAAAGTTCAATATCCATTCTGTATACAAACAACCTTTTTTGTAAATTTCATCATGTTCTGTTTGCAAGCATGTAAAAATTTATTATTTGTATATGGAAGAAGGTTTTCTTAGATATTGGATCTTCAAAAAGAATATGTATAGGTGATGGCTTCTCATCAGTTAGGCATTATACATTTATAACAGAAAAATTGGAACATTGCTTCTCATTTTAGCTTCATGTGATATTATTTACTTTGATTTACAAACTGATATTTATATAGTTAAAAAAATAAACATTAACTTAAATTATTTAGCTTTGACTCTATAATGAAATCACATCAGCCTCTGTGCTACAATTAGGTTATAGAAATATTGTTTATTTTGTTCATTATGTTAAAAATGAGTTGATGGAACAGATGTATTTTAGAAGCATGTAAGGCAAACTGAATAGAATATGTATAATATCCTAGTAGCTTACAGTATATACCTGCAAATATTTATGTTGCTATGTAACATTATCAAGCATCATGTAACCATGGATACCTCATGCTTGGCTATAAATGCTTATTATTTATTATAATTAAATAAGTAACTGATATAATTATTCTTAAAGCAATTCTTAGGTCTATTTTAAATATATACATGAAAATTGTGGTTAAATTTTACTTTTTAGTTCTTCTACATGGAAAGTTTTTTTCTCTGTCTTTGTCAAACTTGTTGATATTATAAGTACAATAACATTAACAATTATTAGTACAGTAATGGCACTGAGAGATTATTTTGATTTTATTGTGAACAAATTTAAAACTTGATAAATATTTTACAGGAGCTGACACAAGGAGAGGAAAATAATTTAGCATATGTGATGGACTCGAGTACCCGAGGCAGTAAAACAGACATACTGAGTAAAAACCGTGCCAGCATTAGTTCAGTGAACAACCCAAGTAGCACCTCGTCAAAGAAAGAGAACAGCTCATTATCAGCCAAATCGTGATACCAGACAAATTTATTTATGCCTAATGTTTTATGTTGTCTTACAACAATGAAAACTGTCATCTACAAATCTGAAAACTGTCATCTACAAATCTGAAAATTGTTGTCTGCAAATCTGAGAACTGTTGTCTGCAAATCTGAGAACTGTCATCTACAAATCTGAAAACTGTTGTCTGCAAATCTGAGAACTGTTGTCTGCAAATCTAAAAAAACTGTTGTCTGCAAATCTGAAAACTGTTGTCTTTAAATCTAAAAACTGTCGTCTGCAAATGTCAACTACATTATGAAAGACTGTCTTGCTTCCATCTGCAGCAATATAAGACATGATACAATAAAGAAATTCTGATTCTCTGTATAATTTATCGACATCTGCTGGAAATGAAAATTTTAGTCTGTCACTACAGAAGACAGGGATATACTAAAATGCTTGCTTCTGAAATGCTGTTTTAATACTAAGTCTGTATAACTGTCATATGCTGCAACCGAAAACAGTTGTATAATACATTGGTACATGTACTGAACATCATTCTGTTTGATTTGAAATTTGTCATAAACACATTGTCAAAATCTGAAAATGTCATCTGCCACAATTGAAAGCCACAATGTTAAATTTATAATCTAATAATTGTTAGTTGGAGCAAAATATAATTATTGGCATTCAATATAAACTATCAGCTGTTATATTTTAAATATGTAGATGTTTGTTTAAATCAATTTCATCAACATACTAGATTCTTCATGTCAACAGCCTGATTTTTATTTTCCCTCTCATACATTTATTAACTTTTTTTTATTATTCATTATAAGAAAGTGTTCTTCTGAATTAATAAACATACTAAATATCTGCTTAAAAAACCTAATTGAATACATGTGTTTGTATAACTTAAAATTATATTTTTTTTAGATATTTATAAGAATGTTACAGATATATTTCATATTTAAATTATTATTTCAAAGCTCACTGTGATACTAATGTATTTCTAGGAAATGTCATATATTCCAATTAGCATAATTCTTATGCCTTACAAAATAATGATTATTTGTTGTACTCTTATCATGGAATATTAAAGTATTTTTATTTTTTTTATTTTTATTTGTTTAGTTGTAACATAATAATTCAGGGTATATTTGCTTTATTAATGACTACTAGCTGAATCTGTGATATAATTATAAAGTTTTTGGAGCATTTTTAATAATTATGTAATTTGTTTAACATTAAATATTTATTTTTTATGATGAAATCGCTTTCCATGTCTTGTTTGTTTACATTAATACCATTTTTTGTATTGGTTGTTAATGTTTGGACCAATTTAAGTATGACCAACATTTTCTTGTTTAATAACCCATATTATACTGGATATGTTTAATCTGGCAATTGATTCTACCCATACAACCAAATTCAACTAGTGCAGACCATTATTAGTGTTGTCTTTTCATGAGTCAACACTGCTATTTACTCAGTATATATTTTGAAATTTTTCCTAAAAGTGATGAATGGATTAGCCCAGATTGAAAGAAGAAGAAGTCTATTTAAGAAAAGTAAGCATAGTAAGTTAGGGACTTATGATTTAAATTTGGAAACATTGATTTAAATTTGTAGGGGAAATATACTTAGGCAACAGTAAAGGGGTCTTGCCTGACTGATGACTTACTCTTCATTTATGGCAGTGTTTGTTATGTTAAAACCAATGGTTAATCTGAAAGTGCTATTATACATTTTCTATCTTCAGTGCAAAATCATTGTATCTACAGCTTTACTTACATGTGGTTGTAATGGTTATGCATCTAATGTGTCAGAATATTTTGAGAGTACATTTTTCATTTATTCATTTTCGTTCATTGATAAGTTTTTTCAATTATTAGAGCACAGTTATTGTTTTATTAAAATTTTAGAGATGATGTGAACATTTTATTGTATACATGTATGTACATTTAAACTTTTTTTCTGAATGATGTTATTTTTTACATAAAACTTTCACAATAAAAAAGTGTGAATACTCATTCCTGTGTTATGCTTTGTCATGCCATTAAAGTTTATTTGGAGACAAAGCCTAAAATTCATTTGAGCCGCCTCATGACAAAACCAACAGTGCGTTTGCAACCAGCATGGATCCAGACCAGCCTGCACATCCACGCAGTCTGATCAGGGCTTACAAACCCTATTACAAGTAGAGAAACTGATAGCAAACAGCATGGATCCTGATCAGACTGCGCGGATGCGCAGGCTGGTCTGAATCAATGCTGGTCGCAAACACAGTATGATGGTTTTGTTGTGACGCGGCTCATTTACATTATTATCAGAAATTATTATCTCCCCTGCCCGCCATTTTTTTGGGTCATTCCCAGTATATTATATGCTAAAGATAAGTCTCTCATAATTTTATCATCTTCATGAAGAGTGATAAAAATCTTACATATATTACATTTGATGGTTTCATGATTTCTTTCCTTTTCCTGCTACATTTTTGAAACAGAAAGATCTGTTATATTTTAATGTTACAAAGTTACCTTTGAGCAGATGACAATATATGAGGCATACCTAGCTATAAACTAAATGCATAGGTTCATTATGATCACATTAAATGATCACAATGTATATAAATGTAAAGTCATGGTGTGTATTAAAGAGCTTTTTTGATGGTCTAGTGGTTAAGTTGTTTGCCTAGCGACGTCCATGGCTGAGTGGTTAAGGTTGTTGACTTCAAACCACTTGCCCCTCACCGCTGTGGGTTCGAATCTTGGCAGGGACTTTGGATTCTTTCAAGTGAGGAAGCTATCAAGCTAGCTTACGCAACGTTGGTGGTTCTACTCAGGTGCACGTTCGTGCCTAAAATAATGCACAGAAGGGCACCTGAGGTCTTCCTCCACTAGTAAAGCTGGAGCGTAGCCAAATGACCTATACTGTGTCGGTGTGATGTAAAACCCAATCAAAAAAACAAACAAGTTGTTTACCTCTCACTTCTGGACTCAATACTTTCAAGCCCTACTGTGGTCATGAGCATGTTCCCTTGTATGACACCAGCACTGGTTAGTTTCCAGGAAAGCAGACTCAAAATTGGTTCAATTAAGCTCTCTAGTCTTCACCACAATAAAGCTAAATCAAATATATTAAAACTAAATGATAAAAAGATGCTCATCAAAATGTTTGTAAATTTTTAGCCTTTGTAAGCATGGACAAGGTCTTTCACTTAATTTGCTCTATCAATAGCAGGTAATACTCTGGATTCAAGCACAATTTCTTTAACAGTTTCAATACAATTATTTCTACCACTTTAAACCTTACAATACAGAACAACAAAACTTTCTTTTAGCCTTTAAAATCATGCTCAAAATCTGAAATAAGTGTTTTTGAATAAGTTTTACTTATAAATTAAGAAACAACATTTCCCTCAGCAAGTTACATTAAAATTTGTACTGTAATGTTTTAAGTCTACAATGGACCTCCAGAATGTTCTTATATGCATGTTTAGGAAATAGGTATCAATTCTGATCGTTTTAGAATAATGCATGGTTTGAATTCAAATGCGTAGTAATATTTGAGTTCAAATGCGAAGTAATATAATCACGAAGGCCGATAGGCCCGAGTGATTAATTACAAAGCATTTGAACGAAAAACCATGCATTATTATATTGTAATGCACGAAGAATTAATATCTATTTACATTCTAACATGTCATAAAAAAATATAATAATTATTATATAGTTGGACTTTGTTTGGTGGTTAAATTTGTTTTCTCTCCAGAAGTTTCCAATAGAAATGTTCTTTAAAGACCGTTCCAGTTGTTTGAAAAAAAAAACTGTTGTTAAGTCTACCATGTGTAGAAACATTTTGAGAACAACAAATTTTGAAAACGCTTATAAAGTTTTGTTTCCTTTAATAAAATATAAATCACACTATATTTTTCAAGCGAAATATAAAGTAATATTTATAATGAAATAAATGTGAAGTTTGACTCATTTGCGACATTGAAATAGGGTTCTTGTTTTGATTATTTTGCATGTGCTGTTAATTTTGTGCCACATTGTGATGTCATGTAAACAACATTTTAAACGTCTGTACAACATTACACTAAATTAAAGATATTGGTGTTCAGATTTATTTTCTTAGGCCATTTCTTAGGGGAATAAAAATGGAGAGTGCATTGTTGTGTAATATATCACGCTTCAGGCCTTCTTTGTTTATATAAGACAAATCTACTAGCATTAGAATCTGAAATAATGCACGGAAGGCACCCCAAGGTCTTCCTCCACCACTAAAGCTGGAAAACTGCCATATGACCTATACTGTGTCGGTGTGACGTAAAACTCAATCTAACAAACAAATATATGCATGTTTTATCTTATAAATTTGGCTGTACCTTTATAAACAGCAAGTTTCAAGAGGCTTTCAAATTAAGCAACAACTGTAAGGAAGACAGGATAAGTCAAGAAATACATGACTTCCATTAAAAACTTTTATTTTACTGATTTCTGACCTTCATTTATCAAAACATGTACTATATGGCACTAGAAATAGTTCTAAACTAATTACGGTCACTGGGTTATTAAATTTTTGTTTTTGCAACATCATTTACATGTATAAGTAAAACATAACAAATCAGTATATAAGTGAAACAAATTTATTTTATTTATAAAATATCAGTAACAGCAGTCTTTTACAATGAAACAATAAAAAAAATCATAAATATAACTATAGTATATATATGGTACTCTTGGTATAAAAAATCAGCAGTTCATTTCCACAATAAGCAATCAATAAATGAATACTGAAAACAATAAACAATACATAGAGGATATTCAAGTTTTTTCTATAAATACATGATTTATTTTCATCGAGTGGTATGAAAATAAATATTTCATGAGTGGCGGTAGCCACAAGTGAAATATGGTAGTTTTCATGCCACAAGATGAAAATAAATCATGTATTTATATAAAAAACTTTAATTTTCTGTTTATTATATACATTTTTCTCTTTTTTGACATTAAAATTTAAAAGACATCCCTTAAATTTGGGGAATTGGCAGAATTTACAAGAAAGTAGTCCGGCAAGACACCAGTGAAAATACGGAAAATACGTTTCACTGCAGTGAAAATTAAATTTTTACAGTGAAAATACGGAAAATGAAAATACGCATTTTATTTCATCAATATTTCTCAATATTTCATTTATAAGTATATAATAGAATATAATATATAGAGGATATTCAAGTTTTTTCTATAAATACATGATTTATTTTCATCGAGTGGTATGAAAATAAATATTTCATGAGTGGCGAAGCCACGAGTGAAATATGGTAATTTTCATGCCACAAGATGAAAATAAATCATGTATTTATAGAAACAACTTGAATTTTCTGTTTATTATATACCTTTTTCTCTTTCTGGCGTTAAAATTTGCAAGACTTTCCCTTAAATTTTGAGTACTGGCAGAATTTAAAAGAAAGTAGTCCGGCAAGACACCAGTGAAAATACGGAAAATATGTTTCACTGCAGTGAAAAATAAATTTTTACAGTGAAAATACGGAAAATGAAAATACGCATTTTATTTCATCAATATTTCTCAATATTTCATTTAAAAGTATATAATAAATACATGTATTCAACAGCAGTTAAGTTTCAGCATTTTTTTTTTTGGAATGTAAAATAAAAATATTAACACATACAAAAATAATTCATGGACGGCATCAATGTACAATTTAAATTTTAAATAATTTTATATAAATCTTTAAAAAAAAACAGAAGACATTTTTGGACAAGGAATGTATAAAGTATCACAGGGTAAACATGTTAATTAAATAAATAGGTATTCATGGACGGTTTTGATTAAAGACAAATCATTAACTTACATGTTTTATAAATACTTTTATTTTAAGGAGAAAGTTGCACTAATATCACAGTTGTGCCAAAATACCTGGTACAATGTATAATAATTTACACAGTATAGTCTGAAGAATTTTGTAAAATACATACATGCATGTTTTTATTTCTTATTCTTCAATATCAATAGAAAAATATTTTAATAAAACACTTTAAATAACCTGTAAGATTACTTAAACAAAGACAGACTTATACAAACTTTTTTAGGCAATATTAAGTGAATGAACTTCAAAAAGAACTTCAAAAAGAAATTTATAAAAACAAAAGCTTTGTGCAGGAATACTGGCTGAAAGATGTCCAGACACTATATACAGAGATAATACTTTACAGGCACATCTTCACTTAAAAACAAACCAACAAAAAACACATAAAATGTTAATGTCATCAGTGAAGTAAAACTCCAAACTCTATTCTAGCCAATTCAGGTCCATGTATTTGCTATACTGTTGGAGTAAAGATGACAATTCCATACCTTTAATGATAACTGTAAAACATCACTGAATTTTTGAAGCACCGATGAATTTTTGTAAATCCAGCAGAATATAAAAATAAAGTTTTTGACGTAGGAATATTGAATATGAAATTATTCATCAGGTTGACAGAGTAAAGCCACGCCCCTCATCACCCAGAAGTGTGGATCATGTTGTGATGGTAGGTTTACAGCGGTAACAAAGTTTGTAGAATGTCCGGTAGATGAGAGTGTTCCTGCCCGTTCTGATGTCCTATATAACGGACACTCGTACACAAACGCAGGTTTATCACTGCTTTCTGATACCCTTTCTTGATTGGTTTGTTGATAATCACATTGTGTTGTAGATCTAGATGCCTGTTTCTGAAAAATTAATTAAACTCCAGTTTATCATAGTTTTCAAGTCTGTATTGTCATTATTAAATTAATGTCATTAATAAAATAAGGGAGTACAGTGTAAGTACTGCTTTGTTTACTTCCAGCATCTTTAGTTGGTTTTCAAGTCGTATCAGCTTAATGAATATCAAATATTGGCTTTTAAAGCTTTTACTAATATGAGGAAGCCATGGGCTTCTCCGTGCACAAGTGTGAATGAACCTTAGTATATAACTTCTACTCCGATTTAATTACCCCTGGGGATGGGCAATTTTGCAAACAATTTTATCTGAATATTTAAAGTATCCCACTTCCCAATATTTACTCAATATAACATTTCTCATAAGAGTCAAAATACAACATAGTGATGTTGACCAATTGAAAGAATGTAAATCAGTTAAAATTGCTGATATTAAGTGACAGGTACAATGTACATTATGCCGACCTGAACTAGCTAGTTATCACATTTTTTCACAACATGGATTGGAGTTATTTTAATATATGTTTGTTTATCTTGTTTTTATGTCAATTTTAACATATTAATGATAATATTTCGGCCATCTAGAATCTACTAGTCTAGGATCGAAGTATCAGCCCCTGATTTACAAATCTGAAGCTTACTCCAATTAGCTAAGTGGGCATGTAACAAATACAACTGCTATGGATTAATTTTTACCAGTATTTAAGGAAGTAATTATTGTATTTTCAGTCAGAAAAGCCAAAACGACATTAAATTAGGAATTAATGGGAAACTTCTGACTTGTGTAAACTAGCATGTTGCATGACTGTTTATTAAGTTAAAAATGTTAATTTCAAATTTTATTATTAATTTAAATCTATAGCAGCAGCATAAGGCACAAGGTTTATATATTTATGCATTCTTGTTAACTTGGTAATTGAAATTAATAAATATCGTAGACGTTCGAAGTTATGGGACTATAATTATGGACTTAGATGACATAATGATTTCTAAATTTACCTGTACAGGTTTGAAATGTATCTGTGGCAGCTTAGAGAACCTCTGTCCTGGTAGTGAATCATTGAGACAACCTGAGTTCAAGTCCCATCTGGCACCATCAATAAATAATCCAAAGATCACTACTCCATCTTCTGGTGGCATGTTACCCTAAACAGATTAAAATTTTCTTTCAAAATAATTCTAATTGTAATCATATTGTACTAAATACATGTATATAAAGGTAAAATCTTTGATCATATTCTATGAATTTAATGTATCTGCAATGAATTTGCTGACAATATTGTTAGGAAAACAGTATTAAATATAAATTGAAAACAATTTTTACTGTTACATCAACCTATCTGAGTCCAAGAAAACATGTATTACAAAAAAAACCATTATAACTTTCCCTTATCATATGGAGCAAAACCAAAGATCAAATATAATTTCAATGAATTGATAAAGTAAAACAAGCAACATCATTAAGCCTGGTAAGACAGTATAGACAGGTGTGTTTGGGCTTAATGCGGGTCCATCCAACCTTTCATGCACTGAGAGTATGAACCCCAAAGTATAGACATGCAGGTTGTCTATGCTTAACAATGGTCCATCCAACCTTTCATGCACTGAGAGTATGGACCCCAAAGTATAAACATGCAGGTTGTCTATGCTTAACAATGGTCCATCCAACCTTTCATGCACTGAGAGTATGGACCCCAAAGTATAGACATGCAGCTTGTCTATGCTTAACAATGGTCCATCCAACCTTTCATGCACTGAGAGTATGGACCCCAAAGTATAGACATGCAGCTTGTCTATGCTTAACAATGGTCCATCCAACCTTTCATGCACTGAGAGTATGGACCCCAAAGTATAGACATGCAGCTTGTCTAGGCTTAACAATGGTCCATCCAACCTTTCATGCACTGAGAGTATGGACCCCAAAGTATAGACATGCAGCTTGTCTAGGCTTAACAATGGTCCAATCCAACCTTTCATGCACTGAGAGTATGGACCCCAAAGTATAGACATGCAGGTTGTCTATGCTTAACAAGGGTCCATCCAACCTTTCATGCACTGAGAGTATGGACCCCAAAGTATAGACATGCAGGGTGACTGACTATATACTGGTGACAGAAACAGATCATTGTTCATATGAGCATTCTAATAGTTATTGTTTTCCTACCTTAAATGCAACATCTTTGATATTAATTTTCTCCTTTAAGTCACTTAGTGACTCTAGTGTATCATTGGTTTTCTGTACTGTAAACTCAAACTGTAAGGAATCAACTGGGATACCAAGTTTTCTTGCATGACTTTGAAGAACTCCAGTCAAAAAACCTATCAAAAATTAAAAGACCAGACAATAGCAATGTTTATAGGATAGCAAGTGAAATCACAGAATAACAGCTTTTATATAGAAGAAAAAACTTCCATCTTAAGTTTTTAATATAATTAAATTTAATTCAAAATAAGGACCTTAAACTGCCAAATTTACAAACATGATCATGATTAAATCCACAAAAAAAAGAAGATAAATCAAACAACTATTTTCTAAATATATCATAATTTTAAGTATGCTAATGCTACATTAAATGGTGAATATTTTGATCCTGCAAATTTTTTCCTGGGGTGAGAATTAATATGCTATAAATAAATATCTATATCAATAAGATGGTATAATCAAAGACTGTTTACCTTGTGGGAAGAAAAATCCTGATAACCAGTAACTGTACGGCTGACACCTTGGCACTTCCTGTAGGTCTACCTCCGTTGTTGGGTTCTTAGACCCCAGTACTGGTTTCATAAGTTTCTCAACAGTGTTCAGCATCATCTCAGCCCACTGGGCAAAGAAATCCACTCTCATGTACAAGTTCTGAATCCAAGACCCTAGAGGCTTTCTGGACTCGTAAGATGCAACCTATATGAGATAAAGATAATAATATCAATCTAATTTCATATTTTGTTTGAAATAAAATCTATAATTTGTAACTGCATAAAATAAGGCTTGAATTACAAATCAATGCTTACAGCAAAGATGAAAACTTTATCCTTGTTCATATTAACAATCAATGCTTACAGAAAAGAAGAAAACTTTATCTTTATCATATTAACATGTCTGTCTAAATTCAATCAGTTCATAATTTTAGTGTGTAGATGTATTTACAATTAAGCTAAGTGCTGAGATTTTATACCTTGTTTTACAATCACCTTTAAACAAATTATTTATATAATTCAAATTCTTAATTATGATAAAAGAACTAAACAACTCAATGTCATGAACCCTTTGTCTTTTAATTGAAATGACATTAAGAAAAAAATTTGAAATTCATATACATTTATTATAATTTGAAGTCAGACAAACAATATTTAGACCAACCTTCCATTTTTGAGGCACTCCCTGTGACAGGAGGGCATTGTAAGCCTCTTCCAGAGGTTCTGACATGATTACCTCCCCTTTGATAGCCAAGATGAGAGATTTCATTGTAGCATGTATGACTGTGAGAAGATTGTTAAAACGGTCAATTTCCTGACGTAACACAGTCACAAGGGCAGAGTTACCCATCACAGCATCCACTGCAGCTTTCAACACTGTAATAATTAATATATCAGTGAAATATACTAGTTAAATATACTTATAAAATATATCAGTGAAATATACCAGTGAAATACACTAGTGAAATATACCAATAAAATATATCTGTGAAATATACAAGTAAAATGTATCAGCAAAAAAATCAAAATGGCTTATTACTTAAATCTGAACAAAGCTATTACAACTGATTTACAACTTATATTGAGTCCTCATCTGGGAGTAATATGTGCTGATAGCAAATGATGAAATATGGTTCAAGTTGAAACTTTAGTGTTTAAACTCTACATTATTTGATTAAACATGTAAATCCCTTCATGTTTATTTTTCAAAACTTTTTAATTTTTGGTGTCATTTTACAGTTTCCAAATAAACAGGACATAAAATACACTGTTGGATCTATTTAGATTTTACTAAAAAATATATCCTAAAGTCAGGTTTCTTCAGATGTTGTATGTACCGGTACATTAAGAAAGTAAAAATTTCTTGGCCCCAAGTTGACCATTTTTTTCTATCCATTCATTAGATATACCCACACACAAGTCTCAATATATAACTTTTTACATTATATTTGTTTCTAGTGGTCTAAATAAGATACTATCTTCTTTGAATTAAATCTTACATCTATTTTTCTCTTTATCTCTAAAGTCAGGTAGTTCTCGGGTAAGTATATGTTTGACTTGTATCTGGAACATCGAGGAACCAGTACTACTAGCCCGGACATCTCCCTCTGCTAGCTCCTCGACTGTCTCCGGTAACTGTCGGATAATCTCATTGGCTAGATCTCTAACTATATCGTCACTACTCTTCTCGGAACTGTAAGACAATCATATATCTATATAGTAATTTAATTAAAATAGAAACATGATAAACCAAATTTCTAAAATGAGTCATAAATGTACATGACAAAACCTGTGTTATAGGATCATCTGAAAATATTTCAAGAAAATTATATTGTACCTTCTAAAAAAGTTCTTCCATTATAATTCAATAACTATTTACACTCTTAGTGTCAGAATTTAATATCCAAATTTAATCCTGGATATGTGTTTTAGATTTTTAAATCAATTCATAGCATAATTTAACTTTCATTAATTAATCAATAAAGTTATTCCTTACACAATATAGGCCAAATTCTAAAAGAGAACAAAAACAATTAGAAGATTTTAAACTTTTAACTATTTATTTGGCACAAATACAGCTCTTAGTTTATTAGTGAATCATATCAATAGTTTAGTGAATACAGAATTTTTAAGTTTGATTGTGTAGCTACAAGCTCAAGGAAACAAAGACTTGCCAATGATGGGAGTTTAACCAATGAGGCTAGCCTTTCTTTGGCAATTTAGTCTGAAACTTTAACCACTCAGCCATGCCGCCACTTCAACAAGTTAGACCTTTGTCTTTAAGTTTTAGCAACAGTCAAACAGGAACATGTTTTTTGTTTGTTTGTTTTTTATATTAACAACATTTAAGCAGGAACATGTTTTTTATTTGTTTGTCTTTTTAAACAATCACCACATAGACATGAAAATATCAGGGTGACTTACCCCATAACATTCATGGAGAGTCTAGGCTGTACACTAACAATGGTATTGATCAACTCCTTGGCTTGTATTTCTCTACAAGCTTTCTCAGCATTGTCTGTCATACCAAATATATCTGGAGAGTCATAGTTAGGTAGTGACTCCACATATGTTACCACATCGCTAAATGCCATAGAGTCCTTTACTGGCTGGTATATCTGAAATTATGTACAAATCTTGATTAATAAACTGGAATAAAATTTCATCACCAGTTTTTCTTCTGAATTTCTTATAAAGGACTCATCTAGCTTCCAATTTTGGAACAGTCCATTATCAATTTTGGAGATACATGTATCAAGAAGTAAGTCAGCTAATAAAATAGAACGTCTATAAATTTGTCTGACAACAGAAAATTAATGTGTACATTAGTCAGGCTGTACAATGTCTTTTAAAAAGTATCTGATATTTAGAGATTTGAAAAATATATCCCTTTCTCTCCCATCCATTGTTCTGTTAAAGTCTCATACATGACCAGCAAAGGTCTAAATGATGCTTGTTTATTCAAATACCGTTAAGAAAAGTTCGTTTTTACAAAATAATGTATGATAATGTGCAACATTTTAAACAGAGAAGCTGCAAAAAGTGAAACATGCATATTTTTCAGTTGCTGAAACAAGAATAGTATCAAGTGAAATATACAATATTAAAAGGGTGATTTGAAACATTTAACATACATGTGTAAAAACAAACAGAAACAAATATTTGAAAGGGAAAAAATATCAAAAATGGGACATTTCAACATCTATGAAAAAAATCTACATTGTATACTGGAAAAAGCAAAACTATCTAAAATTTTCACCACTGCAATAAAAAGCAATTTATAAAGTTGTTTTTTTTTTACAGAATTTTTTTTTATTCTGGCATAAAAAACTACCTTTGTTTATTGTAATGAGAAAAGTTACAGTAACCCAGTACTATACATTTCAAACAAAATGGTATTGTACCAATATAAAAACCTGATACTTTTTAAAATGTGATCCTTTCTAGTAAAATCAAAGAGAAACAAAGATCATATCCCTTTCAACTTATTATGTATACCACTTTTGATTTAAGCTATATAATCATCTCAACATAATGTTATTACACCAGTTAAATATTGTTGTGGTCATCCCACTTATATACAATATCCATTTACTTCCAGTCTGGTTATATATTTCCATGTGATTCAAGCATTAAATATATCATATACTTATGCACAGGTATACAACAAAAGCCATTATTGACCTTTTTCATGAATGATATGTAAAGTTTTCTTTTATTTCTTAAAATATTTATTTTGGATTTTATGCCAGAATAATGTGTTGTCCATGTAATACTATCAACTGAAGTCCAGGTTTATGTTTGGAACCACAGCTTCAAAAATAAACCCCTTTAGTTAGCAAATATTACATGAACATATATTTATCATTTATATACTTAAGTTGAACATAATCTTCCATGTTTCAGACAAATGTACAATAAATGGCAATAAATGGGGAACATAGCTTATCACAACTTACTTTTTAAGTGTGCTAAAATTTAATCATTCACCTTTTCAATAATGAGCTTGGCTTGTTCTTAATATTGATCAATGACTTTTTAAAGGGGTTTCAACATCAAAGTCTCATTCAAGCAATTAACAGTACAAAGTCTTGTCAGCCAGTACAGATATGCACCCAGCCTGACCTTACAGGCAGGTGTCACCAGGAAATTTTTAGAACAGAAAGCATTGTAAATGTTAATGGGACAATCTCTAAATCTATTTCTCTTTAAATGATTCCGCTATCAATTAACAAAAGGGATGGACATTATTTTAATTGTTTTATTATAAATGCATTTAAATTTCTTTGTAATCATTTAAATGGTGATTATAGACAAAACACAAGAGACTTGATGAATTAATTGACAATTAATTAATTAATCAAATCAATCAATCAATCAAAGGAAGGCCACGTTTTAACAAATTTAAAACAACAAATATTCAATTTTACTCCAGATGCATATTCCTTCAGGAAACACAAACTAATGATTATTGATTTATATAAACAAATGCCATATAACCAAGTATGTTATATAACCAAAAGTCATGATAAATTATGTTCCCCAAGAGTGAAGCATGGTATGACTTTTACAATACAATAACATAAAGTGACATGATGGTTACAATTTTGTGAACCTTACCTTCAATACAACCTTTAAATATTAATATAATACTGTTAAAACACAACCAAGTGGGAATCAAACAGGTGTTATGACATGTATATCATAATGATTCTACTTTAAAATAGTATTCCATTTTTAATGCAGAATTTAAATATAGCCAATACTTTTCTTAAGGCAAAACAATTGTTAAAAAAATTAATATATAAAAAAAAAACAACACTCATCTCCTATATTAGGCTTAATAAGAATTGACAAAATAGGTAACTTAAAAATTTTATAAAACATTTTCATTATCAAATTTCAAATCAAAAACAAATTTATGAATTAATATTACAATTATATTTGGCTTGTTGTTATATTTCCGAAAACCAACCTTTTAAGAGTCAGTAGCATGGCTTTTTACATGCTTAAGCATTGGCTCTAAAAGAAAATTTCTAACAAATATGTATCTTTCATTATTATTCTTTGTCAAAAGTAAATCAAAAATTTTGTAAACTACATTGCTGTATATACAGCTTTTAGTTTATACACTTTAACCATGCAATTTAACAAATTAATATAAAACACTGACTCAAGTTATTCAAGATTACATAGTGTTTGATTACTATTTTCTACAATGATGAATTAATTCAATTTCAATCATATGAAAAATTCAAGGAGGAGGAGCAATAATTGAGGGGAGGGGGCATTTAAATTGGGCCTTAGACAGTTTATCAGATTAAAGTGATCTGGATATGTTCTTAAGGAATGCAGAGTTTAAACAAGGATGTTGAGCAAAAATTGTTAATTACAGAAACAACATGTTATACAGTCCAACCAATATACATTGTAGCTACTAACAGAACATGTCCGACTGTATTACCTTATTTGGAGAGTAACTGTAGTCTGGTTCCAGAGATTCAGGACAGAAAAACCTGCCCAGTAAAGCATGTAAACACCTGTAATCCCATTCATCTGTGACACGCCCACCATATGTTACTCCGCCTATCAGGTATGACAGGGCCTCCCATGGTATAGTCTTGTGTTCAGATAACAACATTTCTAGTTGTAAAATAGATACCTGAAACATATATAGAACTTACATTTGTATCTGTAGAGAAATAATGAATCTCTTATCATTTACTTTAGCATGATGGTTGTTTTACTTTACTTTGTAATAAGTCACATTTAGTTTGAAGATAATAGTAATACATGTAGTAATGTTACTATGTTTATGTTCGCTGCTCTGCAATCTACAAAATTTAATTAATCTGTATCATGCTAAATATTATGAATGAACCAGTTAATCTTTCAATCTAGACAAAACCATTTTCTATTTCAAAGAAAAATTTAATTTATATACTGACTGAATAGCAAACAGTATAGACCATGATCAGACAGTACATAAGTCCAAACTGGTCTTGGTCTGCACTAGTCATATGAATGATACTTTTTTTCTTTTTTTCCCCCCGAGTTAAAATATTCTATAAAGGGACACAGTATTACAGGTTGGCAGCGTATTTATGGAGAAGTGTCAAAGATAATCATGATGAATATGAATTCAATAATATAAAGTCCTAGGTCATAGAGTATCAACTACTTAATGGTACTTAATCTTGATTTTTCATCAGAACACAAGTATGTGACACAAGTATGTGATTCAAGTATGTGATTCAAGCAAACCAATCTAATGCAGAAATCTGAGATTGATTGTTTTTAAATATAACTAGTGTTTGAACTAACCATCTAAAAGCCAAGATTCATGTCAAGAAATTTATCTCACTCCCTAGCTAGATAATGTGTTCATATTTGGAAATTATAATTAACATTAAAAAAAAAAATTCCAGTCTTGCATCTTGGGTTTAATGCAGTTTATGAGTTATGAGTTTATAGTTCAAACATAATCAACAAGTATTTATGCTTGAGAGCAAAGAAAATTATATGTTTACTAGAACTGTTCTTTGCTTCTTCGAACAAACCAAAAAATAATAATAATAAAAAAAAATAAATAATAAAAAAAATCTAAAATTCTATCAAAGAACTGATATTAACAATAATATTCAAAAACAAATTTTCTCCACAACAGTACAATCTATTTTTATATTACCATTATATACAAGTATTAATATTAACAAGATATGATTGTAAAACATGTATGCCCCCTATCGGCAGCCAATTTGTCATGTGATCAGGTTATTATGCATGACTTCTGACCCAGTGAACAAACAATTAATAAGGGCTATCTAGTATCTACTGGTCATGACTAGTCACAAGGTAATAATTATTGTGACCCCATAGGTTGTGTGCAGCAATTAAAGTTATTAAAAATCTTATCAAATAATATATACATAAATTTAATGAATCACATAGGCCTCATTAATGACAGCCAAGTTGTTATATTACATAAAACCTTCAAATGTGTATACAAAAAGCACATAAAAATATCAACCAAGGCAACTTGAGTTGTTGAGTTATTGGTCAGAAATGGTCATGAAGTACGAGGTCACTATCACATTGACCCCTTGACCCCAAAATCAATAGGGGTCATCTACTGGTCATGACCAATCATCATGCCAAGTTTGAAGTACCTAGGCTAAGTGTTCTTTATTTATTGATCGGAAACCATTTTAATCTACAAGGTCAATGTGACCTTGACCTTTGACCCCTTGACCCAAAAATCATTTGGGGTCATCTGATGTCATGACCAATCATCATACCAAGTTTGAAGTACCTAGGCCTAAGGGTTCTTTAGTTATTGATCGGAAACGGTTTTTACCTTTAAGGTCAATGTGACCTTTGACCCCTTGACCCCAAAATCAATAGGGGTCATCTGCTGGCCATGTCCAATCACCATACCAAGTTTGAAGTTCCTAGGCCTAAGAGTTCTTTAGTTATTGATCGGAAACCGTTTTTACCTACAAGGTCAATGTGACCTTGACCTTTGACTCCTTGACCCCCAAATCTATAGGGGTCATCTGCTAGTCATGACTTATCACCATATCAAGTTTGAAGTTCCTAAGCCAAAGGGTTCTTTAGTTATCGCTTGGAAACCATTTGGTCTAGAGACTGATGGACCGACAAGTGCAAAGCAATAAACCCCCTCTTCTTTGAAATGGGGGCATAATTATTTGATCTTGAAACTTATCAGGATAGATTGTAACACAAGGAAGCATGGTGGTGACCCTAATTGGGCTCAAACCACTGAACTGATTCCTGAAAACCACTGATATCGATATTTATCCTCACTTCCTACTGAGTCATGATTTTTCAACCTTTTGTTTTTGTTTAAAATGTAAAATATCTAACACATATTATATTAAATTTTCTGTATAGAATACCTCCAGATCAGAGTCATTAAACTCGTAAGCAATGTTCCATCCAAGAGCTCCATATTTCTTCCTCTCATGTATAACACTGTTAAACAGACATAGACCAAACAACAACTTCTTCCAGGCATGACCTTTACTCATGTCTTCAAACATTTTCTCACTGATTACACCGGTACCTCCACTACCATATGCTCTCAACATGTTTGACTTGAGGCCATGTGGAGGCTCTACTGTCATCTGAAATAACAAACATGACTTGTTATAACACAGGGTAATGAACATTTACAACCAACACATTTATGCTAAGCTATTTTAAAATCCATCCAGGAAAGAAAATTGTTGACAGGACAAGGCCATCATTGCACTTTAAAAAAAAATCATATCATGAGTTTGCAACACAAGTGTGACCTTTGAGCTGGAGACCTGATTCTTGCATGGAACACTGTCAATATGTCCAACACACTTTAGCCAAGTAATTTTAAATTCCATCTGGAAATGATGATCATCAACAGAACAGTTTTATAAAAAATTCATGTTATGACTTTGGAATACAAGTGTGACCTTGACCTTTAAGCTAGGGACCTGATTCGCATGTGTAACATCTTGTCATCATGTCCAACATTTTATGCATAATAGTGCTTAAGTCCATCCAGGAATGACAGAATTGTTGACCATGCACTTTTATAAAAATTCATATAATGACCTTGGTTCAATAAGTGTGAACTTGCTTTTTGGGTTAGGGAACTGCTTCTTGCATGTGACACACTGACACATTGTCATGATAAAGTACAACACATTTATGCATAGTTATTTTTTAATTTATCCAAGATTGACATAATTTTTACCAGAAACACACACATCAGTGCATTTTCAGTAAAAATTTCCTTTGAAGTCAATGTGTGACCTTGACCTTTGAGCTACAGACCAAGATCTTGCATGCAACACATTGTTTGAATGTGCTACACATTTATACAAATCATTTTAAAATTTATCAATAAATGAAGTTATGGAACAGACAGAAATTTGGGATGGAAGAACCAACAGAAGGATGGATGCTGCAAAATATATACCATATATATATATGATATATTAAATATGTATAGTCCTTTTCAATTGTTATTATGCAAATAAGTATATCTTTTAAAATGTACAGTCTGTTTCAAGGCTTATTTGTGTTTGAGTATGTTAATTTTGCAATTGATGTCATGTGACCTATGTAATTGTATATATTGTAAATATGTTGCCTCATGGACTGGCTTTGTGAAATAAAGATTATTATTATGATGTGACATGATTAAAGTGACGTCAATTTGTGATTAATTTCACATTTATTCTATCAAAAACATGAGGCTCTACATATTATAACTATCAACTAAAAGAGTACAATGTCAGTTTTTGTGCATAATTCCCAAAGATACCTAGTATTATTATAACTTGAATCTAGTTTGAATGTATATCATTACCTTCATTCCAGTTTGAAGTATAGAGATGGGGAAGCTCGGATCTGGTTTAGAACTCAGCCACAGTCTGAATTGTGGATCTATATCATCATTATTTGGCCGGTTAAAACTGTAATATATATATATAGTTATAAAATTATGCATGTTATATAATAAATCATATAGTGTATATCCCTATAAATACAATAGTAATGATAGTAAGGATGTAATAGATCTGATTATAAGAAAAACATTAATAAATTTTAGCAATATAATGATAGGGTAATGAATAAACTATTAACTTTATATTAATTTTGTTTAATAATAACAAAGTGAAATTTATTTTTTTCTTCTTCAAATTATCACCAATATTGAAAAAAAATCTAAATGAAAGTTTATATGTACAATACAAGTAATAATGGTCTATTGATATCTATTCTAGCATGCAAATTTTAAGAAAAAATCATAGTTCTATCTACTAGGTTCAGTTGATTGTTTGGTGTGCTTTATATAAAACATGCAGGAGAGATATTGAATGATTATTGGTCCTGATATATCATGATGTATAACAAATAGACAAGGCAACAACAACTGTGTAATACATTTTGATATACAATGTGCAATAACAGACATAGTGTATGATAGTTTCCCATATATCATATATATAAGAAAGATGAACAATTAAGACAGAACTTTCATTTTTTATATACAATTTGCAACAGCAGTGTTAGTGTGCATAGTTTGACAAGAATGTCAAACTTAAGATAGGACTTTTATTTTACAAAACAAACACAGTGTTTGTAGTGTCCTATATACTATTATATTGTTTCATTTGATATTTAAATGATTTGCAATATCAGACTCCATGTATACAAGATTCCATATATTATTAGTTATAAATATCGTTGGCAGGTTATATGGCCCTATATAAACGGTTATTTGTAAATATAACCCGAGCCGTCAGGCCATATATCCAGTCAACAATCTTTATAATGAATTTATAATACAGCACGCATCATTTTTTAGAGAAAAGGTAAGATTTCTTCATGAATCGACAGTAGCCGTGTATATAAAACTATATAAACGTCACGATTATCCAATGAAAAGCAACGTTACAAATGTGCAGTATTATAATATATGACAATAAAGGTAATGAATGAAGAAAGGATTTTCACATGTGTAATACAGACTTAAATAGTGTATCCTTTATACTTTATCCTTGATATTGTATCCCTTATATTATTGTATAACAAGAAATGTAAAGAAAGGACTCCTATTATAACCAATGTGCCATTACAGACTTCAGTGCAAATAGTTTTCTCATAACATTATATTGCAAGACAAGAACATTGGTAACACTATCATGTATATGAGGCATAAAAAATACAAATACACATGTCCATTCAAGGACAAAATAAATTACTCAGAAAGGTAAGCTATCAATAAATGACTTCAAATAGATATAAATCCACTAGATTAAGCTATAAATGACCTAGCTTACTCATTTTTACATATTTCCAAATTTTGAATAAAAAGAAAAATACCCCAGCTGACACTGTATTTGATATTATTGTGCTGTAATCAAACTTGTGCAATCACTTTTCCTTTTTATGCATGAAAATGTGTAACCTTGAGATGATACTTTATTCTTTACAGGAAATAAAATTCATTTTTTACCAAATATGTCTTACAGAATTATATAAAAAGTTAAAGGCAATTTTTGTGTACTGTAAATTCAATAGAATTACAGTAACAATAGTTACAATACAGATAATACATTGAACAAAATTTAATGCAGATTTAGTTGTACAAATATCTTTTTATCTACGGTAATTTTCCTCTATACATAGAAAACTTTTAGTCATACCATTATTTCTGCAAAACTTAAAAGGCAGATTCTTTAAAAAAATTACCTGCAGCTCTCTATGTTAAGTTCATAAAAAATCTCTTGTATTTTTATCATATAATAATGCTTTATATGGATGGTAAAAACTATTTGCTTATATAAATATATAAAAGATTTTACACCTAAAACAGTGTTTAATTGACATTGAATTCATATTCTGTCACTTCTATAAAATACCTAGTTGACACAAATATAATTATGTGTCATATAATGACTAAGGGGAGGTAATCACATTCAAATTGTACTACATAATGAAAGCACACATAATATATGCCCATCAACCCGATTGAGTCTACATACAAGCACTGAAAACACATGTATATGTTATACATATGTGTTACACATATATGACATATGTGTGTATAAGAAAACTTACCTCCCTGTGTCATCTGACAACTGAATCCTAGATTACACAGTACATAAAATGTTGATTTTTATGTATAATAATCTTAATGAGTAAATATTTCACACACAAATGCAAAGAAATAAGAACAAACATAAAAAGAGCTATTGCAAATTGAAACTGTGTCATATATATAATCTGTGGCAATATGCTTTCCTTGATCTTAAATGGAATTTGAATGATCTGACAATAAAAAATTTCCTATATATATTTTTTACATATTGTTTTTCATATAATACTTTATCCTACATAAACCCATAGGTTGTGTTAAGAATTAAAAAAAAATTAAAACTATAGTCGGGCAACCTGTGTCAGTAGCCAAAAGGTATACAGATCATAGCAGTTCATCTTTAAATGATATGATATCATTTCAATAATGTACTAGCACATTAACAAAAAGATTTACATAAAATAATATTCCATTAAAGGCCATTAACTGCATAAAAATTAAAGGGCAGTAACTGGTATTTATCAATGACATGACCAGTGTTTTAATATTATTCACTTCAAATAATAATAATGAATGTACTAATTTCAAACAATAAATATTTCCAAGTTCAAAACAAAGAAATCTTTTATTTAACACACATTTGCCTGTGATGGGCATACCATAAATCAGTGAATTTCAACCAAATATAACTCCACCTTTGTTTTAATTAAAAAAATAAATATTTGCATACTAAATAGGAAGCTGATCAATTAAGTCTTTCAAAAGCTTTTATGTGGAATCAAATTGTATAAATTATATAAGTGAAACTAAATGAATGAATGAATGAATGAACGAAAGGATGGATGAATGAATGAATGAATAGATGGATGGATGGATGGATGGATGGATGAATGAATGAATGAATGAATGAATGGATAATTGAATGGATGGATGAATGTGGGGATGAAATTGAATGAATGAATGAATGGATGGATGTGGGAATGAAGTTGAATGAATGAATGAATGAACAAACAAATGAACAAATGAATGAATGAATTAGTTTCTCTTGTCATGCTAAGCAAGTTTAGTATTTTAAACTTTTTATATTCCATGAAGCATGTGCATATTAAAGCAGTAAGTATTCTTAAATTAAGTTTATTTTATGCAGTAAGTATTCTAAAATATTTTATTATTCCCAGTCGTGACAAAGCTACTTGCTTGCTACTACTTTTGGGGCGTGGTGGCTGTGTAAATCTGGCTAAGAAACTGAAAAATCAACATTTATGAAAAAAACATATACAATGTATCTCTGTAATTGACTGACCAACAGAAATCATTTTTGAAATAACTTTTTGAATAATTCATCATAAATCAGACGGTCAGTTTATCTTAATAATAGCCTTTCCGGAAGACTTCAAAACACAAGACTCAAACAAAGATATTCAAAATTGAATACAAACTTGTTTTTCCTCCCTTACTTTTATCTCTGTATCTTTTTAGAATTAAATGTACCATATACTAAAACCTTAACAAATAAAATATTCAGTGATCTTTTTAATTTTTTTTTCTTATTTCTTCATACCTGAATATAAGCTGCTTAATTACATTGTATTTTCAAAAACAGTTATCTTTAAATAATTGATATAACAAATTTCCTTGCTATTGTGTGATTAAAATATTCTTGACCATTGTGAAAAACTGTTTTCATGGTGTAACAAAGGTCAGTCTTACAGAAAAAAAGAAAACAAACTAACAATTAAAATTAACCTGAAAAATAATCAAGAAAATGGAACATCAATAAAATTTCAACTTTGAAACATTAGTACCCTTTCTTTTTCAGAAAATTATCCGCCATCCTCCTTACTAATGTGATGATTTTTAAATGTCTGAAGTTATATACAATATTACTTAATAAATAAAAAAATTATACTAAATATTCAAGACAGATTCAAATAATTGTCTTAGTTGTTGCAAAAACTCGATATTAGTTAAACAGAAGTAGTGATTTTTTTCTCTCCCTTTTTTGTATCCCCAATATTCCCTATATCAAAATATAAGTTTTTCATTCATTTTTTAAAAAAAATAATTTTTTTTTAAATCTGCAGAACTTTTGTTACAAATATATTTGATATGGGTAATAAGGTAGATTAAAAGGGGTAATATACAATCATAAACTTAACACATGAAATTGTTTCAACCTCACCATAAAAGGGATAAATGAGCCGTGTCATGACAAAACCAACATAGTGCGTTTGCGACCAGCATGGATCCAGACCAGCCTGCGCTTCCGCACAGTCTGATCAGGATCCATGCTGTTCGCTATCAGTTTCTCTATTTGTAATAGGGTTGGTAAGCGAACAGCATGGATCCTGATCAGACTGCGCGGATGCTCAGGCTGGTCTGGATCCATGCTGGTCGCAAACCCATTATGTTGATTTTGTCGTGATCCGGCTCAAATATGGAAAACAGAATGTTTAATGGAAACCTCTGCCATATATGATACATAATTCTATTATAAAACATAAAATAGATTATCATTCCTTGTTGTTAATTAAATATTGCTATATACATGTATAAATTTACTAGCTGTTTTTTTTTTCTGGATTACAAAAATACCTTTTACTGAACAATGCATGCTTACTTTCTGAAAACAATACAATTCATAAAATAGTACATGTTTACTGTCATATAAAAATGAAAACAATCAAACTTTTTATAAAGACCATTATCCCTTCAATAACTTTCTTAAAGACCACTAATTTTATTTGAAAATAATACCTGTCATATTTGCATTTTATACCCAATATAAGTCTTTGAGGCAAATATGAAAGGGTTTAATTGCATTAATTAGAATCCATAAATATTTTGTTGTTTCAATAGTTTTTGTTTAAAAAATTTATATAAGCACATATAAGCTTAAGTATATGGAAAATGGCAAATGTGGGTTTTTGCCAATCAAATCCTGGAGTGCAAACAAACTTTTTAACAATATCGCTTCATGGAGCCTTACCATTCATAACACAGCAATCACTAGTTGTGAACTTTTTTGATGATCACGTGGGAGACTTATCTTCAAAAAGAGGGAGATTTTAGAATTTTATATAAACAATAAAGGAAGTTTTGACATCAAAAATAAGGAGATTTCTTTAATTTGTGAAAATACCCCTTATTTCTAAGAAAAATCTTTGAAAATATGGCTGCAGAAAGTGAGAGTCTCCCGCTAAAAGTGGGAGAGTTCACATGTATGCAATCACTAGTTGTGCTTATTTTACATATATTACCAAGTTGTAATTGTAAAAGTTTGTTTGTATGCTGGGAACTAGATTGGAAAAACCCACTTTTGTGCCATGTTCTGGAGTATCTCTATTAATGGTAACTTTCATCTGTTATAATGATTCCTGGCATCAACATATTATACTGATACATGTATGAATTATACACCGTTTTAATACAGGAGATTTGATAAATTACAAAGTACATTTTGTACATAAATAAGAAGACTTTTTGAAAAACTTTTTTTTATAAAAAAAACACTACTTTTCTATTGCCATATTCATAATGATACTGTTTACAAATTTTATAACATTCCACATTTGCCTTTTATCAAAAAAAAAAAATCCACTGCACTGCCACTACAAAGTAATCAAACTTAAATAAACAAAATCATATATATCAGCAAAATGAAAACCCTACAAGTAAGTCATAATTATTTTTTAACTTACTTTTCTACAAGAGACTGCAGCCTAGGCATCCAGGAGGCAGCTAAATGACAATTCTGTAGAAACACCCAGCGTCCCTTCAATATCTGAGCTTTTGCTATAAGTTCCTCAGCCTTGGGGCCTTGACCACGCCCTAATGAGATCATATCTAAATGCAAAGTGCTTCCACGCAGTTCTTTAGCAAATCGAAGAAGCTGGGCACCTGGGTCACAACCTGTTTCAAACAAAATTATTTGTCAATATCTAGTTTTTTGTTGTTGATGTTACATCATGTCAATCATATTAATACAATTCATTCAGCACAACAGTTTTTTTGTTTTGCTAATAAAAATAAACCAAATAATTTTATCATTTTTTCTTGTTCATTATACTTTCAAAATATTAATTTCATTATTACAAACCAACCAATTGAAAAAAGAGCAGTTTAAAGGGCTTTGTAAGAATCTATCCTGTACCTTTTGTTTTATTTCATTGAATAACATTATGACTTAATCATGATACATACTTTGATATGCAATCTTACAGTGCCTTAAACCATTATCTTCAAATAGTGTAAATTAATGAAATAACCTTTATTATATAGGGTTTCCCTACTTAAAAATACGAGATTACATATCCAATGGAAACTTATATGACTGTCTTTATAAAAGAAACCACAAAATTAACCCAGCTGAATAATATTTTTGAATCAAGAAAAGACACTAGGGTGTACTGCTGAATGGTTGAACTTCAGAAAGTCACATGTTTCAAGCTTAGTGCTTGCAAATATTTTACACTTCAAATTTTTTTATTTTTTAAACTCACTTGGTGACAAGATAAATATGAGTGGTGTTTTAGCAGAAGATTCCTCATAGATTTCTTTCAGATCAAACGAGCCAGCAGAGAGATATTTCACTCCGATACTGTCCTTAACAAACTGATTACATGAGGCTGTGAGGACATCAGGACGTAGAATTTTTATCAATATTAAACGCTGGAATAAAGAGAGCTCTTCCCAATGTAAAGTTATTCCATGATCGTCGTCTGCCTTGTGCTTGTCATCATCATCTGAAACAAAATTGTTTTTTTTTTTTTCAATTAACAAAATGTAACATGTAATTGTGCAAGTCATGTTCTTAGATCAATGACCATTGTTAGGTTGCATTTAACGCTTGAAATACCAGTATTCTCGATATAACCATCAATTAATGAATCATTCATCAAACTTTGGTACTACTTCTTTAAAATAGATTTCATAAAAGGGGAAAGGTACCATTGTGATTACAGTGTGTGCCTCTCAACCTAGGTATCTTGGGTTTAAGCCTTACTCAGTCATGATCATGGTTCCTCAAATGACACCAGTACTGGTTAATATTAATGAAACTTGGAAAAACACAATCAAGCTTAAATAAATATGTGCCAACTAAACTAAGTATAGTAAACCTAAAAATTATTTCTGAGATTTTATAGAAGACTTGAAAAACATGCATCAAGGTTATTTACCTAACACAAATGATGCTGGATCAAATTCTGTTTTCATGACATCATATGGCTGTTCACAGGTTTCAAACAATTTCCACTGTTTATAATTGGACATGATACTGCGGCACAGTTTGTCAAATGCCTCTACTGTAGCATCTAAATGTTGACATTGTCGCCACATAGATTCAGAGATCCAGCGTGGTGGACTCCGATGCTTCACAGAATCTTTGTTTCCACTCTGTGCCTGAGACTCTAATCTTTCCATTGGACTTAGACCTACAATAATGATTTTCAGCTGGTAATAATTGCTTGGTTGAGATAACATGTTTATCACATACCCGTGCCACTTGTGCGACTCCGTTAAAATGGTACATTGTATTGCATCAATGAAAAAGTGAATCTTTATATGGGTATGGATAAATAGAATATTATATTTACAGGGGTTCAATGAATTTGTTGAATAAAACAATATTAGGCTCACCAGAGGCTCACATAATATGATTTTATTCAACTCATTCAAAAAATTTAGAAATGAACCCAAACTCATCCTCTATATATACATAAATGTACACTTTATAATAAACTTATTGCAATGTGCACGCAAGTGGGGCAAAGACTAAGTCTTTATATATATATTAACAGGGCTGACTATCCTGGACTAATTTAATTATTTCTTGACATAGTCAGGCATCAATATTTCCTTGGTAGCGGGTAGACTAAAGACTCTTCCCTGGTAGCAGGTAAGCGCATGTCACGATCGATTGGCAAATAACAAAAAGTACTTGGTTCTCAACAAGTTTATCTATTTAAGGAGAGAATAACAATTAAAAGAATTAGAGAAATATTGAAATATCTGAGAGTCAACAGAGCGTAGCTGCTCTCTAGGAAACCTGGATCGCTAATGAAGTTTAGCTTAGTGTTAAATTTGACCTGAGACATGCGCAGAGGGTCCTCTTGACCCGAGACTGGGCATATGCCTTGAGTAACACTGACCCAGTGAAAAAGGGGTCTGCAGAATTTTATGATCCGTACAATAAGTTATGACCCGACATGGAGCATGCCCATTATGCAAGGAGATGGATACATAAGAACAGCTGATTGGAGAAATCTGGAAAATAACTTGAAAATAAATAATAATACAAAATGTCAGTTGTAATGAACGATGGAGGAATGTGACATAGGATAAACCTAAACAGTATCAATAATACCCAGGTCTGATGCTGAAATACAACAATATGTAGAATAGAATACAACAACATAGAAAGTCACATGTTTCATTGTGGACATGTACATTAATTAAATACATGTGATAATGTTGACAAGTATTGCTAGTTATCAGGATGAATTGGCATGGTAATATTATGTAGTTGTACAATACATAGAAAATGTTTATAATTATTTGAAGATGTCAATATTATCAAATAAATAAAGTAAATTATTGTAATTTTTATCATTTATTTTTTTAAATACAAATAAATTTCTCAATTTTTACAAATATCCCTGATAAACAAATATTTTTATATATGATAATGTAGTAACGATGATGTCACAATATTATTATTTACTATCTTTTTTATTTTAACCAACAAGTGTGCAGTGCATATTCTATAGTAAATATATTAAGATATTTAAATACTGTAAGAACATATATTGCAGTAAGATGGCAAATATCATTATTTCATTAATGATTCAAAACTTTAGCATCAATTTCTTCTGATAGTATTTAGGCTTTAAATTAAAGACACAAAATTACTTGTTGATTCTCACAAGATAAAATGTGAAATCCTTAAAGAATTAAAGGAGAAAATTTCAGACTCTGTTTTATTTAGTTCCTGAGAGATAATGAAAGGTCCAACATCTCTTGTGCACCAAGCACCTGCTTAAGTGGTATTTCAATCTTCAACACCAGGTAGTGGAACCAGTGAATAAAATGGGTCATATAATTATATATTAACACTTGAAATATGGCAAATTTTATTTTTCAGGAATAAATTATTCTGAAAACAACATACCATCATGTTCTTCTAGCTGTTTTTCATCCATCATATTGGCGAGGACATTTCCCTGTAGGAAAACCATCCACTCAAATCCCGAGATAGTGCCAACGTTAGCTATATCATCATACTTGTCATTGGCTCGCATTATACTTGTAGCTAACATGGTACTGAATGTAAGCTGGTGACGGGAGAATAACGCCACGGATACTACACGGTATATGCTGAATGTCAACCTGTAGTAAAGAAACATAAATATGCCTATCATTACTTATATAATAATAAGATTTATTCACATCTATTCTCAAAACATAACATAGCTTGATGAGAAATGTCTTTCAATATGATTTCACTTAACTCATCTTGATTTCTATGAAAACAAAACGGTCCATCACATATTTGTGCAATAACTGGTTAACTCCTATTAAATTAAGGACTTAAGGTGACAACGGACACTTTCCGTGGTACTCACATAAATGTCATTTAAACCAAGTTATTTTTGTAATAATTGTTATTCATTTAATCTTTGTGCATTAATTGTCGTTGATCATCATAAAAAATAACATATTTGAAAAAATGCCTTTGTAAATGATTGATTTTGATTAAAAATCCTAAAATTTTAAATCGTCATATCAAAGTCATTTTTTATTTTTTTTTGTCATCAAACTTTTGGAAAATAACCATACTTATATTATCTGGGGAACCGTGTCTCAAATTTTTTATATCTTTTCTCAAAAAAATATTACGTAACGTCAAACATTTTATGCGACTTTTTTCACCATACATATTACGTAATTAAAGATAATTAAGTCGCTGATTGAGCAAACAAAAATCCCTGACACGGTTCCCTCCGTAAATGAATTTCCTTTCATGTGCTTTAAACCGCATGTTAATTGCTTGATTATTAAAAAAGTTATGCCGATTCAAAGTTAGTCCGACCCGCATCAAACGAAGTGTCATAAATCGGCTGTTCTCTCTCGGACCCCTACGTTTCACGCTAAATAATTGCATAATACACAAATATCGCACCAGGGAGGGTCACAAGTTGCGGTAACATACTCTAACAACATTTTATGACCCAGTGACATCTGACCAATTAAAAAGCTGCTGATTAATATCAGTTTATAGCCGAAATTTCTTAAATTCTTAACGTGATTTACTGCCCGTCTGGTATCTGTCGCACATGTCACGTGACTATCGGTAAAATTTGAGGCACTCAGTGGGGGCAAATGGAACGCATTTGCGCACCGCTAGAGGGGTATTTAATTGTTTCCTATTTGAAGTTTATTATTATTATCATCAGCATTATTATTGTATTATACCAGTGTCACTCTGCCTGTGTATTCGTGTATGAAATTCCGTTAAAATATATAATAAAATAACAAAAAAACTGAGCTTCTGACAGTCTTTTAAAGTCCATGGTAGATGTACAAATAAGAACGGGATAGTATATATTTTTTCCACAAAATTGATAATGCTTCACATATCTTAATAGAAATAAAAGGTATTACTCGATCATTATTATGTGGCCTTCTTGACTTCTATTATCATGAATATCATCTATGCACGGCATAGAGATCCAGTTTCTACCGGGATAGACAATTAATTTCAAACTTTGTCCCAGATTTATTAGTACTGTGTCGGATTTACTGGCGAATAATTTATTTTCACTGAGAATTTATTTTAATATCTTTTTTATTCATAGAGAAATAATCATCCTTAGACAATCTAAAATGGTTTAGAAAAAGTTGTCAGGGACACCTTACCAGAAGTCATATAAGCGTTCACATAAAAAATGTCGTCTGTTGTTGTTTTACTTGACATTGTTAGAAAACGAGGTTGAATGTAAAGTAAGCCCTTGAATCCGTACAAAAGTCTATCAACTCAATGTAATATATATCAGATTAACGGGACAGACAAATTATTTTCACACATTATGGATATTTTAGCAACTACATTTTAATCAACCCCGTGGTCGTGCGATTTGCCGCTATGCTTAATTATTTATGTTTCATACATTATGTTACGTACATTGGTCGACAATTTCTTAATTTATAAAAAAGGCTAAATGTTGAGATATTCATAAAAGATGTACGGTAGATGAACGATACATGTATTACGAGAAGTATGGACCAGTATGGACCTGTAATTCACGGATATATGGAACTACCGATTTCCCTCATTGATGCCTCAACAGGGGGCGGAGCGTTATCGATAATCGACAGGTTACGCGAATAGCAGATACAAATAGTATAGGTACCGTTATAAATCGTTTAAAAGCACATTTTTTGGACTAACTGCTTCCAAAATTAAATCACGAATGTGTTCAGAAAAGGTTGATAAATCTACTTAGCAAAAAATCTCATTTTAGGTATTTTCAGTGATAATTGACTCCGTTGTCACCTTAACCCATTATTGCACTAAGATGACAATATAAGTTTCTGTAAAATCTGTCAAAAGTTTGCTACAAATGTCATTGGATACTACAAGACGTAAAATAACTTAAATTTATCAGTCAAATAATATGTTAGCTTGCATAGTTAAATAATATTGAGAGAATTCATATTGTACACATTATGCTTGCCAGTGAAGATTGATGTCTAAGATGATGATAAGATAATTCATTTAAAGGCATTCATAAACTATCATAAACCATAATAAGGTAAATCATTCAAAGGCAATTATAAACCATCTTTAAACACAACTGATAATAAACCCATTGATATTTCAATGTATACATACATATTAATCATCTGAAGCATATGTTTCTTTAGTTCTAGTGGGTTTTCAGGTTTGGCTGGTTCCTTCTCTATTACAATAGATTTCCTTCTCTGTACACTTGGACGTCGATTATCGTCTTGCATTCTAGAAAATAAAATTCATAATAATAAGAAATTAGATAAACTTAAACACCATTTTTTAATATTCAAACACATGTATACATGAAGTTAAGCTTTTGATAAAGCATCTATTATTATGACATGTTGCAATGTCTTGTGTAATGTGAAGTTGAAATTCATGTTTAATCAATTCATAATGTTTACTTAAAAGAACTTTTTAATGCCATTTTCAACATATTTAGGGCCACAAGAAAATATTATACATATTTGGGACTATGGTAGACATATTCTGGGTCATATGGTCATCTTATGCATATTCAAGGTCATATTAATTTTATCAAATTCAAGGACATATTATGCATGTTCAAGGTCATATATCAAATTCAAGGACATCTTATGCATATTCAGGTACATATTTATCAAATTCAAGGACATATTATGCATATTCATCAAATTCAAGGACATGTGCATATACAATGACCTATTTATCAAATTCAAGCACATATTATGCATATTCAAGAACTTCTTGAATATGCATAATATCTGCTTAGAACATATTATGCATATTCACAAACATATTTTGTATAGTCAGGGAGTTATACTGATATTGATACCTGGCTTTGTTGTCACACAATATAACCACCAGACCACAATATCTGCCCTATTAAGACAGTATTGTATTTAACTATACTGACCTTCTGTCAACACTAGGTCTCCTGACAGGGACATCAGCTGACTCGATTGAAGATTTTCTAGCAGGATGCTGTATACTGGTTCTACGTGGTGTTCCAACCAATGGCACGGTAACAGAGGACCTTCTTCTCTGTTGATCTTTGATCGACATGTTACCACTGATGGCTGCCGTAAACATGTCTTGGAACCAGTCTAACGAGAACTGGTACATCACATCTATACCAGAGAGGTCAGCTAGTACAAAATATAATGTTGAACCTCTAGTGGCAACCTAAATAACAATATTTTACATTGTATTCATGTAATAAATAATATATAAATGTACATTCAAAACAACATTACTTAATACATTTTTCATTTTCATATTTCAAACTTTATGAGTTAATAATTAAACAATGCAGACTGGAAATTCTTTATCAAACTGGGCTTTTACAAACACTTTATTATTTTGCATATGAGGAAAGCTTTTCCTTATAAGATGAAAGCTACAATGATGCTTATCAAAGTACAACAAAGAACATAAAAAATGTAAAAACATAAAAGCCATTAATTTCTTGTAATAGCTGATATCTTAAATTCAGCAAAGGAAGGTTTTGATTTTATTCAGAAATATTATGCTCTTTCTACATATACAAGAAATGGAACCTGCAAACATAGGGACTTGAACCTGCAGACATAAAAACTTTATGATTATTTCTATAAAATAATACCGGCAGATATCTTTTCCTGGCTAGGTTAAGTTTTTTCTCCATTTCCTCAGATTGTTTAACTCTTTCATAAATTTCTCCTGCCATGCCTTTACTCTTTTGTAAAGTCTCTACCAAATCTTGGTCATCCAAGATATGACCTGTAAAAGTACATAAATTGTAATTATATGAACCTAGATTATCAAAAAATATAACCTATAAATATATATGAAGATCTAGGTAATAAGAAATATGATACATGTACATACTCATCTAGTAAACTTACTTTTTGACTTGATATAAAATATATCAAAATATAGGTCATCAAGAGTATGAGAGGTCATATTTTTGATGACCTAGATTTGTATGAATTAAAAATAATTATTTGGTTATGTATTCAAAAAGTAATTTGGTAATGTATTAAAAAGTAATTTGGTTATGTATTCAAAAAGCACTTTGGTTGTGTATTTAAAAAGTATTTTGGCTATGTTAAAAAAGTTATTATAAAAATCAAGACAAACTGAGGACTTTTGTAAATATCCCATGAAATAAGTTGTAATATTAAAGGAAGTAGATAAATCATGTAGTTCAAAAATAGAAGCATCTCAATCATTTATTAATAAAGAAATAATTTATACAAAATCTATGTTTGAATAGTTAATAAAAATATTGGCAGAAATTTGAGATGAATATAAAGTACAATCACATGACAGAATTACAAATAATGTTTATATTGTTATCATAACAATTCTCCATACAGTTAATCATATAGGTTCATTTAAATGTAAATAGAAAACAATGAGAAATCATGCAATTAATTGATTAATTAATTCAAAAAGGAAGTAATGCTGGTAAATTGAATATTATGTCCATATATCATATACTTTAAATTGTAAAAATTGATTTTATACAGTCTTCACTCATAAATAAACATGGACTAAAATCACATAACAGTTTAAAATGAATTTTAATGAAGTTGAATATACATTTATGTAAATCTTGGTATTTTTCATTTAAACTATGATATCATAACCTATATTTTATAATAATTATGACCTACATATACTACCATGACCTTTTTATATAGATATAAGTCATCAGAACATTATATGAAATAAAAAAAACGCTGATATTTGAAAATATTCAAACTTTATCAGTATTATATCGATATCTAATCTTGCATGAAAATTTGTCATAGTTTAACTCTTACCCTACTGAACTTGTGTAATGTACTTTTTTCCGTGCTTTAAATTTTGGAACTGGACATTGCTGATTTAAGGGATTTCATTTAAAATTGCTGACACTGAATGGTCAATGGAACAAGTATGCAAACTGGCTGATCACAATTAATGGTAGTATAAGAGTAAAGTCTGTCATTTCTAGCGATCAAGGTTGATATAATGAAAGTACTTTTTTTTATCTTGTATGACAACAACAAAAAATTTAATACAAAATGACTTTCTAACTTATCAATCTTTATAAATAATCTATTATCTTGGGAGTCAAACATGTGACTGTGCAGGTAATATGAGCATGATGTCTTTGACCCTTACCACACCTAATATCTTAAATGGATTTGTCAATCTTTCAGTCTGGACAAGACCATTTATTGTATTAAGGGAAAAAATTCTAAATATTTACTGACAGAACAGACCATGACCAGACAGTATGAATGTGCCGGCTGATCATGGTCTGTACTGGTCACATGGGTAGATTCAGTTGCCACAGTGGTAACAGGCTAAAGGTTAAAAAGATTGTTATACATTTTGACTTTATCATTCAGTTCATTTTTTTTCCAGAACATATTTGACCACATATTCTTCCTTGTATTAAAACTGATATGAGATATTGTCAATCATAAATTGTTTTTGTAACTTAAACAAATATCTTATTTGTTCTGGAAATAACAGACATCCATTAACCACAGATCTTGTATTTAAATTTGTTCTCCATTACAACAGAGGCAATCATGTCCTGTTTCAAGAACATCTTAAAGACTTGACTTCATGGCTGTGTCAGTTCTCATGATAAACAAGTGTTTGTGTGCTGACAGTAACACCTGTTGCCATGACAATATGATGTGTGATAAAGTGACGTGATAATGTGATGATGCCATACTATCAGAAATAGTAACCCTTTATCTCTTAACCTTTAAGACATTATTATAGAACTATATTATCAGTCGGGGCATGACAGTTTGGTGACATTTTTGTATTCTTTCTACTTTAAGACAGATAACTCTTGGCAGGTATCAGGTAATGCACTAATGTGTCGGCTGCCCTGGCCCTATCATACTGGTGACAAATGCTGATCACTCAGTTTCAGCAGGTAAAGGAATAACAAAAAGACATGAGAACAGTAAATGTTTTGTTCTTTAAATCATATCAAACAAAATAACAATACAAGTTTGCAAGTACCACATAATTTTATATCTGTCCTAAAAAACTAAATCTATTTCAAGTGAGTAGAGACGTAAGCTTCTATGAGCTGATATTAACATAACAAATTAACTACATGTAATAAATATTTAAAGTGGTTTCAGAAACCACAAAATAAAAGTGACAAGTCAAGTCATAAGTATTACATGTACTTCATCAAAAAATCAAAACAGTTAATCTAGAATATTATAATGTTTTACCTTCAGATTTCTGTAGAAGTCCCAATGACTTATCCTCAAGATCACGGAGGAATTGTAAATCATTGGTGATACTCTCTAATAATTCTGACCTCTGAGCCTCAAGCTGAGGTCGTTCCTGAAATATAAATAAACATAGACTGAAATTTTTTTTAAATATATTTTTGGAGTCACTTTAACATGCAAAAATTCATATTTATAGGTGGGGGAAGATCGAAGGAGGCAACCTATGGAATTTTGTTGTTATTCAGTGATTTTTATCTTATTATCATAGAGGCCTATTAAAGGCCACTTCCCAATAAAACAATTCTTTAAAATCCTGCAGTTTTCCAAAAAAATTGAACTTACACCAGCTTTTTTAATTCCTTAATTAACAATTTTAGCGATAATTTTTTCCAAAATCAAGAGACTAAGGCCTCTTCCCAATTTAGTAAGAAAACCCACTGTTGCTGTTTAAAAGCAATACTGGTATATATCAAACAATACCAAGGTCATAGAGCAAGTACATGCAGATAAAAACTGATTTTTTTTTTTAAAATTTCAGGTACAAATGGGCATTTTGGCTAAGAATAGACAATTTACAAAAGAAAACTGAATCCTATTTAATTTTCATAACAGCAATAAGCTAACAATGAGCTTACTAGACTAAATTTACCTTCACACAAATTTAACTGAATTGTTATTTCAGTCCAAAAACATATCACGGACATCCCTCCTTATTTATTTTTTTATGTTGCATACATACAAAAAATAATACAGTAAAAAATATCATTTTTCCTGTAGTGTTTCTACTTACCTTTTTTTATATTTTTGCTATGCATGGACTTATGGACCTTTTAATTTAAAAATTTTAATACATAATTATGATATTAGATAACATCGATTTCTTTTACTTACTTTGGTACATGGAAACATCTTTACTGGTAAATGTTGTGCAGGCAATTTATAAGAGGCATTAACATAACATTAATCAACAATGACAAAAAAAAAACAACAACACAAAATTAACCAAATAAAAACATAAAAACAAAAAAAATATATGAACATTTCAAAAATCAGTAAGAAGCAACAAATTCAATTAAACCCAATAAAAATTGTACAAAGTCAAAAACAATGTAAACAATTTTCTCCAACTTCTTTAACTCTTACATCCTCGTTACAAACAATGTTCAGTCTACTGCCTTTTAGTAATGCATCATCAATTATGACTTCAACAGAAAGCTGAAAATATCGGCCAAATTGTATCAAAGTACCTAAATTCAGACTAATGACATAAAATTAAAGCCAATGGTATATGATGTTTGTTCATGATTTGATTACAGAAACAGGATATGACTTTATCTTATCTCTGACATTAACCTTTTACCTCATATAGACGTGTTTTGACGGCTTGTTGCCCCCCCCCCCTTTTTGAGGCCTCAAACAGTGAAAAAATGCCCTATTTAGGCCCCATACACTGTTTTTCGTTGAAATGTTGTTAAAAAAAGTGACCACTTTTTCAGGCCACTCCCCATCCAAATGTTTTATCAGGGGTTGCCAGAAGGGGGATGTGCCCCCTTCTGATTGGTGGGTTTGAAGGGGGGCGGTAGTCTCCCTCATTGCCAAGAAAATTCTGGACGTGTGACAGGCTTAAAATGGCCTCAGGTCAATCTTAGGGTAAATAGTAACTGACGCTGAAAAGCCTTTTAATCTATCTCAATTCATTGAGGAGTTGCAGTACTTTGAAAACAGTTTTGATGGAAAAAAACAATGCAAAATAGTGATTTTTGAGACATACCCCCATTGCCATGGTAACAGGAAATTTACGTTTGAGCATGCTGTTACAGAGGCTGTGGTCAAATCAACATTTGTGACAGGCTTAAAATGGCCTCAGGTCAATCTTAGGGTAAATAGTAACTGACGCTGAAAAGCCTTTTAATCTATCTCAATTCATTGAGTAGTTGCAGTACTTTGAAAACAGTTTTGATGGAAAAAAACAATGCAAAATAGTGATTTTTGAGACATACCCCCATTGCCATGGTAACAGGAAATTTACGTTTGAGCATGCTGTTACAGAGGCTGTGGTCAAATCAACATTTGTGTCAAGTTTCATCAGTATTGAAGCATTTTTCATAGTTTCATAGCAGTTTGAACTTGTAACAGGAGGCTTTTCAATAAAAACAGCCGTTTTTTCAAAATATGCTCATGGTGTAAAAGGTTAACACTAATATTTTCTTGATATTCATATAATTCTATATACAATGTGTTAAAAAAAACCTGCCCCTACTAGTTGTCAAACTGTTTACTGAGTAAAAACTCTATGAAGAATCAAATTTGTCATGTAATGTATTGTTAAGGAAACTTTGAAAGTTAAAAATATGACAGAGGCTCAAAATACAAAAGTGGTTCAACATGGGTAAGTTGAGCACCTGGCAATAATGAATCTGCTCACACTGTATTACTAAGTGCACAAAGATTTAATAGTCGGCCTTACTAATTTATTCTTTGTTAAAAGAAATTTTTCCACACACATTCCCAAAAAAAACAACAACAAACAAGTCATAAATCTTTTGATCAAGCTAGTATCTTTGTATTAGAATTTCTGAAGTATGAAAATCTAGCCAATATTTGCAAACTGATTTGACTCATAATTATTATCATAAAGGTTGACATTTCATCAATGTCTTATGCTATCAAATCAATTCGAAAGGTACTTGAAACAATATGAATCCTTAAAGCAAAGGAAGCCTAAAATATTAAAATCTATATATTTGTGTTAAGTTTCAAATGCACTGACACATAAGTATCATATAGCCATTTTCCTGCTTTACATTTTAAGGAAGACATTGCATTTTTTCTTGCATAAACAGGCATTTGAGTACAACCACCAATCTCAAATATTTTGTAAGCTACATGAAATTCTATTTTGTGAAAAATATTACTGTAAACTTGATGGAAACATGAATACAAATTGGATTGGGCATCTGTGACCACTTGGGTATGGTCATTAACATAAAACCATTTGCCCCATACCACTGTAGGTTCGAATCCTTCCTGAGGCTTGGAATTCTTTCATTTGAGCGAGCTATCCAGCTAGCTTACAAAACGTTGATGGTTCTACTCAGGGACGGTCAGGTCATGAACTAATTCACAGAAGGCCATCTGAGAGTTTTCTTCAGCCAGTATTTTTTTTCTAGGAAAAAAGGGAAATAATTTTATGGATATATGAAAACAGACCTGTTTGACAACAGCAGAGAGAAGTTGTTCTTGTAGCCCCTCAAATGTGACGGTAAAGTTGATAATGTTAGCCTGTATATATACTGCTGGTAGATAATGAGGGTTAGACATTGATGTTGTCATATACAACCTGAAAATGTAATATTGGTAATATAGGATCATATATGTAATTACCGGGTAATATTTACTTATCTTCTGGTTGAGCCTTCAGAAGATGTATCAGTAAGTGCAATTGAAGATAAATGAAAATTAATCTACACCATTTCTTATTTTATTATACTAGTACTACTTTATGTTATAAATTGACTTTTTTCATATTTCATTGCAGTAAACAATATAGAAAACACAGAATTAAATAAAAAGATGATGTTTTTTCAAAACACAATCTGCCTTTCTCAAATCAGGGCATAGTAGTATTTCAATACAACAAAATAAAGCTCTTGTTCAGAAGTAAGCCAAGTCCAAGAAGGTTAATATACAAAATTTAATACATTTCGTAATTTCAAATGCAATTGAATTCTGACCTGAAGTTTTGATTGTATTCAATTTCAGTATCTCCAAGTTTTATAACAAGCAGACCTCCTCGTCTAAATGTTTCATGCATCAGAACTGGACGTAGTGCCGGGTCTAATGTCTCTGATACATCCTGAAAATATATCAAAATATCCTTGGTTATATACTGTAAGTATCTTACACTGGCTGCCGGTACAGACCGGAATATCTAGCTAGAGGGTAACTGTTTATGGCAGTAACGAGGCTTCGCTAAAAAGTTACCCGAGAGCTAGATATTCCCGTCTGTTACGACAGCCAGAGTTTGATTCTTTTTCTTGCATATTACAAATGAACGATAATTTGAAAAGAAATATGAAAACTAATATATTCGATTAGCACTTTTTCTTATAGCGTATGAATTTACAACTTCATTCAATAACGGTAAATGACGCCATCCTATGAACGCAAATCATTCATAAAAAGCGCGCGGCAATGATGTCATTAAAAGCATGTGACTTGTCTTTCATGGGGGGTGTAAGACAAAGTTTTCTAGCACTGGTGTAAATGGTAGACAATCCTGTCTGATATGCAAGAAATGAACATAGTGTTCCTGGCAAGCCAGGTGAATCTTACCAGGCTCTATATTATTGGCCGTTTAATTCTATTACATTAATGCAGGATCTTTCAAATAGAAATCTACCCTAATTAATGACACCAAAATCCTGTAAACTAACAAATTGAAAATTCTGCATTCAAAGCTAGGCAAGTCCATTACATATTAAAATGAAATCTTAAAAAGTTAGGAGAAACATCTGTACCACCTTTTTAACAAATGTTATAATAAGAAGCATACAATTCAAATGAAACAATATGGTGAAGGGAAATGCTGCTATAATTATATATTTTAGCCAGCTGCTTGTGCAGACCAAGTTAAGCTGGCATATACATGCTGTTTTACCCTGGTTTTCACTGTTTGCTATTCAGTTGGTACAATTATATGTATTTTAAAATTTTCTATTAAGTGATAAATGGTTTTGTCCAGATTGAAATATAGACAATTCTATTTAAGATATTTAGCTACATAAGGGTTAAACACATACGCTAGGGTAAATGTAAGCATATTGCAGAATGAAAATTACATTATACATTTTCTTTGACCTCTTCATATTCTTATAATATGAAATCAGAAACAGTTCAAGTACAAAAAGAATTTGGTGTCACCATACACATTTTTGTCCTTAATTTGAAAAATTTGATTATTTTTCAATATGCTATAGATTTGTTTGTCTGTACGTAACCATGGAATAGAGTGAGCTTGTGCAGGTTATTTTCATTCTTTATTTTTAAGGGTAACCCTTATACTGTCAACAAGTACACATTTTCATTAATCACCACTAATTCAATAAAGTAAAATTATAAATACATTTGTATTCAAATATTTAGCTACATTTACCTAAGGAAAGATAAAATACTGATTTAGGTTATCTTGTTTTGGTTGACCTTACGACAAATAGACCTTGATTACAAAATCTTTAGATTTGACATTACTTAATTCCGTTTCCCAATTTAAAACTAATCAATATCATATAGAAGTAGTTATTGAACGCTGACATGAATTTAACCTGTACTTGAGAAAAAAAACTGACCTAAAATTTTTAATTCTTATTTGAAATATCAAATCTTTATTGTTTCCAATTTATAATTATGCAGCATTAATTGGCAGTTAATTAGTTAATTGCCAGTAATGACAAAATGAGCTTGACATCTAGTCAGACCACACAGGCGTGCAGACTGTCCTGACTCTGTCCTGACAGCATAGGTTTACTTTAATTACTGCTTAAGTTCAAAGAGTAATTAAGTACAAAACTACAAATATTTGATAGTACCCAAGTTGTTTTTTTTTTAATTTTTCAACAGAGAATATTTTATAGTGCAATAATATACAATTATTGACTAGTGAGCCATTGAATATGATGTGATATTCATCGGCAGATGTCATATTGACCGAGGCGATAGCCGAGGTCAATATGACTTTCTGCCGGTGAATATCACATCATATTCAATGGCTCACTAGTCAATAATTGTTTTATTATATGAATAAGCTAAGAAATAAAAAAATCACGAATAGTACAACCTTATATACATGTACAAATTTTGCCTCGTTGAAGCGCGGGAAAAAAGACGCACGTGTTAGGCGTGCAACGACTTCGCAAACGCTGCGCATACAAAAGTAATTCAAGTTTATACTCATCATTGCGGTGTAGCCTTTAAGTAAAATGGTAATGTATTGATATTTTAATCGAAAAATATGCCATAAAGAACAAAAAGCAACAATTATTTTTTAAGTAACACGCGTATTTAACAGTCTACGGTGTATGATCATTGAATATGAGTCTCAATCTATTTTTAGACTGGGAAAATCCTATTCAGCCAGTGAATATGATACTACACCCAGTAAATATGATTTTATAAAAAGTTCTGTTGACTACTGTTTGGACCAATGAGATTGCAGCTATATTTAGATCATATAATAACTGTTGATATTACATGATGACCTTTCAGGTGTGAGACTTATACTTTAGGTGCCTGCCTCACAATGCATTTATACAGGCAATCAGCAGACTGCCCCAAAACTTCTGCAAGCCATGAGGAAGATGGCGACAGAATTATTAAGAATAACATACTACAAACAAAATAATCGGCTAAAAGGTATTTCTACAGAAGACAAATACAGGAAGTTTTGGTCTATAGGATAGTAACATCTCCTATTTATGATATGTTTTAAACAAAAGAAATACCGATATTAAAACAAAGTGGGACCTTTAGGTTTGATTATGGGAAGTATTTCTAGAGATAACACCTTACTCTCGTGTCAATAACTACCTGTCAGTAATATACGAGATAAAACAGTCATGGTAGCCTGATAAGTTCAATCATGGACAAAACAAGCTTAATGACAATTTGTAAGGATTCTTTTAAACTTAATTTAATTTCTAAATAATAATGGATTATAAAATAAAAAGGTAAAAATACATACTATTTAAAAAAAAAAAAATAAGGAGAAAAAAATCTTTATTTTAGAATTTTATCTAACTAATAAATATTTTTTATATTTCAATTACTACATCATCACTCAACATAAAATAAAATAGAATATTTAAATCTAAATCCTTAATTTGAATATTATTAATTCGGTTTAAATTTAGACTTTTGCTCATTATATGTATATTATATTATATATGCTAGTCAGGTAATTCAATGACCAAATTATTTCCTGCTGTGTACCATACTTGTCACATATATTTTCATAAATCTTTCAACGTTTAAATTAAGTTTCAATATTCAAAAGAAGGGATAAAAACTATTTATGTCACCTGTATTAATTTCAATTATTTTGTAAACACTATGAAGCTGTTTTATGAATTTTAATATATTCATCAAGTGAATTTAATTTCTATTCATTGATGAAGTACACAAATCATTCCATTGATTGAATATGATATCTATTTCAGTAAAGTATGGTGAAGTTCCAAAAGTCTCCAAAGATGAATAATTCACATTGCTTATATTTAAATGAATTAAAATGAATGAAACTTCAAATATGTCACCCTACATCAGTTTCGGTGTATCAAACAACAGTTCCACATTGGATATTGTGACGATAATTTTAAATTCAAATAATAATATTAATAACACTGTTGCCATGGCAACTGAACAAACTACAACACTATTTGTTACTATGCACGGTTACCATGTGGATTTGCAAAATCTCTTAGTTGCCATAGTTATGGTAATTCTGGGAATCTGGATTATTGTGCTAAATTTACTACTCATACACACTCTCGTGAAGTGCCGAGCACAACTTGAAGTGACAGACATGTTTATTCACAGCCTGGCGGTGACGGACACCGCTGTCGGTTTCCTTATACTATATAACTCTGCGTACAACATTGTCAACTTTCAAAACAGATACGAGTGCCTGATTCGCTTCGGACTAATTCATACAATGTTAATGAACTCTACCGGATTCATATCAATGTTAACTATAAATAGATACATTAAAATTACACGACCTTTCCAATACACTAATATTTTCAAAAAATGGCGGATAATTTTATTATCTGTAAGTATATGGTGCATTTCTGCAGGAGTGGGTCTAACACCTCTTGCAGGCTGGAATAAAGAATACGTGCCGACAGAATTAGATGAGAGTCATACAGCATGCCGATATTTTGGAATAATGCAACCAGGGTATATTCTATTAAATGTTACATTATACTGGATTCCATTGATATTAATGATTGTAATGTATTCACATGTGGCAAAAATAACATGTCATCATTCAAGAGTGATAAGTGCTCAAGAACAAGTGCTATCTAGAAAATCAGTAAAGATATTTGAAAGTCGATCATGGCGACTAACAAAGACAATATTCATAGTTATTGGAGTTTACTTCTTTTGCTGGCTTCCAACAGGTAGAGTATCACTTATTATAAGTCTATTTTGCAAACAATCTAGAATAGGATATAATCAAAAAACTTTCTTATGTTTTGGTAATGAAAAAAAGCCTAATAGATTTTTTGTTCTTAGAAAAAACTTTATTGTCTTATGATATCTTGTTCTTGGAACACTTTTCATAACAGCAATTTTTATTCTTATAGCTTTGATTAAAATGGTTCAACTCAATCACTATTTATATTGCACAATTTACAAGGGAAAATATTCCTTAAAATGATATAAATTTTCTTAATTTCAGGAGTATACTTCATGATACAACTGTCTGGTTCCATCAATTATCTGAACTATACAACGCAGGGAAACATTCTCACATTCACGACAGCTGTCGGCTTTCTTAACAGTCTCTTCAACCCTATCATATATGCCACAAAAATACCTTGCGTCAAACAGCGTTTCTCTCAAGTCTTTTGTTGTAACCAACAACGAAGACAATCATTACATACTGTTGTTTTTACAACTGAAAATATGGTGTCATGCGATAATAGAAATAAATCAAGCATAGATTTACAAGGAATCGACTCATTGACTTAGCTGAAGAAAAGCTGCGATAAATATCAATCAAAGCAAAAAGGTGCTTGCAAAATAACAAGCGTTTAAGGACTTGGCTGCTGAATTCAAATAAATTGACCAGCATTTACTGAAAGGCCAAAGACGTGTAATTCACTGCGATGCTTGGAGTCAAAATAATGAAAAACTGAAATACTTTTTGTAAAAAAGTGCTTGCCAAATAACAAATTATTGTGTTCAAAGTTTACTGGCTTGAAGTATCTGATAAGGAAACCCCCATAGATGTGCAATCTAAAGATAGTTTGGCTTGTTGAACTTCATTCTTAGCTAAAGTGAAAAACATTATGAAAATGATGACTTTAAAAGAACAGAAATGAAAAAAATCAAGCAGATCTGTGCTTATGTACAATATGTGTTGCAATATCACAACAATGTATTGCAATCACTGTCACTGTTTCATATGAACATAACATACATTTATTTTTGTTGTGCCATTATAACATATTTGCAAATTTGGGTTTGATGTTAGTAAGGGTTCTACGCTTGTTTATTAAAGTTAAACACATCCAAACAAAAATCTCTGCACATAATAAAGTTATGTAATAACAAAATTTATTTAAAGGGCAGTAACCTAACCCTTGATTACCCTCTCCAAATGGGAAGTTACTGACTTGAATTTTTTTTAATTAAGTTTTTTGAACATAAAACCTCTGTACTTTGTATTGAAATCTCAAAACTCAAGTATTGTTTGGAATAATTTCTGTCTAAATGATTTTTAAAAATTGACAGGTACAATAACAGTAATATGTTTCAAGTAAAAAAAAATCTTTGATAGCACAACTTTTAGGATGGGAGATTTAAAAACAGTTGGTAACTAGAAATGTGTCATCATGCCACGGATGCCCCCGCATGCAGCCAAAATTTCAAATGTTATAATATTTTGTTCCAAATTTGTTTGTACAAATTATTTTTTTCATTCTAAGTTCAAAGCCCTTAAAACTTTTCAATGTTAACACAAACCATTTTTATACAATGTTCAAGGCACTGAAATTAGTCTTAACCTTTTGAAAATAGCATATTGCATATTTGTAGCCAAAATAATGGCTATATACATTTCCACAAAAGTATGAGTGCTGAAACTGAAAGTTCAAAATTTTTCCAACATTCAAGAAAGATAAGTTTGTCCAAAATCATTGAACGACGACCAAATTCAAACTTAAACTGCTTATTCCTAAGATGTATCTATATTATTTTCAAAGTGAAAGGGACATAACTCTGCCAAAAAATCATCGAACCATGACCAAATTCCAACTTGACCTGCACATTCCTTTGATATATCCATATGTCAATTTTGAGTTGAATATGTAACACTGTTGGGTTGATAATGAACAGAAACTGTAAATTTCATATCATTTTCAAAGTGAAAGGGGCATTACTCTGCCAAAAATCATTGAACCATGATTAAATTCGAACTTGGCCTGCGCATTCCAAAATCATATCCATATGTCAAATTTGAGTTGAATGTGTAATACTGTTGGGGAGATAATAAACGGAAACTGAAAATTTTATATTATTTTCAAAGTAAAAGGTGCATAACTCTGCCAAAAATCATTGAACCATGACCAAATTCGAAACTTGACCTGCACATTCTTTTGAAGTATCCATATGTCAAGTTTGAGTTGAATGTGTTGCACCATTGGGGAGATAATAAATGGAAACTGAAAATTTCATATTATTTTCAAAGTGAAAGGGGCATAACTCTGCCAAAAATCATTGAACCATGACCAAATTTAAACTTGACCTGCACATTCCTTTGACGTATCCATATGTCAAGTTTGAGTTGCATTTGTTGTACCATTGGGGAGTAAATGAACGGAAACTGAAAATTTCATATTATTTTCAAAGTAAAAGGGGCATAACTCTGCCAAAAATCATCGAACCATGACCAAATTTGAACTTGACCTGTATTTTTTCATGACATATCCATATGTCAAGTTTGAGTTGAATGTGTTGTACTGTTGGGGAGATAATGAATGGAAACTGCAAATTTCATATTATTTTCAAAGTAAAAGGGGCATAACTCTGCCAAAAATCATTGAACCATGACCAATTTCGAACTTGACCTGTATTTTCTCATGACATATCTATATGTCAAATTTGAGTTCAATATGTGCAACGGTTATTAAGATAATGAACGGAAACTGATGATGACGGAAGGACGGAATGACGGAATGACAGAATGACGGAATGACGGAACAGGGTAACACTATATGCCCCTGCCATTATATGGCGGGGGCATAAAAATGGAAAAGATATAATTATTTTGAACTAAAATGTATAATATACATTGATCTAATCTTTCCTGTCCTCAATCTATGTCTTTAGCCTTTGAATAGGGAACTGCCAATAGACAGATATCAATATTAAAACTGCTAAAATTTAAAATAATCAATAGTATACAGACTGGTCAGACTGCAAGAATGTGCAATATGGTTTTGTTATATATTACTAATATAAGCCAAGCTAATAGTTTGTTGTCCGGAACTTAGCAAATGTGAATATTTCCAGGTAATCCCCAAGGACAATCAAAACTATATTTCCATTGTAGTTTCAGGGTGCACTACCATTCACAATAGAATTCTCACCCTGTTCTGCTTATTTATAAGTTGTAACTTTGTACCCCTGGATAAGCTAGAAAAACCCAAAATGTCCTTAATTCTGGAAAAGTCTTTTTGAGGTGAGCATTTAAATGGTCAATAAACTCATACTTAAAGAGGATAATTTTGAAGAAGACATTAAAATAGATAAATGTCTCTTTGAATGTAAACCTGTAGAGAGATGGGATATATAAAGTAGCTGGTGTCAGTGACATTTGACTATCTATATAGAAGATAAAGAGAAGATTAATGTTATCAAATTAACTGTGATATAGCTCAATCTGTGATAATTTATTGTAACTTATATATTGTATGTTCAAATGTTATTAAAGAATTATCTCTTCAATAGCCATAAGGCCAAGAGAATTATGCTTGTTTTTCTTGTCTGCACTTCAAATAGGTCATATGGCTAGGCATTTCTTCTCTTATTTCCTAATACAGAAATAATGTGGTTCTAGTTTTGCTTCTTTGACGATTATTTAAATATGTAATAAAAAGTTAAATGTTGAAGTAGAACATGAAAACAGACATGTTTTTGGCCTGATCAATATTATAATCAAATACAAAGTGTTGTCAAACATTTCAGATATGTAAGAAATACAGGAACATTCTTTTGTAATTGCTAAGATTAAATAAAAACATTACAAACAATCTTGTGGGTCAGTTATCTTTTGGCCAGTGACCTCCCTGGAGAATAAGAATGCAGATCGATTCCTGCCAGATAAATCATCTCCTATACAGTTATTATAAACTTATGATATAAATGTAAACAGACTGTGAAGTATTATCATCAGATTTTATAAATGAAAACAAAGAGAAAACATATCTATCCTGGAGAGGTAGTCTATGGATAAAGGATTAATTTACTACTATAAGTTCCATGACCGACTTTAGGAATTTTAGGAATAGATTTTTAATGAAAGTACAGACAGGCTGGCACTGAGGGCATGTCGATGATATTTAATTTTTCATAAAGTTTGCATAAATGGAAAGTGAAATTCTTTCGAAAATAAAAGTTGCCTGTCAATATCCAGACAATTTTTCAGGAAAGCTTGCCTTATAACATGGCTTTTGAAATATGAAAGATGTTAAACCTGACCAGGAGGTTAGTAATGTCACACTTTGTTTGTTTCTTTGGATTTAACGGCAACACTGACAAACTATTGGTTATACAGCACCAAACACTAAAGTACAAGAAGTAGGCCTCAAGTATTTGAATACAAGTTTACTTCCTTTAAGTAATTGATCAAAGTTTTGGATGGAACTGATCACCCTTTTTCATTCTCATTTTTGTTGACAACACAATAATCTGTGCACACCAAGATATGTTATTGGGTATAACTTTTTTAAATGCTGAAGTTGTATAATGTATGTCTTAAGTGGTCACATGACAGACAACATGTGGTATAGCATTGTCTACAATGTCATTATTTTGAGAGGAGCTTGATTTATTTTCAAAATCCAAAATTATTAAGAAATATCTATACATGTATATACATTGATGTCCACCAATGCCATCATATTTCTTCAGTACTCATGAATGTTGATATTTTACAAAGGGCATATGCTGCTTTATAATAGCTACTTAATGAAGCAGGCAAGAGGCCACTTGAGTAGACAGGCCAGGTTCAATACAACTTCCGATTTTAAAAGGGGCATACCTGAACTAAGTAAGCAACTGATCATTATTTTAAGGGCAGTTACATAAAAGTGACTCTGTCTTGAGTTGACAATCAAGCTTTACTTGGAGCAGGATTACCACAGATTCTCTCTACCTTTTACTTAAGGCACAAGTAAAAGACTTCCTACAATCAGACAAGTGATGTAACATGACATTTTGCTTCATCTTTAGTTTTCAAATTAATCTTAAGTCTATATATATATCAAAAGATTGACTATGATTATAGTAACTGATCAATTATTGACAAAGACAAATGATAGAATTAACCGAGTATACGAAACCTACACTCATTGATGGACTTTGTTTCTCAAGTAAGGGCCTTAACCATTCGGCCATGGAGTCACATACCCAACACTGAAAAAGTCATACCAGTATTTATAGTGACTTTCCAGTTTTACTTGTGGAGGAAGATGACAGGTGACCCATGCAGCCATTTAACCTTGGAAATGTCAGAAAAGTCATAGTAGGTGATTCTTTCATTCTGAATTAATGTATTATTTAAAATGTTGATCATAATATTGTAATTGCTCGCAACCATGATTTCCTTTGTGACTAAGGTTTACGCATGCATATTATAGTGATACATATTATCCCACTAAACTGCTTTAAAAAAAGTATTTAATAATCATTTACATCTGAGCTTATTACATAATGAATTTAGATATTGTAATATTTACAATTATTATAATCATCACAAACATTTTAGAAATTTACAGATAATCATGATTACTGAACATTAAATCAGTAACTTATACATTGTATTTCAAATCTTTAAAGGCCCATTATGGTTCAGAACAGGTGTTATTTTTATTTCTTTAAAAATTTTCATTTTAGTGTACATGTACTTTTATAGTATCCAAAATGTTAGTCATTTGCTAATAATTTTAATAATAGTTTGGTTCTGTTGGTAGCTGGATACTAATACAGTTATAGTGATTTAGTATTTTGTATGGAAGTCAAAATACTACTTTGTTTACATTTTGCTACATTTACGACAAATCATTTCACTTTCAGCGCTATACATTCTTAAAATTATCACCATCTAACATGCTCCTACACGATTTTTTTTATGTTATTTTATAAAACTGATGCTAGACCAGTCTCTAGAGAAGGGAAAAACTATTTGTTTCTGGGGCATAATGTGCCTTTAATACATATTACGTTTAATTACACAAGATTAAAACATTTCATTGATATTATTTTTTAACATTTGTATTGTAATGCTTTATAAACGACAGCATGAATATATTGTATATTTTGATTAATTTACACCTACTTACAAATATAAGTAAAATCAAATGATTATATCTTAATTTCAACTTGTTAACATTAATTTTCAACAAAATATGTTAACATCAAAATTGCTGGTATTCATAGTCAATCATCATAAAAAGACGGCACAACTGGTGATCTCAATTCCATACTCTTGTCACCATGGTGATTAATATTTACAATATGATTCTAAACTAATGGAATTCTACTGAAATTTTTACTCTGTCATTTAAAATTCAAATTCACAAAAGAACCTTAAAGTTCATTAAAAGAAAAAGTTATGTAAAAAAAGTTCCTGCTTTTTGTTTTGATTACATTTTTCTCTCTCAGTTCTTCACTTGTTTCATGAAAATCTACACCTGGTTTTGAATCTGTCTACAAAGAATATGAAACTTTTCACTAAAGTCTAAGACATAAATCTGGTTAATTTTACATTGATCTGTTACAATGAAGTTCATTAAGTCCCTAATTTCATTTTGGATATATCTTTTTCATTTCAAAGATTTTAATTTTACAGGGGTAGTTTTAATTTTCTAACCAATTCATATAATTTTGAATTTTTTCTTGCATGCTGAATTTCTTTAAAGAATTTGTCCAGCTTTCATTTTTGAAAAATAGCATTATCAAATTTTGGGAATTTAATTTAAAAACCCTTTCTGTTTAAAGTTTTTTTTTACATTTTAAAGATTTCAAAAAACTTTAAAGCATAAGAAAGGTCAAAAAAAATTTTTCCTTAAATGACTTTTAAATTTTTAATGAAAATCAAAAAAATAAGAGAAGAATTTCGTGGAAATTTTTTAAATGGGGTCCAAATAATCACAAAATTTTTTGAAAAAAAAAGGGGTGACATTTTAAGGGGATGGAAGGGACATTGTTAATGTTCGGGGACATATTTCTTTCATGCGCGAAACACTTCAGAGACCGCCGTTTGTATAAATAAGATACGTGACACGATGCCGTGTAATAATAAATTAAACTATTACCCAAGAGGTTCTCTAAGCAGAGAATATGGAAATGTTTGCTTTGCTTGCCTTTAACAAGCTCTAGAATATTCTAGTCTTCGTATAGAACATGAATTGACAGGAACTTTTACCATGTGATCATCATCGATTCAATTGCAAGATATTTCATATATATCTATATAGATATGACACCTACATATGTTGTATTTGTTTCGTACGTTACAAAGACATAACAGTAAATGACAAAAAAATGTGTGTGTATTAAATACAACTGTATATATAATAGTGACAAAAGCGGAAAGCTGACAGAGGAAAATTGGATTTGACAAGGAGAGATACAGGATATTAACCGACTTTTCTGAGGTTTCTTCTGAACTGATATTGTCACACAATAACTTTAAAATCTAATTATGTGTAACAAGATATGAACAAATCCTCTAAATTTTACTATACAAAATGTAGGTGAAAGGAACTCAGGATTAGAAAACATTTCTCCTAAATGTTAAGATATTAATTATATTTAAAAAATAAATAAATTAAAGAGTTATTAAATGCTGGAAAGAATATGGAAAAAAGTTTTGCCTATAGTGTTAATAATTCTAAAAATTCATCTTTGTTTAACAATCTAACCAATGCAACTACACACAAAGTTGAAGCAATACCAGATGATGTACCAGCTTATTTCGAGACTGTTTTATTTGTGACATCTTCTGGAGCACAAATTACGTTTGGATATTTTGTTGTTTGTATATTGACTTTAATACTAGCTCTATGGATTATATACTTAAATGGATTAGTTATCCAGACACTGATATGTCAAAAGTTACATAGTGAAGTGACCGACTATTTCGTATCCGCGTTATCCCTAGCTGATCTCTTCACTGGCATACTGTTACTGTATGTAACTTCATACAGTATTTTCCAGTACCAAAATTACTGGGAATGTCTTTTTCGATTCGGATTGACATATGGCATTGGACAAAGCTCCTTTACTCACATTCTCGCAATAACATTCGACAGATTTGTAAAAATCATATGTCCGTTCCGTTATTATTCCTTGATCACTAAAAAGACAGTGATCATTACTTCAACTATTATTTGGATCTTCTCAATGAGCATTGGACTGCTCCCTTTATTTGTCTGGCAAAAGCATTTCAAACCAAGCAATAGCGATGACACAGTCTGTCGATTTTTTGGAGTGCTGCCTGATGGATATTTTATTGCCAACTTTATAACCAGTCTGCTTACTTCAATTGCAATGTTGTCCATGTATGCGTGTATCATATACACAGCAGTGAAGCAACAACGCAGAATGAAACACCTTTTGGATGGATATGAGTTATCAAAACCTAATTTTGATGACCAGAAATGGAGACTTGTGAAAACTGTTGCTTTCATTGTAATTGTCTCAAACTTGTGCTGGCTTCCTGGAGGTAAGAATGATTTGATAGCATTCTTACAAAAAACATATTGTACAGTTTGAATATTTTTGTTCAGATTAATTTATGCAATGATTTGCAAGCCACTTACCAGACATGTTAAAAGTTCTGTACTATAGTGTTTCTTACCCACAGCAGATTATGGTTTGATTCTTAGAAAGCTTTCCCCAATTGTAAAGGGCTTTTTCACATAATTATTTAAAAAAATTTGTTTCCTAAAGTTTAAAAGATATAAAAACTAGAGATTATGTAATTTTCAACCTGTGTATAACTAATCAAAGCATTAATTTAAGCATAATCCAGTCATTGATTAAAAAAATCTAGGTACAAAATACATTAATTTTGTTTCAGTTTCCTTTAACCAAAATAACTTGTCTTAGCATTTCTTTTCTTTCTTTTACAGAAAAATGCCTAATATTTTTCTAGATTGTGCCATTTATATAAGCAAATAAGTACTAACAAAAGAAAACTTTGTGTATACAGTAATATCAACCATGAACAGACAATTTCTCATCTTTAGCTGACTTTATTATACACCTATAAATGAAATATTGAGAAATATAGATGAAATAAAATGTGTATTTTCATTTTCTGTATTTTAACTGTTAAATATATAAATTAAACTGTTAAATAATCTGTATTTATACAAATGTCCCACTTTTTATTTCCAGGGGTTTGTGATTGTTTTTACATACCCGGGGGTTTTGATCGGGAAATTCAAAAAATGCCCGATTGAGACCAAAAGGAGACCTGAAAACTTCTGGGGGTTTTGGCTTTTCTTCTTGAACTCCTTGTTTAAAACCCACTCATTTTAGCGGGAAAAATTTGGGGGGGAAAGGGTTAAGAGAAGATTTTTGTCAGTGTTATGTTGCCAGCTCCTGGGAAATAGAATTTAAGCAATCCCATCTAGGCAATCTTCAAAATTTTAAAAAGGTTTTTCAAAAATTTGAAAAAATTCTCGGAATTTTTTAATAGACACAATTTTTTTTCTCTAAATTTTAAATCAATTTTTTGCCCAAAATTGACCTTTAAAAGTTTTTTGCTCATGACAAATGTTTTTTGTTCATGAAGTTTAAAATCAATTACGGTTTAATGTTTTTGTCTATGAATAAGACACTTAATTCAGGTTTAAATGCTTGTTTATAAACTTTATGAACTAGAATATTGTTTATCTGTAATACTTGTTTATAAACTTTATGAACTAGAAGGCTGTTTATCAATAATACTTGTTTATAAACTTTATGAACTAGAATATTGTTTATCTGTAATACTTGTTTATAAACTTTATGAAATAGATGACTGTTAATCTGTAATACTTTTTTATAAAATTTATGAACCAGAAAAACTGTTTACCTGTAATTCTTGTTTTAAGTAACTTTATAAATAAGACAACTGCTAATCCGTATTACTTTATTATTTATAAACTTTATGAACTAGAAGAGTGTTTATCTGTAAAGCTTGTCTATAATAAATTTTATGAACTAGAAGACTGTTTATCTGTAATTATAATGTTTAAAATATATATGTTGAAATATCAAATGCACAGTGTCACTTAAATTCTACACATTTCCTAGATTTTTTCTTAATATATTTTAAAGCTTGTTTACTGATCTAAACCACTGTAAAACAATGAAACTAAAGATATTAAATCATTCATAATTTTTAGAGGAAAATTAAAATATTTACTGACTGAATAGCAAACAAAACAGCCAATGATCAGATGGCACAGATATGCTGGCAGATCTTGGTCTGCACTGGTCACATGGATGGATTCAGTTGCCACTTGCAAGTTAAAAGATTAAATAAATATCTTGACTGACCTTCAGAAGCATGGCTTCACCAACTCTGATTGATGACTCTAGTGTCCTGATAAAGTTTGGATCTGTTGCCGTGACAACTTTCAATTTGGAGCCTTCCATTAGTTGAATCCATCTGTAAAATACAATATAAGATAATCATTTCTAACATTCTAAAATTTCAACATTTCTTTATTAAGATTTCATTCTTTTTTTCAGATTTCCTATACAGATAATAGTACCAACTCAAAATTATCTAAAACGACCATAATCAAAATACAGTAGTCTGACAAAACAAGGAAATATGATTGATATATGTATGGACTTTCCTGGTCAAGAATCCACAATGGCTAATTTATATACCTCCTTGGAGAGAAGCATCCCCTTAACTCTAAATAAATCAACATATTTAAACAAACAAGTCTGATCACAGAGATTTGACCAAAACTGTAATGAAATTAGCATAAAAAACAACAGAAAAACAAATACAACTAAACTAGACTTATACAAATATAATAATATATAAATAGTGTATACATACGCTGCAGCCTGACCCTGTGGGTCAATCAGAAGAGGCCATTTGTTACCCTTCTTCACCATGATTGCATTAGCAGTAGAGTGTGTGTCCAATGGAAGCCCCTCATTTTGCCAAAGTAGAATCTGTTATTATAAAAATAAAATCATAATGTACTTACAATTATCTATTTTGAACAATAATACTGATAAAATAAACTTTTAACATTGACAAAATATTAACTGTATAATGTGTTTGTTTTATGAAAGGTTAAATGTCTTGTCCATTGTCCTTTTTTCCATATTACATGTTTAGTAATACCTACAGGTTCATATGTATTTTTACTGTAAATGTTTGATAAGAAATGAATAAATTATATTAAAATTTTAAATGAAAACATGCTAATGTTAATTTTCCAGTATGATTTTTTTTCCTCATTAAAATGTTATTGTTCATAAAAAAAAGATTATGAAAATATATAAAGTAATAAAGAGTTATGTACATTTATAATGCTACTATAAATAAACCATATAAAAAATTTTACAGTATGATTTTTTTTTCCTCATTGCAATGGTATTGTTCATAAAAAAAGATGATGAAAATATATAAAGTAATAAGGAGTTACGTACATTTAAAAATGCTTTCTATAAATAAACCCTTTTGCAAAACAGCAAGAAAATATCTATTTTTAATTTTCAAAAAATTCAAAAAACCTTAAGGTAAAATTTTTCCCCAAAGGGTCCTTTTTTAAAAGTAATGGTGAGCATCCACTGGGATTTTTTATCAGGTCAAAATCTTTGGTTATAGGTATGTTAGAATCTTTACATTTCCCCACCCACTCATTGATGAGCTGTTTGCGGTATTTGGCCGTGAATGGTCCTATATAACACACACTTGCAGCAGCCACTAGTGTATCTCCAACAAGACCTTGTAACTTGAAATCAAGTTCATTAACAGACTCCGCCCATCTCACCTGTTAAAATATACAAGAATACAATAATATTTTATGCATTATAACTATTGACAAATGATAAATGCATCAATGATCCGGGGGATATAGTGGTTAATAGCAATAAAAATTTGATATTTGTTGATCATTAATGATAATGAAGGATAACAACTCAGTTTTACATTAAAGATTAACACAATGGTGTCCATGTTGTTACCTCCAGTCCAAGAATAACATGACAGTATTGGCATGGACACATCATTCATCTTCAATTTATGCAGTGTAAAATAAATTTTAACACAAAAATAAATTTCACTCTTTAATTTAAACTACTGTTTTCTTTAAATGTTGCATTAACATCATTTAAAGAAAATGTCTTTAACAATATCTCAAAATGATCAGTTCAAACACTTGTATGAAACCAGCTATGGTCATATTGACATTTCGTGTCTCCAATCAGGCATCTTTGAGCTATCATTGTTTTTTAATATAGGAAAACTAAAAAAATGTGCTAGACTAAAGCCTTTTAAATGAGATGGGCTTTCTTATAATTTTTGTTAGTCAATTTTGAACACTACAATACTGCTAGGAATAAAGAAATGAGAAATCTGTGTTACCTTTTCATCAGCGAGAGCTCCGATCAGAAATACCTGCTCTTTTCAGACGAAGAGTTGTTTGTTTCCTGGTGTTTTATCAGAGCTTCTCTTTGGTCCACACTTTCCTGATACTTGTCTGTCAATGTGTCTAAAATGTCCTTGAATCTATAATTCATACATTTAAAAAATTTAATTTTTAATGTCACCCCCTAATTTTAAAATGACAGGTTTATGGAAAAACACAAATTAAAAATTTTCTTCAGGCTTTTAAATGAATTCTAGAAAAAATTTTAAGAAGTTAAAAAGCAAAAAAAAATAGAAAGAAAAATTTTAAAAGGGAAAAAAAAAAAAGAAAAATTTTCCTTGGGATGAAATGCCACTTAATTTATTTTTAAATAGTTCCCTTTCATTTTTTTTATAATTTTCCTTTTTTCTTTCCTTTTATTTTTCAGGGTTTAAAAAATTTTGGGTGTATCAACCCCTTGGGGCCCAAAAAAAAAAGCCCCCCAGTGCCCTATTAACCCATCATTTTTCATTTCTAAAATGGTGTAAATTGAACGGGTGGTTTGGCCGTATACAATGTGCAGCGGCCCTGATTGTATATAAAAGTGAACTGTTACCTTATTTCAGAACTAGCTTTGGGTTTTGTGGCCAGACTATTCTGGGCCAACTTCAAGGCTTCTTTTGCTTCCTGTACTCTTTTCTGCTTTGGTTTAACCATCTGTAATCACAAATTTAGATACATATTACGATTTGTATATCATGCAAGTTTGTATTGAAACATGAGATCCAAATACTATTTGAATATTTAAATTTTCCCTTTGTACAGCAACTACAACAGCAGAACCTTTCAAATTTATCGTAGATATGTTATGAATGTACATGTAGTCTTAAAAATATCTTCATTCATCACAATCTTCATTTTAGAAAATGCATTATTCTCAAGATTGACCTGTTGAATAATAACCATAATTTTAGATTGTAATAAAGCAAAAGTTAAACAGAATATTTTTGAAGGTTGGGTTTTGTGTCACACCAAACACAGAAGAGGTAGTTTGTGACTTTTCAGCTTTTCTGTTGGAGGAAGACCTCATTCGCCCTTCTGAGCATTATTTCAGGCACACCTGAGTAGAATCATCAATGTTCAATGATCTAGTTAGATAGCTTCCTGACATGAAAGAATCCAAAGTCCCTCCCAGGATTTGAACCCACTATGGTGAGGAGCAAATGGTTTGAAGTTAACCACAACCACTCGACCATGGATACCCCTTAAAGAGAATAAAGTGTTAATGTATAAAGAGACTAGCTCACCTTATGAACCTCATTGTAATGTTCTAATGCTAGAACCCACTGACAGATAGACATACAGGCAAGTGACACTTTACCTACAGCTTCAGGATTAAAGTCTGGGTGTTTTGTATACTTCTTTAACTTGTGAAATACCTGAAATATATAAGCATGATATTGTTTAGTTTTCTTCAATATCATATTTTGATTATTTTCAATCAATGCCGAAAGTATATCAACAGGTAGTTGACATAAAATCAATGTATCCACTGAAAAATGTAATCCAAAAATCATCCATGTCAATTAGAGATGACATCATTAAACAATTTTTTTCCAGTATATACATTTTACATATAAAATTCGGATGGCCCCATAGAAAAGATCAAAATTTAGCACACTTTTTTTATTTAGTGTTATATACAATGGATTTTTTCCAACATATATTATGTCACACAATCTGTGTTTTTATTCTTTTTAAACCATTTAATATTTTCTAAAACCTAGAACCTACCTTATCAGGAAGGCTATTTTTATCAAACTGTAACAATTTCCTGAGAAAGTTTGGATCTCCCAACATCATTTTAGCAGTAGGCCAGTCTGGTTTTTTCTGGAAGAGTAGACAGACAGCATGTAGGACTGTGGATACGAGATATGGGGGGTTGATGTACACTCTGATCTCGGATATCGAAGCCTTATCCAGTGTCTCTAATGAAGCCACGGCCATTTTCAGTGCTGGAATGACTGACTCCAGATCTCTTTGACACTCCTGAAAATAAAGAAAAAATACCGGCTTTAATCTACAGCACCAATCACACATATTTTTTTTCTGATTTCATATAAATGTCTTGAAAAAGCGTCCATCATGATTTTTTTTAAGATAAAATAATCTTATGAACTGACATCATCAGATTAAGTAATGTGTCAATACATGTAATAAAAATAAGGGGAAAATGATGAAATACAACACATCAACACCAGTGCTTGTTCAGGTTATTTATTCTCCACCAGTTTTGGTTCTATCAATATATGATCAGCAATATTTTGAAACTAGAAATTTAAGAGAAATATTGAAAATAATTTCTAATTTCATAAATAACTGAACAAAGAATAAAACACTGCTTGGAAAAAAGGAAAGTTACATCATTAAAACTTAAAGTATATTTACAACCAAGCTTCCATTCCCTCATCATAAATAAATGTTTATTTTACAACCAACAGCAATAAAATCAAGAAAAACATAGGAAAGAGTAAAGGTTTATACCTCGGAGTAATCTTGTACAATCTGCGTCTCTTTCTTCATGATAGCCTCTTCATGTTCTACAATAGCTCTTACTTCATTTACAGCCTCTCTGTCTCTTTCTAGCTGTTCTAGTAATACCTCTGTATCCTGTTGCATAACACAAACACAAATCTGTTTTAACATCTACAAAACCTGTATTTTATGTTTCAGAGTTACACCTGTATCTTTTATTAAGAGGTTAATCAATACATGACTGGGTAAGGCTGAAAAGTGATGATGGGCCGCTTAATGAATATTGGCCTCAAGCACATTAGTTCTGTTAAATATTTATAGATTAAGACTTCTTATACTATGTCTGTTTTGTGTCTTGTACAGTTAAAGATAAAATTTTCTGAGAATTTAAAAAACAAGAACTGTCGGAGGATAGCGATGCTCGACTATTTGAAAAAGTTGTCACAAGGGTGTTTCATTGAGTATAATAAATGCTTACCTATATGAATACATAAAATTGTCCGAAAAGGTACAAAGGCTTGTTATTAAGATGTTTTATCGAGTAAATCACTGCTTTATTATTATGAATGCATAAAATTGTCCCAAAAAAGCACAAACCCTTCAGTAGTTATGGAGATACCAGCTTACAAGCAAAAACTTAACCAAGAATTCCTGAGCCGAAAATAGGGCATAATTATGCAAAAAGCAAATCAGAGTTATGGGACTTGTGCCAATCATGTAAGATAATCACAGAGAACAAGTGTTTTAAGTTTCAATCCATTCCCTTCAGTAGTTATGGAGATACCAGCTTACAAGCAAAAACTTAATCAAGGATTTCTTAGTCGAAAAAGGGGCATAATTATGCAAAAAAGCAAATCAGAGTTATGGGACTTGAGCCAATCATGTTAGATAATCACAGAGAACAAGTGTCAAATGTGTGAAGTTTCAATCCATTCCCTTCAGTAATTATGGAGATACCATCTTACAAGCAAAAACTTAACCAAGAATTTCTAAGTCAAAAAAGGGGCATTAATATGCAAAAAAGCAAATCAGAGTTATGGGACTTGTGCCAATCATGTTAGATAATCAAAGAGAACAAGTGTATGAAGTTTCAACCCAATTCCTTTAGTAGTTTTGGAGATACTTGACCACAGGGACGCCGACAAATGGGTGACTGCATTAGCTCGATTATTCTGCAAAAAGTCGAGCTAAAAAATTCTACTAGTTTTTTTCCATTATTTTTATTGTTTTTTTTTGTAACCAATATCTCAACATTATAAAGTGATATACCTTTTGTTTCTGTACCAACTGAGGGCCTATCTGCACCAGCTCATCTTGCATGGTACCAACCAGTGAGTTGGCTTCTGACAGTTTAAACAAACCAACTAACAGTCGATTCCTGAAACACAAAATAATAACCATTGTTGATATTTTCTTTACTTAGAAGTATATGTATTAACTTTAAAGCATTTGACCTTGAAAATATTTTTCAAAAATTATAACAATTTATGTGTCAAAGGTAATAATAGCAAATTAACAATATAAAGTTATTACTTATTTGCAATACAAATTAAACTTAAGGAATGTGCATTTCAACTTAGGTAAGCTACTGAAGGAATCTGTTATTCAATTTATGTAGGATCATGAAGAAATTTGTAATTGTAATTTATCTAGGCTCTTGAAGAAATTTGTAATTCAAATGATCTAGGCTTCTGAATAAATGCGTAATTCAACTTATCTAAGCTATTGAGGAAATGTGTAATTTAACTTATTTTTGCTACTGAAGGAATGTGTATACTTCAACAGAAAGCTGGAAATAAATATATCAAAACTAACTTGTTATTCATGAACTCTGTTTTATTTTCTCGCAATAACTTGGAATATAATCGTATAAGTTCCATGTAGCTACTGGGGGTAGAGTAATAATGACGTCTCATCTCGTCCCAATATTTCACTGCCATTACATTTATACTCTTGTGAATGTCCACACACATCGCTCCTACTTTACTCTTCAGCTCCTAAACAACATAGTAAACAGTGAAAATGTTAACATTTGTAAGGGAATAATAATAATAAGAAAGCTCTATCTCATAAAAATAATGATAATAAAACAACCATTACAGCAGATTTGAAAATGTATTTAAAAATAAAATTTTGTACAATAAACAAAGTAATTTACATAAAGTAAATGGTACTTACAATCCATGTAAATTACCAAAAAAAAAAAAAAAATGAGGTCAACATATGCAAACATAGCTTTCATAAAATATGATGATAAATACTGCAAAATCAGTTAATAATCACACAAAACATGTAAATTACTTTAACCTTTTTACTCTTCTTAAAATCTTAGTACATTTTTCTCACGTTTGACTTTCTTGGAATATTTTGGCTCATCTGGAGGCATACAGCTTTAAATAAGTGTTTTTAAAATAAGTGTTTTTTCAACTATCATGTATTGCCAAACAAATATTGCCAACTATTTTATGCCAGTGAAAACAGAAAGTACTGCCTTAACAACTACTAATATGTTAGCCTGTTTGTCAATCACACTACTTGTCACCAAGCTTCAAACTTCTACTATTCAATCAAAACCTTATGTTCTGAGGGAATGTTTAAATCATCAGATGTGATCCACCTACCAGAATATCTGTATCTTTGTCAGCTATAAACTCGGCATTCTCAAAGAAGACTTGGGCCACACTTAACATAGCTTCCTCGTCCCATTCATCATACCAGTCTATTGTACAACAGTTGATTAATGCAGGGTTCATTCTACATCTCTGACGGAACCGACCACCTATAATATATTACATCATTAATGAGCCGTGTCACGACAAAACCAACATAGTGTGTTTAGGACCAGCATAGATCCAGACCAGCCTGCACATCCCTGCAGTCTGATCAGGATCCATGCTGTTTGCTATCAGTTTCTCAACTTGTAAAAGGGTTGGTAAGCGAACAGCACGGATCCTGATCAGACGGGGTGGATGCGCAGGCTGGTCTGGATCCATGCTGGTCGCAAACCAATTATGTTGGTTTTGTCATGGCGCGGCTCAATTATTTTTTCGTTACAAGATTTCCTTTGGAAACTACATCTTTTTCAAGTGAATCATGAAAAAAAATCGTAGTGGTATAAATCACTAAAAACAGGCAATGTGATCATATTTTAGAAATGAAATGACTACTCATGGGAAATTAATTGGAAACTAGAAATGTGTCATCATGCCACGGATGCCCCTGCATGCGGCTAAAATTTCAGATGTTATAATATTTAGTTCCAAATTTGTTTGCACAAATTATTTTTTTTCATTTTAAGTTCAAAGCCGTTAAAACTTTTTAATGTTAACACAAACCATTTTCACACAATGTTCAAGGCACTGAAATTATTCAGTCTTAACCTTTTAAAAATAGCATATTGCATATTTGTAGCCAAAATAATGGCTTAATACATTTCCACAAAAGTATGAGTGCTGAAACTGAAAGTTCAAAATTTTTCCAACATTCAGGAAAGATAAGTTTGTCCAAAATCATTGAACCACGACCAAATTCAAACTTAAACTGCATATTCATAAGATGTATCTATATTATTTTCAAAGTGAAAGGGACATAACTCTGCCAAAAAATCATCAAACCATGACCAAATTCCAACTTGACCTGCCCATTCCTTTTACATATCCATATGTCAAATTTGAGTTGAATATGTAATACTCTTGGGTAGATAATGAACAGAAACTGTAAATTTCATATTATTTTCAAAGTGAAAGGGGCATTTCTCTGCCAAAAATCATTGAACCATGACCAAATTCGAACTTGGCCTGGGCATACCAAAAACATATCCATATGTCAAATTTGAGTTGAATGTGTTCTACTGTTGGGGAGATAATAAACGGAAACTGAAAATTTCATATTATTTTCAAAGTGAAAGGGGCATAACTGTGCCAAAAATCATCGAACCATGACCAAATTCGAACTTGACCTGTATTTTCTCATGACATATCCATATGTCAAGTTTGAGTTGAATCTGTTGTACCGTTTGGGAGATAATGAACGGAAACTGAAAATTTCATATTATTTTCAAAGTAAAAAGGGCATAACTCTGCCAAAAATTATAGAACCATGACCAAATTCGAACTTGACCTGTATTTTCACATGACATATCCATATGTCAAATTTGAGTTGAATGTGTGCAACCGTTCTTAAGGTAATGAACGGAAACTGATGATGACGGAATGACAGAATGACAGAATGACGGAAGGACGGAATGACGGAACAGGGTAACACTATATGCCCCGGCCATTACATGGCGGGGGCATAAAAAGTGTGTCAACTCTTTATTTTCAATGCAGAATATCAAACAAGAAATAAAAAATTTCAATTTCTGTTTTACAAAATTTATTGCTCTTGTCTTTATTTGACGTCTATTTTAATAAAGATTTTTCTCACTTTTAAACAGCAAGAAAGCTAGAGAAGAGGGTTCCCATATATGGCCAATAACAGAGCATATCTATGATAATAAAAAACTGATAATTTCAATGAATATTCTGTGCTAAACCAACAGAAAACCGTAAGAATCTTTATAAATTAATTAAAAAAGTTAATCATTTACCACTTATCCAGTATCAATACTGTATTCAAACACTGACAGAAAAATAAATTTTTAATATTGAATAAGAAGTGAAAATTCAAATATACCAGCGGGACTAAGTGCTAGGACAACATGTAGGTTTTGCCTGACACGTTGTATAAAGTAGTTATACACGGCCTGTCTCGTATCTGGTATATCAGCCTGTGTGGCTGATTGTTTCAGGTCCATCGTTATACCATCCACCTCCTCATTGTCAAACAAGTCCGGCACCTCACCAGAGTTTAATATACAGTTGATATCTTCCAGAAAACTCTCCTATAAATCAAAGTTCATTATTCTTATAATGATAATTTCAATTTATGTACACCAGATTATTTTTTTCTGAAAGATATTTTGTAGAGCTATAATCAATTATTCAAATCTCTAGAAACAAACGGGATTTCTATATCAACTTTAAAATGAACTACATGTACAAACAGTTTATATAGCTTGGTCAGACTGAATGGTAATACAGGTTGGCCTGGATATATTGTTTTGACAAAGGTTAATCACATATTGATCCAGCAAGGTAAGCCCTATTTGTAATAGATGTCAGAAAAGAAGCATACTTAAATATTCTCATTGCCTAAACAAACATGCTGGAGTTTTTACAAAGGGGGATAATTAAGTAAAAATTTATGCTCGCAATGATGCAACAGGGTGCAGTACTGCTTCATTATTCTTTTAATAATAGAGCTAAAAACATCCCAATATCAGAATAATTAACTAACCTTGACAATATCAGCATCAGTGAGAAGGAAGATCATTTTCTCTCCCTTCACACCAGTCTCGAGGAAAACTTTCTTGAGGTCATCCCTAAACTCTACCATACCATATCCTCTCTGTAACGTTAGTTTGAAAAGCTCGCACCCAGCTATAAAACTAGCCAGGTGTGCTATGGTAGACTTGCCACAGCCATCTAAACCAACCTGAAATATAGAAAATAATATACAAACAAGCAATTATCATAGTATTGCAAGCAATCCATAAGTCCCCTACCGGTAAGAGCCCAAGCAACATTCTGAAGGGCCATTGGCCATTCACTTATGTTCCTATTCTTAAGTAAATTTGTTGAAAAAGTTCTTAAAAAGTGATCAAAGGAAACAGTTTTTATGTATAGACAGACGGACTGAAGGACACTCTTAAGTGATTTTTTAAACATCCCTGTTAAGTTCAAAAGGGGCATAATTCTGGAAATAGTCTTGCTAGAGTATTGAACACTCACAAATGTTGAGTGACAATAAGAAACATTTATATGAAGTTTGAAGTAGATACATTCAGAAAAAGAAGTTATTAAAAAAAAACAATGTTTTTTTCATGAAAATTTTAAGTTCAAGGGAGGTAATTCTGAAAAAATTTGTGCTAGAGTTGTAAACCTTGTCACATATGATGTGGTTGATGACAAGCAACTTATATTTAAAGTTTGAAGAAAATACCTTAAGAAATAAAGAACTTATAGTGAAAAAACTTAAAAACTAGAATCAGAAATCTTGAAATTCAGTCTATTTGTTGCCATAGCAACCAGAATTTTCAACATAGGAAGATAAACAAGAGCTGTCCGTAAGACAGCGCGCTCGACTTTTTTATTGCTTGCCAATAAAAAAAGTTTTTGCAGTAAAAGGCAATACAAGAATCTCTGTATTTTTAAAGTGAACAATGGCCATGAGCATTAAGATATTTAGTGAAGAATTATTTTACTGAATTGTGTGATACCCTTGAACACTGCAGCAAAGTTTGAAATGTTTAAGTCAAAAGAGGGCTGGTAAGAAAGAAAAAAAAACTGAGTTGAGCCTTAAATAAATTTAATAGTATTAAACCCACTTTGAGAGAATAAGGTATTTTTACGTCACTCAGAACACCTTGGTAAATGACATAATAACATAATTTTTCAAGAAATCTATGCCAAGGAAGCAGTATATTTTTGTACAATCAGCATAATATATAGATTTGACTTTGTATGTGAAAGTATTATAGTTACCTTATAATATAAACAGTTCAGTCAAAAAGTGGACTGGTACTAAAAACTTAACCAAGATTCTAAGTCGATAAAAGGCCTTAATTTTTAAAACAAATCCTTGACAGAGTTACCTTCTCTTGCGTACAGATGGGGGTAATGATGTGAAATAGCATTAAAAGTTTCAAAGCAATATCTCAAAGGGTTAAGGCAATAAGTGGATTTTACCCATATTCAATGTATTTTCTAAGTCAAAAAGGGGCATAATTCTGTCAAAAACCTTGAGAGAGTTATGTCCTCTTGTCTGTTGATGAAGGTCGTGATGGTAAACAAGTATGGTCAGTTTCAAAGCAATACCTCCAATGGTTTTGAAATAAAGTGAGGTGGTACAAAAAACTTAACCAAGCTCAATACACTTTCTAAGTCAAAAAAGGGCCATAATTCTGTCAAAAACCTTGACAGAGTTATGTACTCTTGTCTGTAGATGGAGGTTATGATGGTGAACAAGTATGGTAAGTTTCAAAGCCATACTTGTAATACTTCTGAAATAAAGTGGGGTGGTACGAAAAAACTTAACCAAGGTGTGACGCCAACGCCGACGCCGGGGCGAGTAGGATAGCTCCCCTTTTCATAGAAAAGTCGAGCTAAAAAGGATGTGCATAATTTCCATACTGCCATCTACCCATATGTCAAGTTTCATAAACATATTTTCAGTACTTTTTGTGTTATCACTGGATCCAGGTTATGTGTAAAATTTGCCATATTTTCAGTCTATTTGTTGCCATAGCAACCAGAATTTTCAACATAGGAAGAAAAGAAAAAGACGTGCATAATCTCCATACTGCCATCTATCCATATATCAAGTTTCATAAAAATATTTTCAGTACTTTTTGCGTTATCACTGGATCCAGGTTATGTGTAAAATTTGCCATATTTTCAGTCTATTTGTTGCCATAGCAACCAGAATTTTCAACATAGGAAGAAAAGAAAAAGACGTGCATAATCTCCATACTGCCATCTATCCATATATCAAGTTTCATTAAAATATTTTCAGTACTTTTTGCGTTATCGCGGGATCCAGTTTTGTGGACGGACGGACTGACGGACGGACGGACAGACGGACGGAGGGTAAACCTAAAGTCCCCTCCGGTAAACCGGTAGGGGACTAATAAATATAATTTTTTAGGAGGATTGGGTTTAATGAACTTGTAAGTCATTATTGTAGAAATAAACCATTGGCTCTATTTCCTAGCCAAAAATTGAAATTATGTTAAAATGTTGAATTTGTATAACTATTGATATTGAAAAAATGCATTTACATTTGCAAATGAACACCTTAAATAAATTTAAACAAATAATATGTGTTGACTTCTACTAGTAGTTTCGGCCACTAAAAAAATAATCTTACTGTTCAATATTTTGTAGAACATTTTCAAAATAATTTTCAATATTCATAATTCATATATTCTAGATTTTCGTATACTTGTAAAACATAATTTATCAACTACATTTATGTATCTAAACAGTATGATATCAGTTTTATAATTAAATCAAAACAAACATTTCAATTATTCAACATCTCCCTTGATGATTCAAAGAATTTAAGTCCTAGAAATAATACTAAACAAACCAATAGCATGTGTCCACCGGGTTGACAGAAGATTCTAGCAGCTCTACAAATATGGTCAACAGCATCGCGGAAAAACACCATCTGTGAAGCCTGTAATATACATACAATCTATTTATAGAATATGCATCTCATTATCATACAAGGAACTGTTCTACCAACTGCATATGGCATGTACTGAGGCTTAAATCATATACTATACAAGTTGTGAGTAACTGAAATATTCAAAACAAACAGAGACAATTAATTTTACAAACTTTTTCTTAAGACAATGTTGAATAGTCAGTGAATGAATATGATTGTCATACGTAAATGAAATGAACTTTAAAGGAAAACACAAAACTTACATTAAAATTTTAATGAATGTTCATGTTGGTACTCATAATGCAAAAAGTATTACTGAAATTGTTTTTTCTTCATCATTATGAAATTATATCAAGGTATTAAGCTTATTTAAGTCTCATGCATGTTTATTAAAGTTTCTATGTTACTAACAAATTAATCTGATAGAAATTAAATTCTAAAATTATCTTATAATTAACAAGACATGCCATACCATATAAATGAATAAAAAAATGCACTGTAAATAAATCTATTTTATAATTGTTAGATAGAAAAATAGGTAACACAAAAAGAAATAAAAGAAAAATTCCCTTTACCAATGGTAACACAATAAAGACAAAATATAAAGCTTTTTAATTATTTTCTTGCTAAATGCAGAACATATCTGGAACAGGACTGCACATAGCTTGTCCCAGACAACATGACATCGTAAACTTCTTTGCCTTGTTAACTTATTTTTCCCTAAATAAAAGATATTGAATGAGTGTAGGTTATACTGTATTTACTGTACGAGTTAAATAGAATTATATTATGCGCGACTCTTGCGAGCAAAATATTATTTTATTCAACAAGCTCAATGAATACAGTAATGAACCTACATGAATATAGTATTCTATTTATCACATACTCAAAATAAAGACAGTTAAAAGTGAAATAAGAGTCATTTTCAGGTATGTGATAATAAGTATTTATAAATCAATACTTGAAAAGGTAACAGTCAGGTTTTGATTAAATTAATGTTGGCAGTGCCTTTTAAGTTACATAATAAAAGAAATATTATTTTTTACACACATTATGATTTTATTACATCTCTACTACAAAAGGGAGGTAATCAGTTGTTAACCGTTCTAAGAGCTATTTTCTCTTTCAATGTTCATTTTAAAATCATTAAAACATCATTATTCTAACTTAGCATGAAACTTTTATTTTACTATAACATCAAAGTACATGATTACCAATTTTTTTAGAAAACAACATTGCTGGGTTTTAATTAATGTGGATTGGGGTTAAAAAAAGGGATGCATGCAAATGTGATCTTTTTTTTAAAACCAGTCATGCTTTTAACATGTAAGTGCATTAGTTGATAAACAACAATAAAACAACAAATCACTGAGATCAATGTTACAATGGTGCTTTGTTTTGCAACGTAAACATGTTATATATAAGAACTGTAAGCAGCTGAAAACCTCACCGATGTTCTCTCCATATCGTACTGTAGCAGACGACAAAATCACTTTATGTCTTACTATCATAATAATACATGTATATACATATGGAATAACATACATATGGAATAACTTCATTTATATGTTTTTATATATAACAGACAAAGAATAAGCTATCCATGTTTTAATATTTTAAACAAACAACTACATGTATGTAATAATAGAAAGAAACTGGGCTTTCTTCCATATTCATTTTAATCAACAGTGGAACCACCTAAATTTGTTAAAGTTCAATCAAAACATGTTTCTGATATACATATTTCAATTTTCTTTCATGCACACACATGATTTTTAAGTTTACTTTATGCATACAAACCTGTCTATTAAATGGCATTTCAACAAACTATCACCATAATATCAGTTCTAAAAAATGACTGTGGTCCATAACAGACAACTGACAATAACAGACAAAGGGAAAATTGGCTTTAAAAGTGATTTGAAATAAAATTTGAAACTGGGAAATTTCTATACTATTCAAAAGTAAACTATGCCTTTAAAAAGTTGTTACCGTCAGCTATTGTTGTCAGTAAGGAACAATTGGTATTATTCATCAAAAGAAATTGAGAAACTTTCCAGAATTCTAAGCTTTACAAAATTTATTTAAAAGAAACAAATGTAAAGAGATCAATTAAAATAAAAACATAAAAAGAAGAAAATAAAATCCTAAAAGCACAAATTAGACTTTTTTCTGTTAAAAAAAAAACACCAACAAATACACTAGTACTTGAAAATAACAAACAACTGAAACAAACTGACATATTCTTGACTCAAATATTTTTATCTACATTTCTTAAACATCTACAAAATATTTGTGAAAGTAATGGCTAAGTATCTTTTTAACTAAAACATGAATATCCTAATGAAAGAACATTGTTTTTGTTGAAGTTTTAGCAAAGCACATTATTAAGCTCTGATTCTTGAAGTGATTACCAGTATATATTATGAGAATTCTGACCTTTTCTTGGTGTCATTATTTATCACTATTAACCTGTTCAATGGGACTCTCTGTATGATCTTAGTATGGTAACTCTATCAATAGTTATCCTCATACACTCTGAACAAGAGTTCTCCACATTGTTGTATTAAGGATAACAAAATTATCAGTTACCATCATAAAATTTAGAGGAACCTGTCTACATGTACATGATCTTAGTATGGTAACTCTGTCAATAGTTATCCTAAGAGGTCTGCAAATTGCTGTATTTAGGTAACTCAATTATTATACATGTATCAGTTACCATCTTAATATTAGAAAAATCAGTCTTATCTATATGATTACAGTATGGTAACTCTTTCAAAATTTGTCATTATGATTTTTCATTTATATTAAAAATGTGTTTATCTAGGAGTTCACAGAGCGATTTGTATGAAGTAAAGAAATATTTACAAGTGGTGTCGATAAAGTAATGGGTTCATTAAACAAATCTTTGGCATCACTTTTCCATCTTACATCATATCATAGGTGAAATATATAGAGAAAAAATAACATATCTACCACCAATAACTCATTTTAACTTAAAGAAATATAGTTAACTAATGTTTAGAGGTATCTAGTAATTAAAGTCATCCCTTCTTTTACATCATATTGTATTAAGAAAGAAATTAGTGTATAGTGGCCATTATACCATGAAAACAGACTGATCCCAGACATCATATTAAACTATTAGGATCTTATCATATCACCAGGGTAAACGCAATATAAATATTTTTTTTTTTAATAAAGAATGTTCATTTATACACCAGAGTCTGAGAAACCACATTTCCTTTTTCTAAATCACACAAGGAAAATGTGTTTTTTTGTCTATAGTCACACCAAACCATACCTTGAGTGCCAATACACCAAATTTATTTAATGCCTGTATTTGTAAATAAAAAACATTCTTATAATTGGTGTTGGTTGTTTTTTTCCTTTTCAAGCTTATTATATGTATATATAACTAGACATATCAAACAACAATCTTACACGAAACATTTTCTATCATATTACACATTCACCAGTTATTATCAAACAAATTCACATAAAAAACATAATATGAAACCATGGTAACATAGTGCTACATGTGCATCATGTAAAAACAACACTACCAACCAGACACACCATTGTCCCTATATAAACTATTGTGGTCACTACGATCACTATCATACCCAGTGTTAGAAACATTTCAATAACAACATCATGTCTTTCCTTCAATATTGCCAATTCCCCAGCCCCCCCCCCCCCCCCTAAAAATGAAATTTCCTATAACCAATTAACTTTAAATTGTCAACCTCGAGTACAGAACCACTAAAAAAAATGTTGCCAATTTCTTAACCAAAACGATGATAATTTTGAAACATGGTCTTATCTTGCTTTGAATTTACATACAAGGTATATCCATTATTAGTTTATGGGATTTTAACCCTAAACCAGCTGGAAAGGAAAGTGATTTGTATTTATATTTATATTTGATTAGCCTTTGCCACCAGCATGAAGTCAAGCCAGTCTGTACATCCATGTAGTCTGACCAGACACTTTGCTGTTGACTAATTTTTTTATCTAAATTAATAAATTCAGTAAGTTAAAGGTTGATACCAAAAAATTCTATGTACTATTCTATGAGAATAACTTATCTTTGCAGTACAGCCAAGGACATTTTTATCCCAAGACCATTTTCTTCATAATCTTTCATTAAACCTGATTTCACACACACATTTTTAACTTAAATTTATAATTGCGTTACTTTAAGTATGGTACATAGACAATTTTCTTCACAGTGTAGAAACAGAATCACAGTATCATTTACTGAGAGCCAATACATTTCAATGCCTATGAGTTATATCGATAACAGGATAATACATATGAGCCACATCACAACAAAACCAACATAATGGGTTTGCGACCAGCATGGATCCAGACCAGCCTGTACATCCGCACAGTCTGATCAGGATCCATGCTGTTCGCTTACAAACCATATTACAAGTACAGAAACTGATAGCGAACAGCATATATCCTGATCAGACTGCGCGGATGCGCAGGCTGGTCTGGATCCATGCTGGTCGCAAACCCATTATGTTGGTTTTGTCATGACGCGGCTCATATGTAGATGTGTTTCTACACACTGATAATGGTGGTTCTTGCTGACAAGGTTAACTGGTTTCCAAGAATTTTTACTGACCATTTCTTTTTCATTTTCAACATGTATAGACAATGAAGGAAAGATATGATATAACATCATGTCATTATAAAACTGCACATCTTCATACCCCTTGCTCATTCTCAAATTCTACACTCTGAAAATCAAGATAATTAATTAAAGACCTGCAAAAATAACTTAATCTTTATAAAAATCCATACTGGTAACTTGCTAAAAAGGTTTGTTACATATGACTTTTCACTATAATCAGTTAAATATATCTTTTTACCTTTACAAGAGGCCTATTATTATTCAGTAAAATGTAGATGTTAGTCTCATAAACTGCTCTATTTACTAAATAAAATAAGAAAAACGATAAGAAAAACCTTCACAAAAGCTAGATAAAAAACTTCAATTTAAGCAGGGTCGCACATGCCCTCAAGTTAATGTGCATTAAAGGAATTAGTGCGTAAATGAATAAGAATAAATAAAAAGTTGTCAATTATTTATTGGTACCATCCAGGAATAATAGTTTTCCACTTCAACATCAAAGTTCTGTAAAAAGTACAATATTTTAAGCACTATTAAAAAAGCTAGTAGCTTTAACTCTTACAGTGTTAAACATTAAAACAAAACATTCAACTTTAATGTTATAAAACATAAAACAACAATGCTTACTCTAACAATTTAGAAAAAAATAATAGCATAAAAGTTGTAGTATTGCTATGCTGATACATGTATCTATACACTGTCTGTAACAGATATTATTGGAATACGAGCCAATGAAAAACAGTCTACAAGAATATTTTCGTCCTGTTTGAAATTTTTTGCTGGCCATTATACCTTCATATGTGGGGGATTTCAATATAAAAACAAGGGTGCCATAGTCACAAAATACGCCCATTTACGAAGGCTTTAGATGGAGATGGGGGCATTATGGATAAGTGTTATCTAGCAAGCATGTAGGAGATATGCTCCGGACAAAATTGGACGCCGCCTGCCCGCCCGCCAGGGGCGTTCCCATAATACGTCCCGTTTTTCAAACGGGCGTATAATGATAAAATTTTACTGCCAATATTACAGGCTTGCAAGGCTGTAAACTGGTGGTAGAGATACTATTTGTTGCTATCAGACTAAGGATGAAAACAGTTATCTTGGAAAGATATCCATTTGATTTACTTATATAACCTTGTATACTAGGTGGTCAAAACATACATTAAATGAATTATTAATTATTTATGGTATCCTTGTACAAATACACAAACATCATTCAAAAAAGGATGAACCAAAATGATAAAGAACAATTTTAACATACTTTTGGTACCTGTAAACACTGATATTTTTGTTGTTGTTGGTTTAACATCACACCAACTCAGTATAGGTCATATGGCGACTTTCAAGCTTAAAAGGTGGAGGAAGACCCCCAGATGCCCCTCCGTGCATTATTTCAGGCACGAAAAAGCACCTGAGTAGAACCATCGACATTCGATAAGCTTGCTGGATACCTTTCTCACATGAAATGATCCAGTCACAGGCAGGATTAAAACCCACAGCAGTGAGGGGCAAGTAGTTTGAACTCAACAACCTTTACCACTCGGCCACGGACACCCCACTGACAGTTTTTTTTATTATTCACACAACTTTTTTGAACACTGACTTTGTTAAAAGCACAAACACAACAAGTACCAATCATCACCCCCTCCCCCCAAAATTATGACTTATACAGTCATGTAATAAAGGATGGTACAATGGAAAATGTTAACAATGAACAATGTCCACATCGAAAATTTTCTAAAATTGCAACAAGTAATCTGCCTTTAGGTAGTTTAAACATTAAAAAGCAATAGTTGTTAAAAAGCAATATTCGGGAAAACATGGACACATAAAAACAAAACATATTGACATTTTACATAAAACACACTCATTTTTTTTATCTGCATAAAAAAGCAATTTTTGTCAATTCATACTGAAAATCAAACAAGTTCAAAGCTCTTTTGTAAAAAATGAATACACAGCAAAAATTTGCTCTTTTTTTCACAAACAAAGGTTAAGAAATTTCTGAAAAACACATGAAATACTGCAAAAGGTCATTTTCAAAAAACCTTATATAAAGCATAGGTAATAATTATCGTTGTAAAGCAGACATAAAACTGACAGCTGAATCTACCTTTCTTCCATCCTGCAAAAACGATTCATTTAAATTTAATCTAAAAGTTTTACTAAATAATGTAAACATGAAAGAAACAAAATACATGTACATGTAAATAAACTTTGATGAATCAAAGTATTTGGTTATTTTTAGCTTGCAACAACAATACCCTTTCCTGAGAATAAGTGATATTTCTGTAAATGATTTAAAAAAAAAAAATTCCTTGCATTTAAATTGCCTGTCAAGAATATATTTAAACCTTGACCAGAAGAGATATTAACATAATAAAGTTTCTTCCTTGTACCATAATAAAATATATTGTGTTTTTATTATTACTATTCTGGATAACAATTTTTTTTCTTAATTATAACAGAGATATAAAAAATTTCTTTTAAAATACACTTCCCCTTTTTTATAACATAAATTTATCCATAGGCTCATCTGAACCCCTAACTAGCTTAGTACACAACTTTACTTTGCTAGCTTACAACTATATAACACTCAAGAACTATTACTTATAGTGTAAAAATTTGTTTATGTAGATTATGAATTTGAAAAAAAAAAAATTTCTTTTGAAGTAAACTGTTAACACACATGTATGATTTCTATAGTACCTTTAAATACAAGAACAAAACATGTAATTCTTCTTCCAAGTTTTGTTTATCTATAAGTCATAAATGTAAATAAGACTTATAAAGAAACATTACTTTAAATATAACCTACGCTTGTTAGGTAAATCATAACTTAATGCCTTCAGGCCCTGTATACTGCATACTATAAACATAACTTCTAACAGAACATTAAATACACCTGTATAACTTCCATTTTTTAAATATTTAGATTTACCTTGGTGTTTCCAAAGTTCATTCTCATGTAGAACTCCTCTAGGGTTTGTCGTATCTTGTTCTGATCTGTGATTGGACGATAAATACGAGCATGTGCTTGATCATCTATATCAAAGAAATCTCCGAATATAACATGTTCCTGTATCAACTGTTCCGGTGTCCATTTCACCTATAGGGATGAAATATAGTGTTATATTGAGGGATATGAGGAATAAAATGGAAAGAAAACTTGACAAATAATCATTTTACTAACTAGAAATAATAGAAAATAATTACAAATAGGTTTGTTTTAATCGTCTCCTCTATTACAACAGCTAAAATGTGTTCAAATCATAACTGAGGGATTGTGTGACATGGCAATATGGCAAGTTTTAGCTGTTATAGGTGGAAGAAATACATAAAGTATCTCTCATTAATAAAATAAGGCACCATAGTTTAACAACTGTCCTTATCTAAGCTGGCCAGATCAGCTTAAATAACTACCCTTCTGTTTATAATTGAAACATTATCAAATTTTTTATGGTTTCCAAAAAATTCCCAAACAGACCTCAATAAAAAAAATTCTGAGTATTGAAAATATCACTAACCTTAAAATAGTCATGAAGATTGTCAGCTAAGAACTGGTAGAATAAATTTCTATCTTCAGCACATACAAGCCTGTCATGGAACACCCTTGTAGCCTCATGGGCAAACAGCTGGGCACAGTTGTCTTTACTGACCACTACGGTATTATGTGCTTGCAACATTCCTTGTATTACCTGAAAAATAGAAATAAAAATATTGCTATTGATATGTGATCTATAAGAAGCACTGTTATTATAATTTAAAATAATTTTTATTTTTAATGAAGTTTTAAAAAGTAAAATTATACATGTATCGGCTGATCTCAACAAAGAAGTGGAAGGGCAGGCAGTCCTAAATGTTGCTCCAATATCCTTGCTAGGTAGCAAACAGTAATTGAGCAAAAAAGCAATGATCTGACATTAATGAGACTGCTTTAAGATCAGGGGCTTATTTATTAGTTCATACATGTAGATTGTATGACACTAAAGGTATATGAGAGGTTGACTTTTCCTCCCTTATGCCATCTTAGTGATGAAATGTTAAGGAAAAATCTACCTATTTATTGTAACAAAAAGGACTTGAAGCATGAAGGCCTACTTGTTTAAAAGGTTCAACCATATTGACTAATATCATGTGCGGAAAGAAAGGAACCATCCTATATATCAATGGTTAAAGATCTTTTTTATATAAACAAGAGGGCCATGATGGCCCTGAAGTCACTCACTTGTATATAGGCCCCCGGAGCGGGGCCAGTTTAAACCCCAGGGCTTTTACTTGAACAAACTTGGTAGACATCCATTAGAAGATGTTTCATGCTAAACATCTAAGGTCTAGCTTGTTGGGTTTTTTAAAGGAAGATTTTTTAAGTTTTTTCTTTACACATATATTTAAAAACAATGACACCCCTGGGGCAGGGCCAGTTTTGACCCCAGGGCTTTTATTTGAACAATCTTTGTAGACACTTCCTGGAAGATGTTTCATGCCTAATATCTAAACTCTAGCTATTCGGGTTTTTTCGAAGAAGATTTTTAAGTTTTTGCTATACACATATAAGGAAAATCAATGTCCCCCAGGGCGGGACCAATTTTGACCCCAGGGCTCTTATTTGAACAAACTTGTTAGACATCCATTAGAACATGTTTCATGCTAAATATCTTAGCTCTAGCTCTTTGGGTTCTTTAAAAGAAGATTATTAAGTTTTTACTATATGCATATAGGAAAAATCAATGACCCCCTGGGGCGGGGCCAATTTTGACCCCAGGGCCTTTATTTGAACAAACTTGGTAGACACCCATTAGAAGATGTTTCATCTTAAATATCATAGCTCTAGCTCTTTTGGTTCTTTAAAAGAAGATTTTTTAATTTTTACTATATACATATAGGGAAAATCAATGACCCCCTGGGGCGGGGCCAATTTTGACCCCAGGGCTTTTATTTGAACAAACTTGGTAGACACTCACTAGAAGATGTTCCATGCCAAATATCTAAGCTCTATCTCTTTGGGTTATTTAGAAGAAGATAATTAAAGTTTTTTCTTTTGGTTGCCATGGCAACCAGAGTTCTACATGGAATTAAATTCTTTGAACAATTTTCAAAGGTGACCACCAAAGGAACATTCCTGTGAAGTTTGGTTGAAATTGGCTTAGTGGTTTATGAGGAGATGTCATTTAAAGTAAAAGTTTACGGACGACGGACGGACGGACGCCGGACGAAAAGCGATCACAAAAGCTCACCCTGTCACAAAAAATTAATTCTCACAAGCAGCATGCTATAAAGCAAGAAATAGAACAAATAGTTCATCACATTCAGAAAGGGACATAATCACTGTATCCTCTTACCTTACTGAGATCTCTAACATTGAAAGTGTAGTGAGATTTTGCTGGTGTAGGTAACATGTTACGACACATGCAGTAGTACAGGGAGATTGACACATTAACAAGGGGAGATAAACACTCCGTAACTTCCTGTGCAAAATCTCCGTCCTGTAGAAATCGTCCAAGCTGGACCTGATAAATATGCTGCAGTGATCTAGTTGAAGGTTGTGGGAATGCAAACATACTAAAATAAATCAAAATGATGTAAAGTATGTCATTAGAAAAACAAAATAAAATCAAAGATTGCTCATCAATTGCTTGTAAAAGTGAAGTAAGCTATACACACACATCATTGTCCAAGTAAAATGAAATTGCGAGCACTTAGATACACATATAAGGTAAAAGTTAGAGATTTTGTTTTCCTGTTTAGGGCACATGGATTCTTTAAACTGGGGACAATACGCTGCTTTTCATGGAATGGCACTAACTTTTCACATTGAAGATTCCATGATAACCACCATATGAACACATCTGCCGATGTTTCTAAATTCAAAATTTCACCATTTCCATGATTAAATGTTGAATTCTGCTTAAGCCAGTACTAGGGGGCACAGACAGTAGTTTGCACTTGACAGCACCGTCCATGAACAAGCTCAATCAAAGCAAGCCTGCAACATTTTCATTTTTTTTTAATTTCTTTAGGGAATCTTATTTTCTCTATTTTAACATTTTTTATTACAGAGCATTTCTTCCAAGAGTCAAATTGATACATATAAAAATATTTTGTATGGTTTATGAGACACATTTGCACTATAAAATCTTCAAAGATGAATATAGCTTAAAATTAAACACAAGGATAAATGACATACCAGAAGTTTTTGAGAAGTCTTGGACTGACTGGGTTCCGGCCACCTCCTGGGGGACCACATGCTGCTACCACCGTAACATCCATGATTTCCTATAAGAGAAACAATTCTTATGGTATATCATTGGATATTCTGACCCTTTGAATAACTTAAAACGCTAAAATATTCTTACTAGAAAATAAATTGTAAAATGTAAAGCCTTAGAGTATATCTGCAAAAATTATCATTTACATGTAGATTTCAACAGTCAATTCTCAACTGACATCAATTTTTCAGTCTCAAATGGCCAATACCATAAATATAAATAACTTATGAAATACTTCAATTTAAGAGATGAAATAGAGGATATTTGTTTAGTTCAGTGTAAGATCGGAATATATTTCACCGAGTGAGCACCAAAAGGTCGTGGCTGCGCCACTCGTGAAATATGAACTTTTGGTGTTCACAAGGTGAAATATATTTCGATCTTACACTAAACTAAACAAATTTTCTTTTTATTATATGCAAAGAAACGTTTTAAAAAGACATTAAACCTAATACTGAATGAAAAGCGCGCTAAAAATTAATACAACGTGACGTCATTTTCGACGTCACGTCATTAAGTTGGTACCCAGTTCTGTGCACGCTGGTATTTCACTGAAACAACGAAAGGGGCTTAAATTCAAAACAGTGAAATTATCAAAGTGGTAATTTCACTGTTTCAAACAGTGAAATTACCAGTTTTATATCACTGATATATTTCTATAAACCACCGAAAAGCATGTAATAAAATATTTTTTTCACTACATATAAAGATTTTTTCAAACTGTTTTCATGGATGACAACATCTAAAAATGTTTTTTTTTACCTTCCAAGAGTTTTTCTCTGTATGATAGAAGCCATTAAGTTCCAGGAACTGTCTAAGAAGTTCTAGAGGGGGTTGAGCACCATATGCTTCAGGGGCAGGCATGTTCAAGTCATCAACAAACATTACAACCTGGGAAAAAATATACATTTAATAATAATTTATAAAGTTAACTTTATATTGTCATGAATTTAAAGAAATTGTATATTATTTTGATATAGGTGTCCATACAGTTTTAAATAAATCTACTTGTTAATTTGGTTAGAACATCTAAATGAAGTGTTAAATATTCAAAGAGTAATTATTTTTCAAAAGAAAATAATTTTAAAAAGATATTTTTCAGTGAATGCGATTTCACTTACCTTTCTACCTTTTGGAGCACCTAGTGTGTTTCTACCCTTTTGTATGAGGTTATGTTTAATCTGAGCCTGTAGCCTGGCCGATGTGGTCTGTGCTGAGAACTGAATCATCGAGCTCATTATACCTGTTGACGTCTTGGGTTTCGCGCCCAGCAGTATATCCATACCAACCTTATCATCGTCATCTTCCTGGCCCCACTTTGTGAGATTACTGATGTTCTCCAGCAGGGAGGCACCCTTGTCCGAGTAGTTTAGAATGCTACCGAGAATGGTGCCTGATTTTAATGATGTACCGCCATCTTTACTCAATCTCTTTAGGGCATAGTTGATAACTGCTGACTTGCCCACTCCAGATTCACCTGCATTGCATTGACAGGTATGCATAATGTATTAACAAGTTGTATGTGGAAATTAGAATCTTAAATCATTTAAATTAGAAATGAAACTGTTAGACTTGTCTAAAACAACAAGTGTAAGAAAGTATAGTAAGTTGTATTGTTTTCATCAACTGATTGTCTCCAAAAATTAATTTATTTTTCAAAATATTTTATAATACATGTTATTTATTTAAAAGAAAATTTCATATTGCAGAATTTACAAGTAATTTTTTTAAAGATGAACATAATTATCAGGTGACCCCTAGTGGAAGCTTAACTGTAAGGGAGAAAAGGTATTTATGTTTTAAGTACTATGTACCTGTTATGAGAACTGGATGTTTATGAAGTATAAGTAGACTAGTAAGGAAGGAGAAACGTATCACATCAACAGTAGGTACTATATCACTCTCATCACCTCCTGTCTTCTTCTGATCCATTGATGATACACCCATAGTCTCACCTGTATATACAAATAATATCCTCAAAAATTGATTTTATTAAAAAAAAAACAACAACAACAAGAACTGGTTGAGCAGGGTGATGCCTTTTGTAGTTTCAGAGTTATGTCTCAGACAAAGTTCAAAGTGCAATGATTCCAAAGTTAGGCAATGCAGAGTTATTGTTTTTAGCAATGCACTTCTACCTAATAAGATCTATCTACCTACAAAGTTCCATGTTAATATCTCTTACAGTTTCAGAGTTATGTCCCAGACAAAGTTCAAAGTGTAAAAATGAACAAAGGGCAATAACTCCAAAATTAGGCAAGGCAGAGTTATGGTTATTGTGCACTGCACATCTACCCAATAACATCTATCTACTTACAAAGTTTCATGTTGATACCTCTTGCTGGCCGACAAGAAAAGCGGACGGACAGACGGACTGACAAAGCGGCGACTACATGCTCTCCCTTAGGGGAGCATAATAACAAAATTAACAAGGCAGTCTAGTTGTCACCTATATCCCCTGTCGCAGAAGACCATTGGAATGGATAACAAGTGTGAAGAGAGTTTAGGCCTTAAAATATGATCATATGGCCAAGTTTTATAACAAGAGCTGTCGGTAGGACAGCAACGCTCGACTATTCTTAGTGCTTGATAGTAAAAAAAATGCTTGATACAGATACCTCCTCCTGTTTACAGGTTGGGGTCATGATGGTGAACAAGTGTGCAAAGTTTCAAAGCCATATGTCAATGGACTTTGAAAATATTTGAACTATTACAAAAACTTTAACGTAAATTCTAGGTCGAAAAAGGGGCATAATTCTGTCAAAATGCTTGATACAGTTACCTCCTGCTGTTTACAGGTTGGGGTAATGATGGTGAACAAGTGTGCAAAGTTTCAAAGCCATATGTCAATGGACTTTTGAAAATATTTGAACTATTACAAAAACTTTAACTTAAGTGGTTACGCCGACGCAGACGCCGACACCTACGCCGATGCTCGGGTGACTACAATAGCTCTACTTATTCTTATTGAATAGTCGAGCTAAAAAGGGGCATAATTCTGTCAAAATGCTTGATAGAGTTACCTCCTCCTGTCTACAAGTTGGGGTCATGATGGTGAACAAGTGTGCAAAGTTTCAATGAACTATTACAAAAACTTTAACATAAGTGGTTACGCCGACGCAGACGCCGACACTGACGCCGACGCTCGGGTGACTGCAATAGCTCTACTTATTCTTATCGAATAGTCGAGCTAAAAATCTGTTCATTGGTTTACTCAGGCAAATTAATGACAAAATATCAAAACTATCTTATGTACACAAATCACACTAAAATGACATTTTGTTAAAGTCCCATTATGAATTTCTGTATAAATTCTATATGTTTTGGGTTTGAAGCGTAAATATATCTATATAATTATGTTGAACGAAATTTTGAAGCTGACAGAATCACCGAGTAGTTTTAAAACAAGTGATTAGTCACTTGACTTGAACAAACCCTGGAAGTTACATTAACAGATATTGTGAATATTGTATGATTAAGACAAACCTAAATCATTCATTTGACATGTTCTTTAACGTTTCAAGAGTTCTCTGTGACAACTATTACTTAACACTCTAACCTGACCCACATGGGAACCCCCATTTTATTCTCTATAAGGAGAAAAGTTTTGTTCCTGTGACTGTAACGAAGAAATGAAAATTTTGCCTGTGTCTCCCTTTAAAAGTTATGGAGCAGACATAAAAATGTTAAATTTTTTACTTTTAAGAGAGACCTTGACCTTAGGGGTAAGGACCTGATTGTTGCACTCTACACAACATCTCAGAATGGTGACCATTTGCTACAAGTTATTTGTAAAACAAAACTGTTCGTTAGTACAATGTATAAAGATATAGAGTAGAGACAAAATGCTAACTTGTTTACATTTGACATTTAAGAGAAACCTTGACCTTGGGGGTGGGGGTGGGTAGGGACCTGATTGTTGCACTCTGCACAACGTCTCATAACAGTGATCATTTGTTCCATTTTATTTTTAAAAACTTTACATTAGTTTAAAATTATAAAACAGACACTGTTAAGGACAGACTGACAGATGAGGCCATTCCTATAATTCCTCTATGTTTTACACTATCTATTAAGAATGACAGTCTGATCAGGCTCAACAATGTTGATAGACCAACCTTAAATTTTCATCTTGATTACCCCAAAAACTGATAATGGGCAGTTCCAAAAATGGAAACTGGACAAGTCCATTACACAAACCCAACAGGTTAAGGATTACAAAATTACTGATATAAAATAACTTTATATGAAGTAAACAACCTACCAATGGTTATAATTGCTCCTTTCTCAATAAGAGATTTAGTAGATGGTACAAGAGCATCCCAAGGTACAAAACCACCTGATTCCATGTCTACAAAATAGCTGTAGATTGTTCTGTTACCTGTAGGTAATCTTACACCTGAAATAATACAAAATTATATCTTAGTAAATTTCTTAAATATCTTTTGCATATCTTTCTGTTTTATGTGCACCAAGAAAATCAAATTTATGTTTTTAGGTTTTGGGACCTCAGTGGAGTTCCTTTAAAGTGAATATTTTTCTGTTCCTTGCACATAAATGATTTGATACATAATGATACATAAGTTATTTCACACTCTTTGACCCTGTGTTGGTGTAAAATTTTGAATTGACTCAGTAAAAGCAAGTTCATTTTTTGTTTGTTACATGTTAGATGCAGTTGGTAGTTTATGTTGTTTCTTTTAGCTGTAGCTTTTTTGTTGTTGTTTTTTGAAGACTAAACAAATTGTACATTTATATAAATATACATAATAAGCAACTAGAATCTCTAAGAAATGATAATTACCAAGAGGTGGTTCAACTTCAAACATCTCTCTCATAAAGTTGTCAAACTCATTACATATGTTCAGTTCTTTTTCAGCCTTTTCTTGACCTCTACGTGACCCCATGTCATCCTCATCCATGTCTTCTTGACGTCGAAAGTTTCCGCCAACACTCCATGTGTATGCAAACACGTATAACTTGCCTAGAAGGTTCAGCAAATTGTTCGGATTCTTATGTAGATAGTATTGCTTCATACCAACATTACTGTACAAAAGAACAAAACATAATGTATTAACCCTTTTATATACTCAATTTATGCAAAGGTCATGTCTAGCTAAGAACCTTTAAAATAGTTGACTTCACAGATTTACACATTTAAACATACAATTAAGCAGCCGGCAAGACAATTAGTCCCATACCAGCCTTACTGTATCTGGTTATGAATGCCTGCATAAATTGCCACTAGTGCCTTAAATGAGTTCACAATTTATATGGAAATCTTACCTATTTAAAATACTCATCCTAAAATGACATATTGTAAGAATGATCAATATGTTAAGAAAGATATTTGAGCCGCGTCACGACAAAACCAACATAATGGGTTTGCTACCAGCATGGATCCAGACCAGCCTGGGCATCCGTGCAGTCTGATCAGGATCCATGCTGTTCGCTTACCAACCCAATAACAAATAGAGAAACTGATAGCGAACAGCATGGATCCTGATCAGACTGCGCGGAGGCAATAATAATATTCTTCAATAATATTAACCTGGATCCAAATAAAATCTTAATATTAATTCATTTGATTTCTATACAAATTTTAGGAAAACAGAATAGTCTGCTAGATTACTGTATGTACAACAGTGTCAAATTACAAAGGCTGCAAAACAAAATTTTAACAATAAAGGAAGATCAAGAAGAAATTCAAGATAACTTATTACTGTAAAAACTATCTTATGAACTAAAATGAATTGAAAATATTCTAAAAGGACATTTCATTACTTATGATATGAAAGTTTTAATTCTTAAAGGGATAATCCAACCCTTGGAGTCTGTAAGAGGTTATCAGTATGTAAATTGTGTGTTCATAAAGTTATTTTTGTTGATTCTTTCGATTTCTTTTACTTTTTAATTTGGTTTTATAAAAAAAAAAACAACAATAAAAAAAAAAAGTCAACATGAACAGCATTTGAATTTTAAATAAAGAACAACAGAAAACATTTCCGTTCAAACACAAGCTTTATAAACTTCAACAACAAAACTTAACTTTGACTAAACTGTGAGTGTTTTAACTTCCAAATTCATACCTAGACCAAATTTTATAAAATTTTGAGCCAATGTCAGAAATGACTGAGTCCATATAATCATCAAATGTTTGTATTTGATGTAGTGCTGAAACATCCGCTGATTTCCATTTCATGGCATATTTAGCAACATGCACTAAACGGGGACTTGGTGTTATTCTCTCATGTACACTGATGTATTAAAGCAATACAACAAGTAAATATTTTACGACAGTCTTTTCAACGGCATGTATCTTGTTTACACTAAATTTGTTACCTTAGTGCAATAACTGGTTAATTCCTATTAAATTTAGAAGGACTTAACCCATTACATCACTAAGGTGACGACTTACTAATGTATAAAGGGGGTCCTTCAAGAAGAGGTTAATGACGTTGACATGACTGAAACTTAACATGTCATTCTTGTTCTGGGACCTAACATCAGGACATTTTTCAGTCGTGAAATATTAGATTTATTCAATGTTACAAGTTTAATACATGACACAAATATTATACAGTATGTGATATAATTTTGGAAAAAAGTCATTTAATATCATTATCATCATATCTATTCTTTTCTAAAATAAAAGCACACAAAGTACTGTACAGTATGTGATGAATATAATAGATTCAGCTATAATCTAATGCAAATCACACTTATTCCCAGACAAAGGTGTAATAAAAGATTCACACAAGAATATAACTAAGTATGTGATAAATACATGTTGGTTTTTTTTGCCATATATCATACAAACATCACCAAGAATTTTAATTACTCAGAATACACACACAACTGTAAGAATTAAGAAGAGGTTGGCTTTTTTGTCATAAAATATGCATCTAGTCCCTGCTTCCAGTGTATTTTGATGCATATGTTTTGTGTAAGAGCAAATTACAGTTTGGGGTTTTTCTGTCATAGAAAATCACAATTATTTCCTCTACTTCTAGAGTGATACATACACCTTGATATGAGATACAGTACATATCATGTACCCGGTATATGGCTTAAAGCAAACAATATCATTCTTCTGCCCTACTTCTATAATAGAGGGATCTATTATAAGTTTTGGTTTTGTACCAAATAATATCACACCTGTGATGACCTGTTTTGATATGAGCAATACTGGTACAAAAAAGATACTTCATTTTAAGTTTAATTTGGGAGTTCCAGCTTATAGCCAAAGAAGTATCACACTTATTCCCTGCCATTGATATAGTAACAGATGGATATGAACTCACATCTGACATTAAGAATGTGGTGAAGATACAATGTATTTTTGACTTACTCAATATCAAGCCAAGTCCCTGTTATAGGAAATGAACTTACACTTACACACTAAAATGGATAGTATAATACAGTATAATATGTGATATATAGCATAAAATGTAATATTTTTATAGAATGAACCACAGAATATCACAAAAAACCCCCATAGAATATCACAAATATTCCCTGCCAGCAGTAGTGTAATAACTGATGCACACATAAAAAGATACTATAAGTATTGTGATAAGTAGAGATTTGTAGAGATTTGTGTCATCACACTTTGTACACATTCCTACCGTTGACTTTCCTGCATCTCCAGAATTAGATTATCTGTGCTTATAGAGCTGTTCAGACATATCATAACATGATAACACATTATATATACTTAAAATTAATACTAACATGGTACTAAAACAATTACACAAAATACTGATATCCACTGAAATGTTTTGGTAATGCACATCTCAGATGATAAAGTAAATTTTGAATGCTGATTACATAGCAAATGCTAGATACTTAAGTAAATTTTGATTGCTGATTACACAGCAAATGCTAGATGTCTAAAGATTACAAAAAATTTACTGAATGAACATACATGAAGTCAACAGCATTTAAATTGATGCATTTTCAAACCCATTTCAGTGTACAATGTCTTGATGCCTGATAAACACATAATATTTCCATGGTGATTTATATTCATGTATGTAATATATTACATGGGTGAATAAATAAGAATCCCACAGTAGATTATAAATATCTAACAATGTGATTTTAATATAAAATATATACCAATTTCCTGCCCATATTATGATAAGATATTTACTGTCTAATAATACCTGATTAACTGTGTAACAACTGTTTCTGTATAACACTTTACTCTAGTGCTTAAATATTGCAGGAAAAAAAACATAATCTCAAATCATAATGCTCCTCACTAAACAATGTGTCAATCTACAGCTCAATATAATTTTTCAAAATGAAACTACATGAAAACAGAAAGATACTATAATCTTTGCACAAGGGGATTTTCAAAATGAAATTAACATGGAAAAAAATATCTAAAAACCTATCCTTGAGTTGACAAGCTGTATCTAAAGATAAGGTTCAATTTAATGCTTTGTCAACAAGTTCTACAAATAAAGATAAAAGATTATATTCATATGATAATTTTAAGAAATGATTTACCTTGAAGTTTTAGCTGGTAGAGATTCTTGTATTGTCCCCATCTCCTCCTTGATCTTTTGTGGTCTTTTCATGTTTCTTCTACGACCTTTTGACCTTGAAGTTCTACCAGAGCTTCTGCTTGAAGTTCTGCTCTCGGATCTATCCCCAGCTGCGTCCGTATGACCCTCTTCTTTATCTTTTATAACATCAAAATATCAATTTTTAAAAATATCTCAGCATGTTTTAAGACATAGAAAATGTAATGTAGTATACACAAAATCTTACATAATTTGTCACCTTAGTGCAGTAACAGGTTAAATCCTTCTAAATTTAATAGGAGTTAACCAGTTATTGCACTAAGGTGCAAACGCTAGACACTTAAATCAATTTTTAGATTTTGGCTAACCTTGGATATGTCTATTTATCCATATTATAGATATTATATATATATTACAGTAACCTTAACAAGTTACTGTTGAAGAACTTTAATGTATATTTTTCATACTGTAGCTAATGTGCATTTATTTAGAATGTAATATATGTTTTATAATGGAACATGCATATTAAAAAAAATTACATTTCAGTCAACTCAATATTTCTCCTATAACATTTAAACATCTGAATAACAAGAGCACCACATGCTGTGTTAATGTTTCTCTGTTAAAATAACCACTTTTAACAAAAATTCTAAGTTAGAAAATACCATTACTCTAAAAATATTTATTTCAGAATTATGCCTCTTGTCTTACAACTGCATCAAGTATTCCAAGTTTCATATTGATACTTTTAAAATTGTTTGAGTAATGGGCTACATTAAAGTTTTAGCAGGATTAAGACAACGATGACAACGCAGCGATCAAAATAGCTCAACTCTTTCTTCGAAACTGACAAGCTAATAAGAGTTGAGCTAAAAATAGAAACATAATTCAAGAAGCAAATAAGAGAATGAACAAATGACACAAAGACAAAACTAATAAGACGTCAAATAACAACAGGGCAATTGTCCCCAAGATGCTCACCTTCCTGCTTATTGTGTAAAAGGCTGTGAATGCTTGTGTTTATTACAAGAATTTGAATGATGTTGGTCACTAGACAGACCATACTTCATGGAAAATATATTTTTAGATTTTTACTTTAAACATGGTCCTAATTTCATAATGCTGATTATACAAAAAAAAGTAAAAATAAAAAAATACATCTAAAACTATGCACATGGTTCAAATTTCATAGCTGTACATCAGAAAACAAGAAAACAGGCCACTAGATCATGATTAAAGTCATCTTATAACAGATTTTAATTCTACCCCTAAAACTGTACATACACAAATTCCATAGCTGTACATATAAACCAAGAAAGTAGGTCACTAGGTCATGATTTATGTCAGCTGATTTTAAATTTCAATTTTACATCTAAAACTGTACCCATGGTTCAAATTTTATAGCTGTAAATAAAAAAGGAGGTCACTAGGTCAATTATTTAGGTCATCTGATTATAGAATGAAATCCACACCTGAAACTGTGCACATGGTCAAAATTCCATAGCTGTACGTAAAAGAGCAAGAAATACACTAGTTTTGGTTAATTTGCAGTCACTGGTTTCAGAGTAGATTTTGTTTAAAGAAATTGTTGACTATGCAGGAGGACAGATATAGGGGGATCACAAAAGCTCACCATGAGCACACCGTGCTCAGGTGAGCTAAAAATACACAAAAAAACTAAACAAAATACACACATAAGGAAAAAAAATGGACCCATTTCGACAGCATGGCATCCTAAAAAGTAGGGATTTTAAGGCTGTTTTCCAAAAAGCAGGGAAAAGGTGAAAAAATGATATGGCGCTGAAACAGGAAAGATGATTTTTTCTAACCTTGATTTTTACAAACTTCAATGCAACACCAGGAGTCAAAACCACCTCACCTGGTGGAGCCAAAGAGATGCATAGACTCCAGTTACTCAAAGAGAATGTTTCATGTCCAGCTACAAAGATGGTCTGCAGTAGCCATGCAGTTCTCAGGTTATAAGTTTGAGTACTACTGTGGTAATGGTAAAATTTTCTCACAATGCACAAATACTGGTTTTTATACAAAGTGGAATAAAAGCTAAAAATAAAACAAAAAATTAAGCTACCTTCATACTAAATTTAAAATTAAATAGGAATAGTTTAAACTAAAGCCATGGTCAGTGGACAAAATCTCTACCTCCTGACCTTATCTGTCAGGTTTACAACATAAATAAAGCTTGTAAACAAAAATCAGCAGTGAATAAGACAGACACATCTAGAGGAGGAGTGTCAGATTTATACTGGAGGAAAATTGTATACACCTCTTCTCCTATGTCTCCGCAGTAGATACGCCCCTTTGTCTGTCAATATATGGTATTATCTAGTCATTTATTTTCATCTATATTTATTTAGTTTGCACAGAAAAGTTTAGATATTCTGCATTATGAATAGAACATTTATTCATCAAGAAGAAAACAGACAGATTTCAATACCATAAATCTAAGTTGACCTTTTAAATCAAATCTTTATCAGTTTAGCAACATATATTTTCATGACTGACACATACAAGTCATACATCTAAGTCCTTTGGTATGTTCATAAAAAATTCTTTCCAATAAATACAGTATAATGTATAAAAGAAAGTACTTAGGAGAATGATATATAGGATTATAATTCTAAATGATTATATAATACACATATCCAATAGATATTCCTGTAAGTTGCACACTATATATATACATATCATTTTATTCTATACCTATTTTATTTACCCTCTAGCCTGCTGACAGCTAGCAACTAAACATCTCCATTCTAGCAGTGCAGACCAAGATCAGCCGACACATTTATGCAATCTGATCATGGTCTTCACTGTTCACTGTTAAGTTTGTACCGATTTTGAAATTTTCCCTAAAAATGATGAATGGCTATGTCCAGAAATGGCTATGTCCACAAGTCCATTTAAAATATTAAGTACGATAAGGGTTGAAACCAATTGCAAGGTTTCTTTGCAATATAAAACTGTACAAATAAATTGCAGTACTGCTGTGCATAATGTATGTATACAAAAATCCTGCACTTTTCATATTTGCCACATTAACCACAAGCATAAAGTCCAAAATCCATGAAAAAGTTCCAAAAGAAACAATTAGACTCAAGTATATGCTCTAAATATTACCCATTCATTTGACAAATACATGTTTTCAAGTGTTTTCATGATTAATGCAATAATTACATGTACAAATGCTAACAATATATAAAATAGGTATAGAATATAAAGGTTATTTAAAAGTGTTCTGTACATTACTGAATATATCTGGAAATGTAGCCTGGTAAAATAGTACAATGTTTTAAATTTGCATGTCAGGTCATCCAATTTAAGCTTGGTTCCATGTATTTCTATATTGTACACAACACTGTTAAACAACTTTAGAATATTATACTCTATATGATTATATATATTTGTTGTCTTCTATTACAGACAAATATGTGATACAAGGGTTCAACACACACCTGTATTAACCCTTAACCTGCTGATTTTTTAATGGACTTGTCCAGCTTCCATTTTTGGAATTGTCCATTATTCTATTTTGGAGGATATCAAGATGAAAATTTAAAATTACACAACCAACAGTATAAGGCCTGGTCAGACTGAACAGAATGATGTTCAGTCTGACCTGACTGTATACTGGTGGCAAAGGCAAATCAATTTGTTTCCATAAGGTTAAAAGATAAAGTTAAATTGATGTAAAGAACAAGTTATGTTTGTGGTGTATTGAACCCTTATATTGTCTGTAAGCAAGCTATATGTGTCTCCATTCAATACAGACTTAACCCAAAACAACAACAACAAAACAACATGAACCAGTGAAAAGTCTTTTTTGCTAACAGCTCATCATGCCAAATTTGTATTCTGAAATTGTCTTGTTTTTGTATATGAAACTGTCAAATGGCCAGATAGTAAATATATAGTCAAATAATAGTCAAATAGTATTTTTTATAAAAAAAGTGAAAATTTTGCAGCAAAAACAGTCTACTGTCTGATCAGACACCTTTCAGTACCTATCATAAATAGACTCAACCAAACTGAGAATTTTGCCTTTTACTGCTTTCAAGGGAGCTTCCCTTATCTCATTTTTTTAGTCGCATGCAGAGTTGTCATTTTTGTTACATCTGTACATGTATTTAATCTTATTATGATCACTTGTTTCACATTGTTTTTACATTCACTTTTTATAATTCAAAAATGGGATAACACTTGTTCACTGATTTGTTTCTTCAACTAAAAGTATTTTTCTGTAACAAAAAGCAAACAGCTAAGTCTGGCACTAGCCATTCAAACAATTGTAAACATGTACGGTACATATACAATATTCCTTCTGATAATTTATCTTTCACACAATTCAAAAAGTATAAAAACAATAGTGCTGATTTTTAAGGCATGTTAGCAGTAATGAACTTTTTTTTATTTCCTACCATCTTAAAAAAAATCAACAGCAGGTCAAGTGCATATATTTTGACAGAGACTGTTTAATTTTGTATATAATTATATGTATATGTACATCTTCATGTTTACAGAACAGAAAGCATAACTGTATAGTGTATATATTATATGCGTATAAGTATAGATATTTATATATGCACTGTTAAAACATTTTAATACCTTCTTTAGGCACAGTAACTTTGTCTGAAAACAACAGCATTCATTTAAAATATATTTTCATCACTGCAACTAAAGCTTTGAATATAATTTATTTAAAAAAATCTCAGTTATCTGTCTCTCTATATTGAATGGCATCATAAAATCTTTTAAATAAGTTGACTTTAAATGGATTAAATTTGTTACCTGCATTTCCAAATCCTCCATGTTTACTCATAAAGTCAATGAATGCAGACAGTATATGACATAAACAGGAGACCAGATTCATATCAGGGGCCGGAACACATTGGTACTTGTGATGTTTCTGAAAGAACTTAAGTCCCTTGTCTATACTGTAGTCAAATAAAGCCTGCAGATGGCGCTTTCCACTATCTGGCATTTCACGAGGTAGTCTCTGCAGCCATGTCTTCACAAAAGGTCTCCATCCTAGATCCACCGGATCCTAGTATAAACAATGAAAATTTTAATGCTGAGTGCCATGTGGGAAAGTTACTAGTATGATTTATATAATGATACTGGCATACACTTCTATGCCACCACATCAATGAGTTTGTTTGGGTTGGATACCATCGAATGTTTATAAAACAACACACAAAGTAACTTCTATATTAAACCTCTTTTCTTCTCAACAAAAGGCTGTTACTTTACATTTTTAAAATGAGGGGTAGAGGCTTTGAATCTAGACTGTAAACTGTTACAGCAAAGAACATCATATTACTAAACCTGACAAAATGGTACGTCAGGTGAGACATGAAATTTAGAATGTCCTGCAAAAAGACAGAACTTATGTTTTAAAGATAAGCAGATACTATGATATTGCACTGTTGTAATATTAGTTCACTTACCATATACACCATGGCACATCTACTGATGGTTGCCGGGCTAGCCTGTGACAGATTGTCCACCTCAAATATAAGTCTCATGCCGGGCGCCAGACTGATTCTCTCTCCGCTGGCCAGACACAGAACCTTAGAGTCGTCTAGTACAGTGTTCAGATTTTCCACCCACAACGTGTCTACGGGACCATCAAGTACGAGCCAACGCCAGTCAGTGAGTACACCACCACTATATTCCTTCTCCAGGTTACCATCATTATCTATAGCTACTTCATTTGTCATACCAGTGTTGGGCTGCATTAATTTTATAAAAAAAATAAATATTATAAAATCTACAAATAAAAGTATTACACACTGTAAAATAACAAAACCAACATGATGGGTATAGACCATCTTTCTTAGGAATGGAGTTTCTCATTCTATTATTAAAAGACAGTATGTTTACAATAACAACATCAATCAGATATCAATACATTTGTATCTCCCAATAAACATGTATAGGATTCATAATTCTTGCACTGGTATTTTAGCATTGTTTCCACCTTCTTATAGTAAAATGCAAATATGATTTGGTAGCTATTTACAAAATGAAGTAAAAAAACAACAAATGTGCAAAAGAAATGATGAATGCTTGATAAAATATAGAAAGTCAGTCTCACTGCACACAAGAGAACAAAAAAGAATTATGGAAAAGGAATAAATAATAATTCTTAGCATGTTACATTTTTTATACAAGTCAACAAAAAATTACTTTTAACCCTTGTGTTCATTGTTATTTTCATGCTTAAGTACCTGTTTAGATACAATTTTAACTATTTTCTATAGTAAACAAATGTACATGCATTATTTCTCTAACTAAACTGACACTGCATGCTATCCTGTCTATTACTATCATTCAATTTTAAATTTTTTAATTTTAACATCTTTAATTTCAATTGCTAACTAAATCTTATTTTATGAGTCTACAACACATATTTGTTTAATATGAATTTTTAACTATCATAAGTTCATTTTCACAAAATTGAAAGAAATATTGGAAATTAAACTTTTCATTTTTATTGAATTTCAGACACATTTGAGTGTTACTAACAAATGTGTTCCATTGCAATACTTATTGGGGGAAAGCCGAAAGGACATATTGTTTTTGACCGGCATCTTTATTATGAACATACATCAGAAAGGGCTTACACAAATGAAGATAAAAGCAAGCCTCTCTTATATCATAAAATAGAGGATGTATATAAAACACACACAGAGTAAATATGGATAGTATACAGAAACTGCACAGTCATATGATGTTTCTATTTTAAGACACATTTTTTTTTTGACAAAAGTTACAAAATAGCAAATAATTAAAATACACTTTATCTTTCAGAAAGCAATTTCATGAAAATATAGCTACGAAATTAAGAAATACTGTAACACAAATTTAAAGCATGTTGGTTTTCTTTATTTTTTCTTCTTCAGATATTTCAAAACACCTTGATATAGTGCAGTATCTGTATCACTTTAAGTTTTGCCATGCATGTATTGATCTGGAAAATAGTTATATAGTTATAGAAAAATAGCTAGCATCTCTGAAATGATCATGTTTCTTTACCACAAGGTAGGGCAGTCAAAAATATTCCAATAGTTTTGGTGTTTTTTGAAAAATAGTAACTTAACTATTTTCAAAGGAATCATCAATTTAACTGTGCTACCTTGTTACGGTAATTATCATATCATATAAATATAAATCATTTACAGAATAATAAGTTATTATATTGTAGATTCAATCTAATTGTAAACATTTTCTACCATTTAAAAATTGTACAATCTACAATTGTAATATTTCTATACCAGTCCAGTGAAAAAACTATTAAACTGCTAAATATAGCTATGACCCAATTTCCCTCTACTGAAGTGGCAGAATTTTGAATAAATAATACTGAATAATGTAAATAATAAGTTAAATTCTAGTAATTGAATGGTTTACATAATTTATAACTGTGCTCTAAGAGTTAGGACTTCTGTAACTAAAAACATTATTCTAACACTGTCAATTTTTCACAACAAGCTTGGCAACTGTCCTCTCCATTGCTAATTCACGAAAATTCAAGATTAAAATATTAAAATTGATCAACAAAACAATGTAGAGCCTGAACAAACTTTACAAATGTATAGACTGCACTTGCTATACATGTGAACTAATGTCACAAATTTCTGACATTTTAGAATTGGTTTAATGGGTTTTATATGGTAGAAAATATTTACAACAGTAAAGTATGTCAATATATACATATAATTGTATTGCTAGATAAGCAGGTTGAAGCATTCTCAATACTTACAAAGAAAGCTCTCCATAAATTCTGTATTTATTGCAAAATTATAACTCTTTGCAAACAGATACAAAATCAAACAACAAACACCAAAAAACAAAACAAAAACAAAAAAACCTGTTTACATACAAAACTCAAAACAAAACTCAAAACCAAACTCTGTTCAAAATCTTTTCAAAGCTAGCAAAACACCACTAACAATGTACAATGCATATTCATAACTACATAAATTTATGTAAAATCATCAAACTATAATTTGGTATCAGTCATTTCCCTTTAAAAGGAGTTACAACAGTAAGCATATCAAATTAATGAGTTTAATTTTTTTTTTTAAATGTAATAATCAATACAATACATAAGGTGCAGAAAAAAACTTTCCCACAAATTCTTCAGTACCATCTTCATAAAATGTGCTAAAACTTGCCAGCAGTACCAAAAACTATTTAAATTTCTTTACCACAGACAAAATAAATATTTGTGCTTTATAACCATGCAACACCTGTAAAAACTACTACGTAAGGTGAGGTAAAAAATCTGATGAAAAAAAAATGTAAATCTCCATTAAAAATCCACCACCGGAAATGTTTCGAATATAAAATGATAATTCTTCGTCCAATTTCCTGTGAAAAATACTTACATTTAAAATTGTAACAAACTTTTTCACTTTGCTTATAAACCTCTTTTTAAAGGAAAAAAGTCATAAAAAGTTATTATTATTATATCACTGTTATCTATAGATAAGACAGTACATTTCAATTAAAGACATTGTTTATACAATTTCATAGAACTGCAAACCAATGGCAAACACAACATATTGCAAATAAAACAAATAGCAAAACCAGTTCTTAATATCAACTTCAAAACAGAAATGTCACTTGAATTCAGAATCCTTTCTTGAAATATCACCATTTAAATTCTATTGATTCTAAAGTAGACATATTACATCTTGGACATTTAAAGAGCTGATGCACACTTTCAAAACTCGCTGTTTGATTTATTTGTTATTTATAAACATTAAAACATATCCCGACTAAATGATTCACTGCTAACCTCCATGTTAAAATTCATATTTTTCCTTTTCAAATTTGGGCATAATAAGAATCAAACATCCAGACACATGTGTGAATTTGAAAAAAAAGCAAACAAAAAAAAACATTCATAATAAAACAGTGGCCATTAAGAAGTGTTTATAATTATATTAAGACTGGTTTAACAAAATATTCATCTTTTATCAAGATTTGCACAACACTGATTAATTTAACAACAGCAAATAATGACAATCAGATTTGATAACATACCCTAGATGTATCTGGTACAGAAGAGGCACTGGTACTTGGACGGCCATCAACTCCTGGAAGGTCCATTTTAGTAAGTTCTTTGGTAAATTTTCTCACACACATTGCGATCAATCCATCTGTCCAGTCATATGTGTTAGGATCTGTTTCACCATAAAGTTCTCCCAGCTTTACACATTTTGGGTTTACAGTAAACACATCACAATGACCCTTCTTGGCTCTATTGTGCTGAAAATTTTCATAATCAACTTATTTAAATACACCTTCCACAATCTAATTGTACTGCTTAAAATGTACCCGTTTCATACTTATGTGAAATACAAAGAATGAAAGTATTCTTTCAGATCACATGTATTTGAAAACCTGAAAGCTTTTTGTAATAAGTGCTATAAATAAGGCTGATTTTTTGGTGTTAATTAACCAAACAGTAGAGGTCATAGGACAAGTTTCTGGGTGTAATGTTTGCATTTCTCTAGTTATGAGATAGCACTCAAGTAAAACCAGAGACTTCCTGTATGCTAAGAAGGAGATATGAATGTCCCAGGCAGGATTTGTAAAACAACAGCATGAGGAGAGAGCCAATTCAATTATTTAAGAAATATTTCAGCATCATAAAAAAGTATGCATTTGACAGGTGGTCCAAACCATTTCTAATCAATATATTTATCAATATGTTTTTAATGTTTGTTTCTTTTAACATTTTACTTAAATTTTCATAACTATTACATAGATACACTAAAAGTGAACATATTTTGATTAAATATTCAGTTACCACATAAGACACGCCCTTTTTCCCATCTTCCTTATCTTCCTGGGGTTGTATTGTTGGAAGAAGAACCAAGGCTTTCTGTAGTATAGACCTTACAGTAGTCTTCCCTCCACCAGTCGGTCCCACCAACATTACTCCATGACGCACCAGTATCTGGTTATACAACTGCTTCACTTTATCAATCTGGTGGGGCCATACCTGTAATCCTTGGTCTCTTGTTGACATTGAAATGGCTTTCTACAATTTAAAAGAACAATCATTAACATTTTTTCAATAAAAACTATAATAAACAAGAGCTGTCCGTAAGACAGCGCGCTCGACTTTTTTATTGCTTGCCAATAAAAAAAGTTTTTGCAGTAAAAGGCAATACAAGAATCTCTGTATTTTTAAAGTGAACAATGGCCATGAGCATTAAGATATTTAGTGAAGAATTATTTTACTGAATTGTGTGATACCCTTGAACACTGCAGCAAAGTTTGAAATGTTTAAGTCAAAAGAGGGCTGGTAAGAAAGAAAAAAAAACTGAGTTGAGCCTTAAATAAATTTAATTCTAAGTCGATAAAAGGCCTTAATTTTTAAAACAAATCCTTGACAGAGTTACCTTCTCTTGCGTACAGATGGGGGTAATGATGTGAAATAGCATTAAAAGTTTCAAAGCAATATCTCAAAGGGTTAAGGCAATAAGTGGATTTTACCCATATTCAATGTATTTTCTAAGTCAAAAAGGGGCATAATTCTGTCAAAAACCTTGACAGAGTTATGTCCTCTTGTCTGTTGATGAAGGTCGTGATGGTAAACAAGTATGGTCAGTTTCAAAGCAATACCTCCAATGGTTTTGAAATAAAGTGAGGTGGTACAAAAAACTTAACCAAGCTCAATACACTTTCTAAGTCAAAAAAGGGCCATAATTCTGTCAAAAACCTTGACAGAGTTATGTACTCTTGTCTGTAGATGGAGGTTATGATGGTGAACAAGTATGGTAAGTTTCAAAGCCATACTTGTAATACTTCTGAAATATATAAGTGGGGTGGTACGAAAAACTTAACCAAGGTGTGACGCCGACGCCGACGCCGGGGCGAGTAGGATAGCTCCCCTTTTCATAGAAAAGTCGAGCTAAAAAACCAACCAATCTGGAATTTTAGCATTTAAGTTCTAAAGTTTTTTTTTTAAGTGACATTAAAATGTCAATGTGTTTTGTTGTTATTGTTTTCAATTTAACAAATACATAAATACCAAAGAATAGTATGAATAGCTTCAAACAATGCAACCAACGGCCTGAGAAAAAATGCATATTCAAAAGCAATGGAAAGATTTTTGCTTCAACTATTCTGTGGCCATATCTTAAACATTGATATTAAGAATGAGACCAGTGAATTTGTTCAAAAATGATCCAAATAAAGGAACATTCTCATCTGAAAATTATATAAGGCACACCACTTTGTGAACTTAAGTAAATGTCCAAAATTCCTAACCACAAGTATGCCATGATCTGGTTCTGGTTGTGTTATACCAGGGAACAAATCATCTAAAATACTCTCAATGGAACATCCTCGGCCAGGAATTTAGGGAGGTTAGCATCTCTCAATGAGTGAATAAGTGATGTAATAAAATCTTACCTCAAGTATGCCGTGATCTGGTTCTGGAGGTGTTATACCAGGGAACAAATCATCTAAATTACTCGCAAACAATGGAACATCCTCGGCCAGGAATTTAGGGAGGTTGGCATCTCTCATGAAAACAAGTGATGTAATAAAATCTTACCTCAAGTATGCCATGATCTGGTTCTGGTGGGGTTATACCAGGGAACAAATCATCTAAAATACTCGCAAACAATGGAACATCCTCGGCCAGAAACTTAGGGAAGTTAGCATCTCTCAATGAGCGAACAAGTGATGTAATAAAATCTTACCTCAAGTATGCCGTGATCTGGTTCTGGTGGTGTTATACCAGGGAACAATTCATCTAAGATACTAGCAAACAATGGAACATCTTCAGCCAGGAATTTAGGGAGGTTGGCATCTCTCATGAAAACAAGTGATGTAATAAAATCTTACCTCAAGTATGCCATGATCTGGTTCTGGTGGTGTTATACCAGGGAACAAATCATCTAAAATACTCTCAATGGAACATCCTCGGCCAGGAATTTAGGGAGGTTAGCATCTCTCAATGAGTGAATAAGTGATGTAATAAAATCTTACCTCAAGTATGCCATGATCTGGTTCTGGTGGTGTTATACCAGGGAACAATTCATCTAAGATACTAGCAAACAATGGAACATCTTCAGCCAGGAATTTAGGGAGGTTGGCATCTCTCATGAAAACAAGTGATGTAATAAAATCTTACCTCAAGTATGCCATGATCTGGTTCTGGTGGTGTTATACCAGGGAACAAATCATCTAAAATACTCTCAATGGAACATCCTTGGCCAGAAACTTAGGGAGGTTAGCATCTCTCAATGAGTGAATAAGTGATGTAATAAAATCTTACCTCAAGTATGCCATGATCTGGTTCTGGGGGTGTTATACCAGGGAACAAATCATCTAAAATACTCTCAAACAATGGAACATCCTCGGCCAGGAATTTAGGGAGGTTGGCATCTCGCAATGAATGAATGAGGATATAAGCTTCATCTTTCTCAGATAGTCGGACAGATGACAAATCAGCCCTGAAATCATTCATTACACAGATACAAATATCATTCTATAGTATACAAATGTATCTCTATAGTTACAAGACAGGAAAACATAAGTATAACTATCATAAATCCTACACGACAAAACAAGAACAATTGTACAGAATCTAGAGAACTTTTTAAGATAAATTGTAACTTCAAAACAAATATCAAATAGTTATATAAGTCTACTGTATTTCTATTAAAAACCAGGCAATTAAAACCTGTTAAATTTCAATTAGAAATGGTTTATAAATCCTCTTATCTATCTAACTAGTCTATAATATACAACAATTACATAAAGACACTTAAAAGAAGTCACCTGTTACAAGTTTCATTGAAAATGATCATTGTTAACATAGTGAAGAAATTGAAATTTTGACACACACAAAATACACACACACAAACAAAACAGTAAATTTAAATACAAAAAAACATACAAATGTATCTAAAAACAAAATGGAAAAAATAAAATAAAACAAAAATCATGTGGTTAAAAACTGTTATTTTTGTAAAAGGAAATTGTTAAAAATAACTGTTACACAAGGCTTTTTTTTGTTTTTGAAAAAGAAAAATCATAATAGAAATAAAATAGTAAGAAATCAAAACTAGTAATTCTGCATAGAAATAATTATTGACATAAATAGAGATTATATGATTTAATTTCTATATTATTATGAATGTAAAATAAAAGATAAAATGAAAAGAAAGAGAATAAACTTAATACACTAAATCCTTTTTTTTTCACTGTGTTTTGTTAAAAAAGGTCTTTAGGGAATTCTGTGGAGTCATGTAACTTTTACTTACATAAAAAACAAACTGGCGTGAATTTTTAACAAGAACCCAGAGTAAAATCATCCATGGATATTGTTTCAAGGTTCAAGAAAAAACACAATATTATTTCATGTTAAGAGTAAAGACATTATCAAACTTGTCAATTAAGCTTTATGGACAAACCTCCAGCACACTGGAAAACATGCAACACTTTATTAATAAGTAAAAATATACTGAACCCCCTTTATCGATGACATAACTTATAATTTTGTAATGACCTAGAATTATTCCTAACCCAACAAGTATTGATGAAAGGGCAGGAATACTAAAGAAAATATTTGGAAAGCAAATACTTCTGAAAATATTTAAAATAAATGTGGTATTAGATCCAAAATTAACAACATTCCCATATATACAAGTATTTGTAACACTACAGCTTAGTTACATGACTCCATAGTTACAAGTAATAAGAACAAAAATCTTAAAGTGTGTTATTTTTGTGAACTTACTCCATCTGTTCCATCAACTTCCTTTAAACACAGGTAACACAATACTAATACAAACATTCTTATACAAAATAAGCCGTCATTGCAACAAATCATCATAGACTGTTCTGTTAGTACACTGATTGACTTAACCCTTTCTCAATCAAACATGTTCAATGGACTTGTCAGTTTTTCGATTTGGACAAAAGAATTTATAATTTTAAGGGAAAAATTCTAAATTCATACTGAGTGAATAGGACAGTACAGGCCATGATCAGCCAGCATGGATAGCTGGTACATTTGTGCCATGGTCTGCACTGTGCCCACCTGATCATGGTCTGCACTGTGTCACCTGATCATGGTCTGCACTGTGCCCCCACCTTAACTTGGTCTGCATTGTGCCCCACCTGATCATGGTCTGCACTGTGTCACCTGATCATGGTCTGCACTGTGCCCCCACCTTAACTTGGTCTGCACTGTGCCCCCACCTGATCATGGTCTGCAATGTGCCCCCACCTGATCATGGTCTGCACTGTGCCCTACCTGATCATAGTCTGCACTGTGTCACCTGATCATTGTCTGCACTGTGCTCCACCTAATCATGGTCTGCACTGTGTCACCTGAACATGGTCTGCACTGTGCCCCACCTGATCATGGTCTGCACTGTGCCTTACCTGATCATGGTCTGCACTGTGTCACCTGATCATGGTCTGCACTGTGCCCCACCTAATCATGGTCTGCACTGTGTCCCCTGATCATGGTCTGCACTGTGCCCTACCTGATCATAGTCTGCACTGTGTCACCTGATCATTGTCTGCACTGTGCCCCACCTAATCATGGTCTGCACTGTGTCACCTGAACATGGTCTGCACTGTGACCCACCTGATCATGGTCTGCACTGTACCTTACCTGATCATGGTCTGCACCGTGTCACCTGATCATGGTCTGCACTGTGCCCTACCTAATCATGGTCTGCACTGTGTCACCTGATCATGGTCTGCACTGTGCCCCCACCGATCATGGTCTGCACTGTGCCCTACCTGATCATGGTTTGCACTGCCCTACCAGATCATGGTCTGCACTGTGTCACCTGATCATGGTCTGTCTGCACTGTGCCCCACCTAATCATGGTCTGCACTGTGTCACCTGATCATGGTCTGCACTGTGTCACCTGATCATGGTCTGCACTGTGCCCCACCTGATCATGGTCTGCACTGGTCATATAGGTAGATTCAATTACTGTCAGCAGACTGAGTTATGTATCACAATGAACCCTTATCATAACATGACTTGAACCTTTCATTTATCATTATAGCATATTAAATTGTTAGTAGAAATAACTCCAAATATTGCTTGCAACATGACCTTGACTTTTGACCTAATTACTTAATAATAAACTAAGCTTAAACAATAGTCTTGGCAAGCATGTCCTCAAAATTTAATTATTTTCTTACTTTTTTCTTTTCTTTATGATATATTGGAAACAGGCAATTTTGTCACATTAAATTATGCTGCCTTAACCTTGATCTTCTCATTTATTTACCAGAATCAATTATATTAACAGAAACAAAATATTGATTACGTTTCTGTTGGGGTCACATTTAGAAATGTAGATTAAAATGTTTTCCACTGTAAAACTTTGGTGATTACAAAATAATGGTACATTAGAAATCGGCAAATTTAAAACTTGATAAAAGTTAAACTGTAGAATAAACAAGCTGATCTTTCACCTAATCAAAGTATAAAGTTATATGTATAAGTATCCTGAAGGTATATAATAATAATGTGCTATGTTGTTAAATCTATCTACAGTAACATCAAACAACAACACACAATGCTGAATACAAAATTTACACATATGGGTACCATTATATATGCAAAACAAACTGTTTACTTTACATAGGTATTTCTTTAAAACAGAAATTACAAACTTGATTACAAATTAAACGACAAAAAAACACCCTTAACCCTTAAAGTAAGCATAAAATACTAAAATCTGTTCAGTACCAAGTAAACTACAAGAACCATAATAATAATTCATGATTCAACGATAAAACAGCTTACAGAAAAATTCTAAGATAATAAGTAAAAAAAAAAAAAAACCTCATAAATGGAAAAGTGTACAAATGTAAAACAATATCAGACTAGGTAAATTCTTACTTTTGTTGTGCCTGTAGTCGACCATGCCCTGCCATGACGAGGACAGACTTTATAGCTCTCATACCAAAGTCATAATGATCTTGTTGAGATAATTGTCTACTTGCTAACTGATACAGATTAACAATCTTCCCGGAGAGAGATTTAGCATCACGGAACCCCTCAGAGAACAACATGATTTCAGCAATCTGTGAGTAGTCGGGTACCATCATAGCTACGGGACGGAACAATGACTTCAAGTTGTCTGGTAGTTCTACACGACCAGCATATCTATATAAATTATAATATAATTATCTTATAAATCAGATCATTCTACCATTACATTAAACTGATTAGCAGTTTCCAGTAGCTGTGTGCATTTCTCATGTGTTTTAAACAGATTGCATGATTTCTGATGAAGATATATTAAAGCTGAAGAATGTGTTATCATGATTTTTTATTAACTTATTACACAAATCAGATAAAAAATTCTTAAATATTTTTGACACTTTAAAAAACCTCAATGTATCAATCACATGGCATCAGATAATGCTAAACAAAGACTTTGTTTATTTTTTGTTAATTCATCAAACAATAACAGTACTTTTTTATTGTCATTTTAACAATAATTGATCTTAGATGAAGTTATTGTTTTACTAGTACTTATTCTGTACAAATAATGTATGACAAAAACAAAGTTGTATAAAGATATAATGTTAATATCCCTTAGCTAACATTACATATGTTGGCTCAGACACAGCACTGGAAATGTTTCACTTACGTTGGATTCATAGTTATAAAATATCCACAGGTATGATTCAGTTTAATCTCTTTTCCTTCAAACACAAATCTCAGAGCTCCGGCATCTTTAGCTGTTTTTATGGTAAGAATTTGCTGAGCTACGACTGACAATACCTCCAAGTCAATACGGTTAAACTCATCAAAACAACACCAACTACCAGACTGAGAGAGACCAGAGAAAAACTTGCCCAGCATCTTATAGTCAAGTCCTTCTGAACAATTAAATACAACACACTGTTTACCCATTGCCTGAAAATATGACAAAGTAATAAATATTCAACCCTATCAAATATCATTATTGAACAACAAACCATTATTAAAAATCTGTTAAAAAGTCAAAATTAAACTTTTTCAAAATCAATCAATGAAAATGAAATCCTTAACACAATTGGAACGTTATATGTATTCTTTACCTATAAAGTAGAAATAAGATTTAGCCGTGCTAAACCAAAACATATTTGTATGCAGACTTTTGATAATACTGCAATTTTTTTAAAGATAACATGTATACACAACACATACTAGCTTACTATTACTCATTGTAAGCTAAATTAAAATTTAGTTTACCTTTGCGAGATCTTTGACAGTTTCAGTTTTACCGGTTCCTGCAGGTCCTGCAGGGGAACCACCTAGATGTAGATGAAGGGCACCAGTCAGTGTAAGGTAGCACCTGTCAGTTAATGGGGTAATTACCAGACGAGATGAACATCCCAGATACTCGTACCCATACAGGAAAGATGCATTACTCTGATATACCTGACAGTTGTTTGTGGTCTCATCCCACTCATACCGTAACTGCCTGCAAACATTATAAATATTTTACATTAATTATATTGAGGGATATGATATATTACCTGGTCTATGCATAAATTTAAGTTATAACAAGCTGATATAAGCCAGGGGCTGTAGAATGTTTTATATGAGGAAGCTATACATCTAGCTCACAGAAGGTCTATGCTTCAACTCAGGTGCCCAATAGTGCCTGAAATAATGCACCTGATGTCTCTTACCAAATGCAAAAGATGGAAACTTGCAAACTGGCATGTGACATTTCACTTTAAACCTAGCAAAAAAAGAGATGTTGTCATTTTCCTGCTAAATAAGTGAGTGAAAAACAAACCTTTTTTGTCAAAATAAGTAACATTCCTGTGAAATAAAGGTAAAATTCTAAACTTCACATCTAACAAAATGAGGATAACCAATAAAGATAAAACAAAAAACATAAATTTGGTAAGCCTGCTAAGAAACTTGAACATGTAGAATAGATATACTATAGTTTTATCACTGTGAAACAGACTAAGTTTGTAGCTTAAAAATCTTTTACATGTTTTTATAAAGAAATGAATATTGATTCCATAATAACAGTATGAATCTTACTTTGTCCACTCAAAATCATCTCTGGTGATAACACCAGCATTGATCATATTAGAGAGTATATCTCTGTTATGTACATCAATAGTGAGAAGTGCCTCTATACACATTGTCTGGTATGGTTGTAGAGAGGTGGATACCAGACCTGCCAGATTACCCAGGGAATCTACCATCTTGTTCAATACATCAATCAGCGCCACCTTCGGGTCACTCTGATCAAAACATCTTACTACATCTTTGTTGAACATAATCTGAGCCTATAAGATAAAAATAATAGCTTACATAAGTTACAATTAACATAGAGTCTAGGAAAATTTTATAAAGCCAACATACAGCAAGTTTCTGAAACAACATCAAAGTTACAATTTTATCAAATGATATTAGAAAAGATTTCAATAGCAGAATGCTTTTGTGTTACACCATTTTCAAACAAGAGCTGTCTGAGGACAGCTACGCTTGACTATTCAAAAAAGTTGTCACAAGGGTGTTTCATTGAGTATTGTAATGCTTCCCTAAATGAATACATAAAATGAACTATGAAGTCACACACTGACTTTAGAAAATAATGCTCGCTTAACTATTCCCAGTGCTTGACAGTTAAAAAAGCGGCATAACTCTGTACAAAGTACACTAAGAGTTATGGTACCTGTGTCCATCAAATTAGATATATGAACGAGTGTGTGAAGTTTCAACCCATACCATTCAGTAGTTTTGGAGAAAACAACTTACAAGCAAAAACTTAAGTGTGACGGCAATGGCAACGCCAGGGTGGGTACTAAAGCTCTCCCCCTTCATTGAATAGTCCAGCTATAAATACTAGATTTAGAGCAATAAAATTACAAAAATTAATCACTTACCACTGTGAGAACAACCTGTCCTGGATGTTTCAGTACCCATTCCTGTAACTTGATACCTAACCAATCTGCCAAACCTAGCTTCAAATGCCTGAAAATAATGCATTATATGTGTTGTTATAACTAAACTTAACAGAAACATGAAGCAAAGCAGAAATCTAATCAGACCTGGCCTATCAGACCAGCAATCACACTTTAGGTGATATGAACATGATGTTATTTAAGGATCATTACATTACAGTCTATACACAAAAAATCTTATTTGGCCATTTACCATACCAACATTTCAAAGTCCCAATTTTTTCTACAATGAAATTGAGATAACAGTTACTGTTATGTTTGTATAACATGCATTGTCCTCACTTTGAAACAATGACCAACAAATGCAAATTTATGTCAATATTGAGATAAAATCTCTATACCTTTTAACAGTTTCAAACATGTGAGCTTCTACATTACTCAGCCACATTTCAACAGCTCCCTTAGCTCTTACACTCCTGAAAAATACATCCATATGCATTTAAAAAAAAAGATATATGACAATGATGTAGAGATTTACTAGTACTTTCTTTTTCTTCTAAACATTTTCCTTTATATTTTGGTTGGATTTTAAATCACTATTAAGGTAATTTAATAAATTCACCTTTACTGTTACATAAAGGTGCCCCTCTAAATGTTATTTCAGGCACTGATCTTCTATAGAAAAATGAGTAAAATCAACATCTATAGCAGGATTCAAACCCATAGAGGCAAGGTGGAAAAGACCTTGACAATGCAGCCAGGCAGGATGTAAGATTGATTTTGCTTCATTCCTATTGCTGTATTACAATATATATACTTTTTAGTATCATGTTTCACATAAATCAAATCAAGCTTGTTTATATATTTAGAATGATATATAGGTGATGATATGAAGAAGTAAACAGACCTTGTCATGTTGACAACCTCGCCTTCAGCTGACATCATAGAATGTACGGCAGGTGGGTTACGTGGTAACGTCTTGATCTCCAGAGATTTGATGTTCCCAAAACATTTACCTAGATGCGGCTGTAAGTACATGTAACCATAAAAATGTTAATTTTATATCCATTACAGCTTTGAGTGAAAATTTCATTTCTAAGTTTTTGACATTATTTTTCCCAAGAGAAAGATGCCTTTCAAAAACAAAGAATTACAGATACAACTTTAAACACTATACAATGTACAATACAAGCAAAATAAATAACAAAATTTTGTCCAAAAAATATCATTTTTAATTACGCATATAATTTTAGACCAGGATCTCACAACACAGCTGCATGTTTTCCCTGTAATCTCATATTTCAACCAGTATTGTCACAGGGTGAGAATAATGGGCAGTCTGACCAGGACTCGAACCTGGGACCCTCGAAATACTGTTCCGCAGCTCTACCGACTTAGCTATTCGAGTACTTACACAAATTCTCCCCTAAATAATGAAAGGTTCTGAACCAAGACATACTCCCCCGCTATGTTGAAATTCATCCCCGATTTTCTCAGGGTTACAGAGCAATGCCAGTTAAACTCTGAGCTATATGCAGTCTCTATGCTATGGACATTACAGCTAATGTAACAATAATAAAAGCCTTGGTTGAACTAACAACTTCTATTTCTACACTTTCCATGAAATTAATGTATTGTCACCTTAGTACAGTAACGAGTTAACTCCTATCAAATTATCGTATCAGGAGTCAACCAATTACTGCACTAAGGTTACGGTATATTAATAAACTAATGTTCATATAACTTTCAACTCTTATCATTTTCTTAATAAAAGAAGCAAAAAATTACCTGTATATACATATCTAAAAGCATTTCAAATAAAAAATCCTTACCCATTTCTTTTTTTAAAGGTTTCATGCATATTTTTGTTTCACTTCTAATGTGCTTTTCCTAACAATGTTTCTTTTTTCACTGACATAATTATTATTATTTTCACTATTAGAAAGCTTACTATCTACTGGGTTAAGCTTACCATGGTAAAGTGATAGGACTCTCTCTGTAATTTAGTTTAAATATCAAACAAATCTTCTAAGATAACATATAAATAGCATCAGTATATGACTTAGACACAACAGTTTTGGTCATTGCAATGTTTTATCCAGTCTTAATTTGTGTCTTCTTTCTGAGCCTATTTCTTAATTATTAGTACATTTTTACCTCTTTTACAACTGTCACTGCTCCTAAATTACTATTATTTGCCGATAAATAAGGGCTTTAACTCTCTTAGACAATTCAGATTTCAACATAAAAAAAACAATGATAATATGCAAATTTACACAACAATCATGTGTTAAATTGTAGTGTAGATATAAGAATACATTAACAGAAGGGAAATGAAAACTTCATCATAGGAATTGCTTTACAAAACAGGCATACGAGAGTGTGAAATTAAATACAAAATGTCCCCTTTAGGAATAACAAGACTTTACTATTGACCTATATTTAAGCATACTGTAGGACACTGAGCCCCAATACATTATTTAAGGTAACTTAGGAAAAAACAATAACCTTTCAAGAAGCAACTGACTGGTCATATAACATTCAGTAGTTAAAATCTGGTGACATTAATTCCAACCATATCACCTGTACAACTCATATTAAAATATATCATTTACCTACTCAATGCTAATCCATTAACAAGTTATCATTATACATGTTATTGTAAATAATGTTATATAAAGCTTTAAATAAAGTGGATAGCTAATAACTTTGTTAAAAATCTGGTGCATGCTTAAATGTACATAACATAACAAAATGATAATTATCAAATAGCATACAAATTAATGTATAATTAGATATCCATTATAAATATGCTTTACTAGAACATAAAAAGTTAAAGTGCAAAATAATTAATTGTGACAAATAACAGGAGACAAGTGTAACAGTGCAAACAGGTTATATCAACCCTGACATGACAGGACACAAGGTCATATATCATTACCTGTACAGCATTTGGTTCCTTTGACTGGCCCAATATTTCCAGTAACTCATCATTACTGAGGAAGTAAAATCTTGGGAATGACAATCTCTTCGAATCTAGGTACTCCTACAAAATATAAAGACAAAAAAAAATATTACTTTAACTCTTCAGAAATGATCAAGTTAAAAAAATGATAGAAATGATTATAATAAAATCTTCACTTGGGGTGTGGAGCTCCAAACACCTTAAAATCCAAATAAATTATATATTTATATATCCAATCACAAACACTTATCATATATATCAATAAAACTTGATATACGCTGTTTTGAAAAAGTTCATATGTCTATGTCAATATACATATTAAGTATCTGTGCAAATAATAACATATAATGAAAGCCAGGTTTTGAAAATGCACACAACTATTTTCTTGCTATATAAACTATTTAGATAAACAGTCTCTTTAAATTAAGTTGAAAACAAGGAACATCGCAATGCGATGCAACCAGGTTTTCAGCAAAATATTTCACAGAAGCTTTGTCATGAAGGGGCATTTGTTTTTAATTGAACTTTTAGGAGGAATTATGGCTCTTTTAATATTCCTCAAACAAAAATGATTGAGAAATTTTATGTTGTCTATTCGCCTTTTTTTCCCAAATATTTTAGAAAGGTAAACAGTACTTTATTTTTGCTTAATTTTTGCATTTTTGCGTCTCTTGTCATTTTCTTTTGTCAACAATATTGGCGTGTGGTGTTTTGTGCGATATCAAGAAAAGTATGTTCACAATTTTAAAAAAATACTTGAATGATGTCTTGGAAGAAACATGGGAATTTAGTGAGCGCCAGGGCACTTGATGACAAAGTTTCTGTGAAAGTTTGGTCAAAATCCATTAAAAAATGTAGAAGTTGCGCACTGTAGAAATTGTTCACTATATATTCTGTATAAGGAAAAAATATACAAAGGGCCATAATTCGGTCAAATATTATCCAATCACAAAACCCTGACAATATGTGCCAGGCACTTGATAACAAAGCTTCTAAGAAAGTTTGGTCAAAATCCGTTGAGAAATGTAGGAGGAGTTGAGCACAGAAAAAATTGTTCTCTATATATTCTGTATAAGGAAAAAATATACAAAGGGCCATAATTCGGTCAAATATTATCCAATCACAAAACCCCGACAATATGTGCCAGGCACTTGATAACAAAGCTTCTAAGAAAGTTTGGTCAAAATCCGTTGAGAAATGTAGGAGGAGTTGCGCACAGAAGAAATTGTTCACTATATATTCTATATAAGGAAAAAAAACAAAGGGCCATAATTAGGTCAAATATATACCAATTGCAAAAACCCTGGCAATATGTGACAGGGCACTTGATGACAAAGCTTCTGTGAAAGTTTGGTCAAAATCCGTTGAGAAATGTAGGAGGAGTTGCGCACAGAAGAAATTGTTCACTATATATTTTATATAAGGAAAAAAAACAAAGGGCCATAATTAGGTCAAATATTATCTAATCGCAAAACCCCGACAATATGCGCCAGGGCACTTGATTACAAAGCTTCTGTGAAAGTTTGGTCAAAATCCGTTGAGAAATGTAGGAGGAGTTGCGCACAGAAGAAATTGTTTACGCCCGCGCCCGCCCGCCCGCCGCCCATCCGCCCGCCCGCCAACATACCTCAATCTAATAACCAGTTTTTTCCTTCGGAAAACCTGGTTAAAAATATTTATAATTTTGTTGGATACTGGAACATCATTTCATAGATGCACTAACCTCAAGACATTTCTGTATTTTCTCTAGGGAGGTATTACAAGCTTGTAATGTTTCTAGCATGCCTGTCTGTGTAGCACACTTCATCGCATTTGGTCGATCTTGAACTTGTCTCATTATATCCTTCCATGACTTGTCTACTTGTGAAAACATTGTGTACTCAGGTTTCAATTGTCTGAAATATACAACAATATAAATAAACAAAATTCACCAAAAATAATCTTATTTTTCACATGTCTGTTTTCCATTTTATATAACAATTATGTATTTCTTTATATTTCACATGTATTTACTTAGCTGATATTTTTCTAATTATTTTTAAAAATGCAGTATGTTTATTTACAATCAACTTGATATAAAGTTTATATACATAGAAAATGCACAGTGTTCACTTACTTTTGTATATCTGGTGTAGAGAATATCTGTTCTAGATACAGCCAGTTTCTCTGACAGGCCATCCATTCCTCTAATGTCTTTGCAAATATATTCAACTTTCTCTCCCATTCTTCAACTTGTGGCTATTATATTAACAAACAACACTTTGTATAGCATAGCTATGTGTAGATCAAGGAAGAAATGATGAATGTTACACAAAACTTATTACCTAAACATTCACCTTTTACAACTTTATTGACAAGAGTTTGAACTGTTTAGTAACTCAGTACACAGAGGTAAATAAAACCACCCAACATTAAAACTAGTATATGAATGCAAAATCCCTATACAGAAGTACTGTAAAGTGTTTCATTCTGATAAATGTTAATTACCAGATTTCACCTGTTGTTTTATTAGGATTCACAAAAATAAAGTGTGTGGGATAAGACCACTGACTGAAAAATTATAAAAATAATACCAAACCTTGATAGGTCCAACATATCTGGAACCTCTGATGGTTCCTATGGTAACCTGACTGTCTTCTAACTGGGTCATTATGTCATCTGCTCCAGCAATAATGAAAGTGTCTCGACCAGGATGGGCAACATATCGGAAATCTGTGTTCTTCCATAAATCCACAATCTAAAATAATTTTCCATTTTCATATTATTAAATATTTGAAATATAAACCAAAAATACACAAAACTAGAAATGTGTCCATAGGACATGGATGCCCCCACATGCCACTGTTCTGTCAATCTTATGACTCTAGGTCAAATATTTTTTGGACTACATGTGCCACAAGTTGAAAACTAAAAATCAACAAAGGGCCATAATTCTGTTAAATTTAGTGGCAGCAAAAATTCGTTCCTTTACTACCTATAATCTACACATTAAGGTTGTTCATCCTTGGAAGTTTAAGCAAAATCTGCCATCCGGTTTAAGAGGAGTTGCGTTCACAAAATTTCTACACAGTATATAGTGAAAAAATCAACAAAGGGCCATAATTCTGTTAAATTTGATCGCTGCGAAAATTCCTTCCTTTACTTCCATCTACACATTTAGGTTGTTCATCCCTGGAAGTTTAAGCAAATTCTACCATCCAGTTTAAGAGGAGTTGCGTTCACAAAATTTCTACATAGTATATAGTGAAAAAATCAACAAAGGGCCATAATTCTGTTAAATTTGATCGCAGCAAATTCCTTTACTACCATCTACACATTAAGGTTGTTCATCCCTGGAAATTTAAGCAAAATTTGCTATCCGGTTCAAGAGGAGTTGCGTTCACAAAATTTTTACATAGTATATAGTGAAAAAAATCAACAAAGGGCCATAATTCTGTTAAAATGGTTGCAGCAAAAATTCCTTCCTTTACTGCCATCTACACATTAAGGTTGCTCATCCCTGGAAGTTTAAGCAAAATCTGCCATCAGGTTTAAGAGGAGTTTGGTTCACAAAATTTCTACATAGTATATAGTGAAAAAATCAACAAAGGGCCATAATTCTGTTAAATTTGATCGCAGCAAAAATTCCTTCCTTTACTACCATCTACACATTAAGGTTGTTCATCCCTAAAAGTTTAAACAAAATCTGCCATCCGGTTTAAGAGGAGTTGCGTTCACAAGATTTCGGGATGTAGGGACGGACTGATGGACGGACGGACAGACAAGTGCAACGCTATATGCTCCCACTTTGTGGGGGCATAAAACCTTTTCTACATTTCTCAATTGCCTTTATAACTTTAATAATCTTTTTATTTTCATGAACTTGCATTTATTTGTCAATTACATAAAATTTCAAGTAACCCAAAATGCTTAACTGGTCATGTTTTGCATTACATTATTGCTGTAAAAAATTCTAGCTGATGTTTTGCAAAAAAGCAACATATTTTACCTTCTGCAGCATATTTTCTAGAGTAGCCTCATTACTGGCAGTGGTAGATATATCCTGAATCTTCTCTTTGTGTTTGAATATCTAGTCAAGAAAGCACATGAATTAACATCTATGAGAATAATATTACATTATGACATATGGAATACAAACAAAAAGTAACATATGGAATTCAAAACCTTCACACATAAATTTGCTTCACTTTTAATTTTCAAACAATTTATCATTGCTACATTCTAATTTCATTCCAAGTCCATTTCCTCCAGATGTTTTCAACAAAAAGCATTATCAGATTATGAAATAACAACAGTTGATTTCATCTATTGTTTCCCAGTGTTTTATTCTTAAGCTAAAAATATTCAAAATATTCAATTAACAAATATTTACTTTTATTTAATTTTACCCATGAAATATGGTGCTATATCAGTCAAATATATTTCATATTTTTTAAAAGTAAATATGAAATATAAATATGAAAGAGGGCGGAGTCAAAACTCATATTTATTTTAAGGGACTTCTTTCGCCGTTTTGTTTGAAAAATCTGATGAATACAAAACAACTTTTTCTTGAATATTGTTTTGAAAACTATCTAGCATGATAGAAAATGGTCTAACTAAGAAAATTAATCCGAACACCAATATCTTTAATTCAGTAATTAACGCTGTACAGACGTTTAAAGAGTTGTTTACATGACGTCACAATGTAGCGCCAAACAGCGCGTGCTTACGCATAAATTACTGCGCGCCGTACAATTGCAGTTGGTAGCAAGCAAGGGCATTCGTTACCATTTTCTTTGATAATGAAATTAAATAAAAAGGTTATTTTTTCGTTTTTCGTGAAATATGGTATATATTTTCACTCAACATGATAAAATGCCACATATTTTCACTCGCCGTACCGGCTCGTGAAAATATGTGGCATTTTATCATGTTTCTTGAAAATATATTCCATATTTCACGCAAACGAAAAAATATCCTCTTAATAAACATATTCCAAGATATCACCAAGCAAAATATATATTGAAAAGAAAAAAAATTAGAATGACAAAGTCTAGTAAAAATTCTTCCTCTTAATTAATATTAAATTCCTCTTATCAAAAATTAAAACCTTGTCAAAACCTTGAAAAAAAAGCAACCTTGAAACAAAAAAGTTCTTTCAGTTAACAAGGTATAACATTACCAATGTAGGAAGTAAATGCCAAACTAATACAACAACAATATAATATCTTACGTTCATTTCCAATAGACTGCCTAGGGTAAATGATTTGTCCTTGCCAATAGATTTACCAATAAGTCTTTCTATCTGCTGCCAATGACGAGGTCTCAAGAACTGATTCCTAAGACTAGTGATTACAGGCATACCCTGTTTAAAGTCCATCACTTTCTCCTTCAGCCGGGGTACAACCTCATTGTGGGGTAAACCTAAAATTATACATACATACATAGAAACCAGAAATCTCAAACAAAAACTGGTAAAATGTACTCATACTTAAATAGACTTAATTTAATAGAAGTTTGAGGAAGAGATCTTTAGAAATCTTAGAATGGAAAATTTCAATAGAGACATTAAAGGTAAATGCTTATTTCATCCTGTTAAATATCTTTTTTCATTTATGATTTCAAAGTATATTTTTACTTTTAACATATGACAAAGTTTTTTCAAAATTTCATTAACAATGAACTTATACTTCAACAATGCTTGATTTCATAAACATCAGAATAAAAACATTTTTTTGTAGAAATATCTATTTATGCATTACATATTACAGTTTGAGTGAATAAATACATGTTGGAAAATTGTTTAACCTTTCTCCAGCATAAAGACAGTCTGTGAGTATCTGTTCACATTTTTCTGTAATGTTTCTACAGGTAAAGCATCAAAAGATGTTGCAGTCCATTCATCTACAAGTTTAGTCCATTCTTCCTGTGACTGCCACAGCAGACGGCGTAGTGTGAGATCACGCTCCACCTCAGAGAGGTCGGCCTGGATCTCTGCGGCACTGTGATCATCTCGTTTTGACATGTTCATATACATGTACTCCCTGCAATTCAGATAATTACAACACATAAGCTTCTTTGTGACACTAAATGAAAGTTATTGAAAAAGACATAAATTGCATAAATTCTAAAGCCCTTTCTATGAAATTATCATTTTTAAAAATGAAATTTGTTAACACAGTATTCGTATACCACACTGTAAATTATTGTCTCTGTGCTATATATCAATAATATAGAAACATGCATTTTTCAAAAATTGGAGAGAAAAAAAATCTAATCTACAAGTTTTTCAAACATATCGTTTCACAAATGAAAAATATATACATTATACCCATTGTATATATAATGCATGGGTTTTTATGTATATTCTGAATAAAGGTCAAACAATGTAAAAGTTTGAACAAGAAAACAATTGATATCACTTACTCTCCAATAAGACCTCTCTTGGAGTGTGACAAGGAACTACCAAATCTTTCCTGGTAGCTGGCATAACTCCTGGCCTTTACAGATAATATCTGCGTCTCTTCTTGTAGGAACTTCAGAGTCTCGAGAGCTCCCATGGCGTTGGTGTCAATGTGTAGCAGGTCTGGGTCTCGAACCTGGTTCATCAGGTCCATAAGTTTGTTACGTATCTGGTATATCAGGGTGTCCAGGTCCTGACTAAACTTTCTGATATTTTCATCCTTCTTTGCATCACAGAACAGAATTATGTTCTAAATTGTAGAGAATATTCAGACAATTATTTAGTGTTATGAAAAACAAAGTAACTGTGTAATATATTATGTTTGATAACACAATATAACAATCAGATTTCACATGATTCACAAGCCAAATATGAAGGTAAACATGTAAAAAAGTTTATATCTCTTCCAAATATAAAGTAATATAAATAATTTTTATAAATGAATTCTTGGAATAACCTTCCGAACACAAGTGATAATAACAGGCCCCCAGAATAGAACCAGGCCAACCTGAGCAGGGCAGTCTAACCATGTTTATTGCATTCAATTTTATATTGAAATTACCTAAACAAATTTTGGACTATTCAAAATGTAAATCTGGACAAATTGGTCACAAAAGTATAACATGGTAACAGATTATAAGTAAATTAAAATGACACCTTTAGTGTGATGAAATCAGGTCCAAGAGTCTGATACAGAGCCAATTCTTCATCTGTAACTTGAACATTATAATCCTTGGCAATGGTGAACAATTTGTTTACAATCTCAAACTCTCGTTCCAGGGCAGGTAACTCTGATGACATTTTGCCAAGGAAAGACAAATGCTCAACAAATTCTTCAACAGACTTTGGATAGTGATCCAATTTCTTGGATGCTCCCTGTAAAATTTAACATTCATATAGAAACATACACAAATCACAAAGTGTATACTTTTTAATCCCTCAAAGAAAATGAATAGTTTATACACTTTAAAACATCAAGAACAAAAATTGCATGATCCTCATATCTGTGCTCAGAAAATGCAGCATATTTACTTAAAAAATTCTGCATGTTATAATAAATAATTTTTTTTTATCTAAACCTGTAACCAAATTATTGCTAAACTTTGTATATGATACATCTACAGCTACTTACATAACGTTGAAAGCTTGAAGAAAACAATTTAAAATAAAAATTTCCATGACTAACTGACTTTGCTGAAAAATAATTTTTCTCTCGACAAGAAAGTTTAATTTACCTTGATAATAGTAAGCAAGTCTTCATTTCTTCTAATAGCTATAATAGGTAGAGCTTTGCTGACTTTACTGACAATATTATCTGGATATGGCAGACATGTTTCACGATAATTTTTGCTGTAAACGTGCACCATGGCAACACGACGCAGTATTGTCATCCTCTTCATCTGACGTATCTGTAAAAATTAAACAATCAAGAAAATTAAACGAAAGTAAAATACAGTAATTATTCATTCTCCAAATAAAATATCATCTTCTAGAAACGATTGTTAAACTCATGTCTTTGTAATATCACAATACATTTGCCCATGCTTGGGGTTCAAACCCATACTCTTTGTATAACTATATACATGTATATATCAAACTCAATACACATTGGCTTGTAAAAATGAAAAAAGATTTCACACAGAATACAAATATTCATGTGCATTACTATTATGGGCATCATTTTAAAACCATCCAAAAACCATAACATTTTCTTATTCACTGACAGAGCGAAATTTCAAAAAATTCTTTTCCTTTACAAATTTTTATTTTTCTGCATGCAAGTTACCCTAGGCTGCCCCTATATTAAATTGGGAATAAAATACCAACCATGTCTGTATGAGCAGCAAGAACTGTACTGAATTCATCTGTTGACCATTGTCTACGTTGCATAGACTCTTCAATATTCAATCGCAAACACTTGTCCACCATAAAACAGAAATTCTCAAAATTCTGAAATAAGACAAACTTTACATGTACTTTACTCATTAGAATTGGTAATATTTTCTGCTCTCATTGTCTGGAAATAAGTAAACAAAATTTAAAAAGGTCACTAGACTAACACTGACCTAGAGAATGCATCAACATGTTGTAGATATACCTCTGAAAGTGTCCAAATATGAAACAAATGATTCCATTGAATGTTTTGAATCACATAATAATTAACAAACAAAAAACCTTTAAACTTAAAGAATTTTTTCTATTCAAATATGTCTCTTTGTAATACTTTTAATCAATATTTCCTGGGGCAAACAAAGTTTAAATACTTACAGCAGAATACTGTTTCACAAGTTCCATCTCCATGGAAACGTATGTGTTGAGTTCTCCAAGAAGGGACTGATACTCAGGGTCACCTCCGAATATATACTCAAGGTCAGGCCAAGGTCGTATCATCTCCATTCTCTCTTCTTCTTCCTCTTCATCAAAGTTCAACTTAAGGTCAAATACAGGAGGTCGGCAAAACACCAATAGCCGAGGCTCTCTTGTCATTGATATGAATTTTGCTGAAAAATTAAACAATATGTATAGGACAAAAAAATTAAATTTTGAGAAGCTTTTCTAATGCAAAAACATTAAAAGTATGCTTTAATGCATTTTTTAAAATACATGTAATCATTTTTAAGAAATTTAATGAAGAATTTAGTTAAGGTTGTAGTATATGGTTACAACATAGCATTTTTAACCCAAATTACATAACTCACTGCATGAAAAATAATTTCAATATGTGATAATCACAAGGATTAATTTAGTAGCAGGTAATTGGTTTAGCAACAGAACTGTTGATAATATTGCCTTACCTATAGTTCCTTCAAACATTGCAATGATTTGTTTAATACCCATCTTCACTTCATGCTCATTTGGTGACAAACTCACAAATGTCTTGCCATGAATTTTCCTGTAAAGCAACACAAAAGTAAGGTTTGTATAAATGTAAAGCAAGAATCTTCCTGTAAATCAATATGAAAGTAAGTTTTATATCTGATGCCCAATTAGCATTGCTTATGTAGGTATTTTATTTTCATATTTTTTTCTTTGGTATAATGATCTTGCAACATAATAATGATTTTGTATTTGAAAACTTTCCTTTGAAAAAATACAATTTTATAATATAACTGATAAAATCTAACTCATCAACTTCTACCAAAACCACCTGTTGTGTGTAAAGAACTTTCCCAGTTTTGAATTTATGAAATATTAGTTAATAATTTCAAGGGTAAAAATATGAAAACAATGCATGAAGATTGTAAAAGATGATTTATCTCTTAACCTTTTCCCTTATATAAGCGTGTTTCGACGGCTTTTTGCCCCCCCCCCTTTGAGGCCTCAAACAGTGAAAAAATGTCCTATTTAGACCCCAAACACTGTTTTTCGTTTGAGAAATGTTGTTAAAAAAGTGACCATTTTTTCGGCGCCGTCCCCCATCCAAATAATACATCAGGGGGTTGCCAGAAGGGGGATGTGCCCCCTTCTGTTTGGGGGGTTTTAAGGGGGGCGGAGTCCCCCTCATCGCCAAGAAAATTTTGGACTTGTGAGAGGCTTAAAATGACCCCAGGTTGATCATAAAGTAACGTGTAACCAACGCTGAAAAGCCTTTGACTCTATCTCAATCCATTGAGAAGTTGCAGCACTTTGAAATAAATTTTGATGGAAAAAATCGAGGCAAAATAGTGATTTTTGGCAATTTTGAGATGTCCCCTCGTTGCCATGGTAACAGGAAATTTAAGACTGAGCATGTCGTTACAAAGGCAATGGTCCAGTCAACATTTGTGCCAAGTTTGATTAGTATTGAAGCATTTTTCATAGTTTCATAGCAGTTTGAACTTGTAAGAGGAGGCTTTTCAGTTAAAATGGCCATTTTTCACGATATGCTCATGGGGGAAAGGGTTAAATGTACAATAAGTTTGCCTTAATTTCTATGGAATGAAAAGAATGACAATAAAAGTTTTCCAGCACCCACCTTTTATCATCTGGATAAGCAAGTTCATCTCCACTTGTTTTCTCCTCCTCCGTTTCAGACCCAGTTTCTCCTTCTCCACTTGAATCTCCACTATAATCATTCTCCGATTCTGAATCTATATATAAACATGAAAAATTATTCAGTTAAACTAAGAAAAGCAACACTGACTGTAAAATAGTGCTGTTTGGTAGGTAAATTATGTCACAAACAATTTTATATATAATATTATGAAATGAAAAAAAAATCTATTTCCTAATTTCATTGCATAAATGTCCAGGATATCAGAAATCTTAAATGACAGAAACAGAAAAAAACATGATAAAAGGGTGAGGTGATTAACAAATATAATACTGTCTCACACATCACAGCTTACTGCTAACTAACAGTACAGCTGATCCTTCATACCCACATCTTTATTAAATTAATTGATCTATTTATTATTACCATATTGTATGTCTATAGTTTACAGTGTTATACATGCACAACCTAATATTATATATTAACATTAAAGTGTTACAACTTGCTCCTGTTGTATTATTTTTAGAAATTTCACACTAACTGTCTTTTCATAGTATGGTAAGTTTATCTTAGATTTTACATTCTTTCAGAAGATGCTTAGTAGTAATGCTTATAGTTTATAAATTACATGCAAAAGTGTTGTTGTTATAAGCATGCCCTATTACATACCATACATAAAATAAGCAACTGGAAAAAATATGTATATATCAGTTAATATCAGTTGAAGACTCTAACGATACCTGATACAAAACAATATTACAGTTTCTAAAACAATTGTAATATAGGGAAGATATCATAAGAAATATGACGTTAGTTTACCTTCAAAAATTACAAGCATATTCATTACCTTACTAGTCTCCAAATATCTAAGCAAGAAATATCATTTATCAAACAAGTGAAACATGTTTTAATTGTCATCCTTTCTTAATCTTGTCTACATATTTACTAAAACTTAACAAACATAACAAAGTGCTAGCTTTTTGATGACAGTATTACTGATAAAGAACACCTAATTGACAACAAGAGAAAAGATATTGTATACCATGCGTAAATGACCAGACATACCTGAAGTTTGTTGAAACTTGACAGTTTTCTTGTTACCGGAGCCCTCGAGGAATGCTTGTTTGAGGTATGAGGACTGTGATGAGGCTGTTTTAACTATATCAGTATCTGAAGTCTCATGATCCCTGGCATGATGTGGTACACTCAATACTAACTGTATACTTAATACAGGGGCAGAGAACTCCTCTACAACATCCTGCTGCTTGATCTCCTCCAGCACCTACAAACATGATGGTGTATATATAAACAACACTTCAGCCATGAAAATTACATAGGAGACAAACACATATTTCAAAACAGATCACATATAAATAGTTTTATTGATTAATAAAAAATACTTAAATATTAAGGATAAAATACCTACAGAATTTTAATGTCTTTAAAACATGGTTATAATACAGTTATAATAAACACCAGGGTACTTTAAGACTACATTTGTTTATTGACAGACTATATTCAATGAGGACCATTGTCAAGGTGATCTATAACTTTAAGTAGTCAACTTCTGGCTTTGATATAGAATTTGATATATGTATGTTCTGCATTCAAGTTCAAGAAGAAGAAGTTCTTCTAACAAAGTCCAATCCTAATATTTTAACTTAACATGACAGTCTGAAATGATGGCCTAGTAAACAAAATGCTACAATATAAATCTATGAATTAAGTTTGATTGTAATCTATGGAAAATACACACTTGGCAGTAAAAGAATATTACATGGGATAATGGGTGTTTTTAAATAGAAAGAAAAAATTTGTTGATACCTCATCAACATCAGGTGGTCCCTCGTACAATTCTGTTTGATCAAAGTCAAAATGGGGGATAACATATCCGGATGCCGTCACATCTTGTGTTGGTGGCGGAACCTTGGACATCGTGGAACTAGCACGTGATAATGGCCTGTAATTTATACATCAATCAAACTTTCATATAGGTATTATATGTTTCTATAAAATTAATTTAACAATTCCAATAAGCTACGTTTTTTCATGTATTAAATACAGACACACTCAAATATTTTTCGGTAAAGCACATAAACAAAGAAAGTATTGGAACCAATGAAATGTAGGTATGTAATAAATAAACAGAATGATGTCAAGAAAATTCTTTTCCAAATAACTTCTTTTATAGTATTATCATTACTTCTCAATAATTTTTCATAGTATTTTCATTAATTCCCATGTATTCTAAAAAGGAAATAAATTTCGTGTTTCTTCTTTGATAACATGGCTATTCAGTTCATAGATATAGAGGATATTAAATGAGTGTAGTTTAATACTAAATTTATTGAACGAGTTGAATAAAATCATATTATGCGAGCCTCTGGCGAGCATAATATTGTTTAATTCAACGAGTTCAATAAATTTAGTATTGAAGCTACAGGAATATAATATTCTATTTATCACATATTATTAAATAAGAACAGTATACTGTTAAAATGAGTATTTTTTCAATGACACGCCTATAGTGTAATGCTAACATTAGCGCGCTTTAACGCTATGATTATATATAGCGCAAATGATGTCACGTCACGTCAAAGTGTTATTACACTTGACTAGTGTAATATCTTTTTTTATCACACACCCCTGCCGATTTTGCGACCGGCCGTGCATATATTTTGACGTGACGTCATTAGCGTTATACAAACATAGTGTAAAGACGCGCTAAATGTTAGCGTTATACTATAGGCGCGTCAATGACTCTTATTTCACTTAAAACAGTCTTTATTTTGGGTATGTGATAAACAGAATATTAAATTCGTGTAAGTTCATTACTGAATTTATTGCACTAGTTGAATAAAATAATATTATGCTCGCCAGAGGCTCGCATAATATAATTTTATTCAACTTGTGCAATATATTCAGTATTGAACTTACACTCATTCAATATCCTCTATCAATTAAATGGCTTTATTACATTCCTGCGCCGCGGTTTATGTGATAATGTGGATTTATTTTATAATGACACAAAAAAAAATACATGTAGTATTTTTACCAAAAAAATTATACCATATTATAACCTTTAACAGGTTATCATTGTACAAAATTATTCGAAAAGAATGTACTGAAAAATAAATCATCTTCAAGCTTTAAAGTCATTTCTAATTTCTGAATAAAAAAGGAAACATTACCTTGATCTGATAGTGGTTCCTGTTGTTATAGAACTCTCTGACCCTGTCAAAGATTCCAGGTCATCCTAAAGTATAATATTTCAAATTTATTACTAAATCTTAATGGACCAATAATATATAAATTCTTGTGCATGTCCCTTTTTAAAAAAAAAACTATACATAAAGTATATACAATGCATCAAAGTTTAATACATTAAGTAATGGCAATTAAAGAAATTATTTAGATATAGTGGTCTTTGTTGGCAAAATCTGATTTTTGTCTTTCGTTAAACATTTGTACCAAAATCTAGTATAAACCTACAGTTTAAAACAGAATATCATGGAAGAAAGATATTGAAATTTATATACATAACAGGAAAGCTAATATACTAAAGAATCCCTTGCATAATTCAGATTGTCTACTTTGTTGTATATTGTAAACATAAAATTTATATAAAAAACAAATATATATTACATAACAGGTCATAAATGCTGATAAAAAGTTGAGTGTAATAAAAACCCTTAAATTAAACAGTTACTTTATGGAACCAATATAAATGATATCTGTCATATGTTGCAGTTTAGACCGGAATATCAGTCCCGAGGGAACCCACCCATTGGGCTGTAACAAGGCATGCTGAGTTACTGCCCATGGGTGGGTTCTCAAGCTACGGATATTCCAGTCTGAACTGCAAACATATGTCAGATATTTTTGCTTGCATATTTTTCATTATATTTTAAATTCTTTACCTTACAATTTTCCATGGAAATTTAGGTCAAACAACCTGTAACTATTTCCTTACAACAGTGTATGAAATTACAACTTCATTCATAACAGTAAAATTACTTCATCCTAAGCATGCCATTGTCTAGCATGCAACTTATCTGGCACCCCCCCCCCCCATATGCCAGTTAAAATTTCCAGCATAGGTAAACTAATGGAAACGCCAGTCTGATATGCAAGAAAAAGTTTATATATGATCAATACATCCAGTTTTACACATATTATTAGTTATAAAGATTTTTGACAGGTTATATGGCCCTAATAATATTAACAATTGTTTGCAACCCAAGGTGCTAGGCAATGGTTAAATTGCAAACAACCATTTATATACGGCCATATAATGTGTAAAAAATCTTTATAACAAATCTATAATACAGCAAACTTCCATTACTAATAAATAGATATTACTTCATAAATTGATGGCAGCAGTGTATACAGTTTAGATAAACGTCAGAACTATCAAATCAAAAGCAACATCACAAAATGTGCACTTTTAGCAAATGTACTTACTATAAATTACGGAAAAAAGTGATAACATAATATTATCATCATAATAATTGTAAGAAAAAATGGTTTATATCTCTATCACATGATATGGTATGCTGTGTTTTAATCTGCAAAGGCATGTGATATACAAATGTACATATATTTGATTTACTGTGAGAATACATTTGGCTATAAAGTTTGTTATTTTAACAAATTTTCAAAGCAGTGAATACATTATTATGAATACCATATAAGTATGTCATCTTAGAAATAGAGATCAAGAATTTTAAGACCATTGTTTTAACAAAAAATTGCATAATATCAAGGCAATGGAAACCATTATTTATATGGTATACATGTTTTATAATTTTAGTCTGTGAAAGCCGGCATGTGCACATAGGACTTTTTGTTTCTTCTAGTAAAATGAAAGATAAAAATATCTCGTCAAAATGTGGCAGTATAATCACATTTTAACTGAATTAATTCATTTTTTTTTTATAGAATTGATTCTATAGAAAATAGGGCCATATAAAAAAAATTGTTCCCTAAATAACTTTATGAGCACACATCTTTAGAGAAACTTCAAAAACTGTAAAAGCAGTCATAATGTTTTTCAAACTTATTTCGGTAACATAACATGATAATGTGAACTTGTTTTATAATGGATAATTTTTCAATTAAAAAAACAATTTCATATCAAGTCATATCTTTAATAATAAATATAAGTATTCAATAGATTTATTGACATGAGCATTGTTAAGCAAGTATAACAAAGCTGTCGTTAAAAAAGTTGATGTTTTTTTGTTTTTTTTTGTTTGGTTTTTTTCAATACACAAAGAAAGTTGCCAATATTTCTGATGATGACTTATACCATTTTGATGCGGACATTGTTCATATACACAGAACTATTTTTCTAATATTAAAATCTTATCCCTTTGCTATTGAATAGCCGAAACGTAGGTCTTTAATAAAATTATAGAAACCTGACCCACTTTGTTTCATGTGTTTCACTTTCCTTATTCTTTTTATTAGCCCTTTGTTTTTTATATATATATATTATTCTACAATATCAACTAAAGACACGGGCATTTAAACAAGGAAGACATTACTGGGTATATGTCCTAAGATTAATTTTTTCAAATGTTTATTTTACAATGTAATATATATTATAAGATAGTAATCTACATAAAGATCTACTTCATTTTCACAGGTAGCATGCCAACAGAGAAGAATCATCATGTTAGTACAGGAATAACAAACAAGAGATATTTTCTATCATTAGCACAACCATGGCCAGAACTTGACAAACAATTCACATCTTGAAATATCATTCTGATTGAAAAGACATGGTTGTTCCTACACAAAATTAGAAGATTTAGTCACAAAAAATTGAATAGTACAGTCTTAATTATTTTTTTCAGAATACAATTTCTATACTTTATTTGTTCTATTGTTTATTTTTTTATTTTATAGCACATCACATATGGTTCATCATAACCATCACAACATTTCATTAGAACTCTAGCTCAATCAACAATTATTTTGGCTACTGTGCTAGATAAAAATTTAAATGATCAACACTGAAGACATCAAGATGTCTGGAAGTAAATAATGTTCAAAGACCTACAAAAAAACTTGATCTTATATATATTTTTTTTAAAACTTTGTCACAAAATTTGAATCTTTGTGTCCAAACACACCTTCAGATTTTTTTTCAAATTCTTCTACTTCCTTATAGTAAAAATTTTGATATATTTCTCTACATTTCATTATTAATAAATAGAGACTAAAGACATTTCTACATCTTAAGACTGTTGAAGAAGAGACCAGCATAAAACATGAACATCTTAGCCTAATATACCAATACACAAAAGTCATACACAAAAGTCATATAATATAGGCTACAGTATCTATATATAGCAGTGACTAGACCACTGGTCTAAATAGCTAGCACAAGTTCAACACTGAAATACAAATACATTAGCAAGTTTGGCCGCTACACGTGCATACAGCTTCCTCGTATCTGATACTGCTTTTCTCTGTAAATTATCATACAAGTTATAAATTAAACAATAAAAAATAACATCTATAAATATAAGGAGTATATGCATGCATAGCTATAATATTTCATATATATATATAATAGAACATGCAATGCATGTCTTAAATTATAGCCTGATTTAGTAAAATTGATAATTATTTCTACACTTATTATGCAGATTTTGTAAATTTGTGAATTATACAGATCTTGTATATTTGCGAAACTAAACCATTATGCAGGTTTGTAAAGCACAAATATTTCAATTCAAATCTGCAACTATAAAGACAGCTAAGGTTAAATTTCCAAAGTTTTGAAAAGTTGACTTTCAAGTTGAACATGATTAACCAGTATATCATGCCCAAGTGAAACTTGTTCACTTGAAGACAAACATGGCAAAAATTAAATGCCCTCTTTTTGATGTGTGGCATAAAAATGTGCTGTCATGTCATATATTGCTTAACAGCATGGACTATCTGAATTAAAGAAATCTAAAATCTGAACAGTATCTGCAGAATGTAAAATTCAAATTTACTTCAACACTTTATGCAAGTCATGAAACACTCTTTCAAGTGTTGCCACAGAAAATATGTAGTTATAAAATAATACAATTTTTGATAAATGCAACGGAAAACAATAATAATGGGAATAAATTGTATAAAGAAATACAGTAAAACATAAGATAATATGTACAGAATTTAAAAATGAAAAACTTATACCCTGTTTGATTTATATCTAAAATGCCTCCATTTGCTAATCTGCAGATACATGTATCATACATTGATAAAAATAAAATGTACCTAATTCACTGGAATATAGAATAGGTGTGGGGATAACTATAATTAATGCACTTAATGTGTAAACTGTTAATCTAAAGTCTTTTAGGCATACCAATACTTGTTACTATTTGTTAAAATGGTATAAAAATATGTTAGAAACAACTGACATTAGATCTCTAAAGTTACAGGAGTGTAACAGTGCCTTCATATAAACAATTCTTGTGTTTTTAAATCTATAATATCTTTTAAAGATAGCAGATTTTTATTCCTGACATTTCAAAAATAATACATGTGTTGGTGGAAAGTCATTTTTATAGTATTTGAAGCCAAAAATGAGCCCCATTCCTCTCTGCTAAAATTTCCCCTCAAAAATTAAAGTAAATGAACATGTTAAAACTTCTTTTTTAATATTTAAAACACAAGGTGAAGTTAAATTTAAGACCTTTTTTGCTTAAGTGTAACCTAGTCATCAAAGATGTTACTTTTATTTGTTATCCAAGACAATATAAATGTGTCCAATAAAAACAAATGCTTTCCTTAGCATTCAACATTTAGTCTTCTTCAGAAAAATTGAGATTTATCAAATAACAAATGACACAACAGCCCTATTTTACTTCTTTTTTTTTACTTGAGCCAAGGACTTACTACATGATTTTCCCCTCCATACAGGATGGATTTGCCTTTATTCCTCTAACAGTAAAAAATATTGTATACAATCTTCTTACGGTAAAGAGAAGGAAGAGAAGGAAAATCTGCTACCTTCAAAAGATATTGTTTATTAAAGTGCTGCGCGCTAAAAATAACTGCCATTTCTACCTGATAATGAGCTTGACTTTTCATCCATTTTTCATACTAGAACAGGCAACATATAACTCAATGATTGCAATAAACACAATGCTTAATATTGTTTTCAACCTTTTAGAACAAGAATCCTGATAGAGTGAAGATAATTTATTAAATATTATTTAAAAATTAAAATGACTTATCCCTGTAAAAAAAGCAATCAGACACAACAACAACAACAAAAAAGATGACATTAAAGAAAGGCAAACGCTATTGCCATTGTCAATCAATTTTGTTTGATACTTTCTCTTTGACAGACAATGCTTGATGATAATTTTAAAACAACTGAAAGGAAAGACATTAAGTATAGATCAAGAAAAATATACAATATCATTTTTATCCAAAAGAAACTTTAACAAATGACCTTAATTGTAGATAAAATATTTTGTAGTTGGAACATTATTATTTGCTTTGCCTTTCGCATATTCAATTCCACTACCCATACCATAAAATGAATGTTGACATACATTTTATAAACAATCTATCTGACATTTGTCAAGAAAACAATGGGGTACCTTTTCTTCTTCCTCCTCCGTAACATTGTATGAGGAAACAAGATGATCCAGTAGGTGGCGTGTTGCTGTGATAACTAGACGACGTAACATCTCCAGTACCAGGTAATCTATAGAACGCAAGAATGATGCTAGACGATTCAGTATCTTACGCCAATCTGCTATCTGTGCATATGTTGGTTTGTCACCTGTAACCATGATAAAAAATTTACTAGCATTGTAAAAGGTCTCTGATGTATGGAGTAAAAATTGAAGCGTTACTAATTTGCATAAGACTTAAATAAAAGAAAAAACATAGGTAGTTGTGACCATTCTAAATGCTATTTCGGTCAATTCAAATACCATTCACTATAAAATTCCCTAAGGTTTTTATTAGAATCACATGTACAATAATAAAACAAACTTTAGAAGTCAAGATAAAACCATATTGTATTTTCACAATTCATCTTTAACTATATAGAAATTGTCTTACTTTTTGGTTCATCCTTTTTCTTATCAGCCAGAGGAGTGACCCCATATTTAGCCTGTATACGTAGAGCCTTGCTATTGAGTTCTTTAGGCTCTTCATCAGGAATTTTGATTTTCACTTTTCTAGGACTGCCAGGTCGGATCCCATGTGTAATGCCTTCCATTTCTGCTACAGTCTAGAAAAACACAGTAGTCATGTGATCATAAACCAAGAAATAGGCAATGGAATAAATCATTTCCGTAAGTTTGAAATCATCTTTCATAATACCAGAACTCAGATCTTAGAAATTGATTGGCAAAGTATTTCAAGTTCTTCTTAAAATACAAAGCTTAAACTACAAAGCTATCACTAACCTTGCCATGACAACCAATTACAGAAGACTTATCATTTTCAGTTATATCTATTTGGCAGTTTAATTTCATAAAAATAGTAATTGTTTTCATTGTAGTCTATAAAAAAACTTTAAAATACTAAATTTCTTATCATGTTTGATGTTAAAGAAACTTACATATGTAAATACATGTATATAATCAAGGTCAAACAGTGCTATGGTCATAATGTGACCTAAATAAAGTGTGCTTTAAAATAAAAAAAAAGCTACAATCTATGAATACAATCTTACAGCACAAGACTCCCATGCGATATCTATAATCTTATTTCTCAGTGTATTCAACATTTTCCATGCTTCATCATTTTGCGTCTGCTGCACAGCTTTGAAATCTTCCAATGTCATGGTCATGGACTTTTCCAACTTAATGAGACTGATGGCACTGTCACCTTTACCAATACCAGTCAAACTACCAGAGGCAGCCTCACATAAACTCCTGATGTGAATGAGACATCCCTGCAGGACTTCATTTGCAACAAATAGCTGCTTGTAAAGCTTATTTCTGAAATAAAATATAATAACATATCAGAGATACGATCAATCTGGCATTAAATTTCAGTCTGTGAAATGTGGGAAATAAATGTTAAAATACTGACAGGTGATCACATAATGATATCCCTTAAGTCAAACTGGGAAATAATTATGCTGATTTTTATGAACATACATCAGCATGTTGTCAGAATTACAGATGGCCTTTTAATTACCAAAAACTTGATAGCACAAAGATGAAAGCACTCCTCTATTTCTAAACCATGGCTCAGTAATCAAAGACCTATAACTCATCACAACCAATTTTCTGCTTGAAAATAGTATATGATTTAGCTTTCAAATCTAGGATATTTACAGGCAATGTATATACTTACTGGCTTTTACCACTCTTCTGTAACCTAATAGCTTTTCTCCACATTTTGAATGTTTTCCATTTTCTAAACTTGACAAACACAGGTATGTCCTTTATATTGTAGAAATATCTTCTCTCCCACAGCCACCACAACACCGGTATATTGAATGACTCACCCTCTACATCTGTACTGTCTTGTACCACCTGTAAAACATGATGAAATAAAAACAACATACAAAATGATCATATTTCATCAATGGACGTAATTGCGTTTTTTTACACAAAAAACTGTATATGAAAATATGCAAACTCTTTTTCTTGTCAATTTGTTGACATCTAAAACTTATTCATTGAGGGAGAATTTTTTCAGGGTAATCAGTTGAACCAAAAATGCCACTGAACATACATAGAGAAAAAAAGTAAACAGATTTTATTTTCATTTATCTTAAACCTGAGGAAGTATTGTGATAATATTAACAGACCAAGTTGTGAGGGGGTTTTGATCCCTGGTGTTGCTTAAAGTTTGTATCACCCGAGATAAGCCAAATCTTCTTTCCTGTTTCGGCGCCTAATTTCGGTTATGACCTTAACTGTATTGGTGAGCCATAAAACCAAACAAAACAAACTTACCCTTGTTACAAATGAAGCACTGACTGTCCAATAGACCTTCTCAGACCTAGACTCATTTGGTGAAACAACTTGTAGATCATATGGGTCATACCTGCTTCTTTTATTGACCCTGTTTCGAGGCAGACAATATACAAAATCACCATCATCTTGCTTCATTTTACTGGCTTCCTTCAAATTTAAAATTGGAAATAAAAATAATTTTTGACTAGAAATAATTCAAGTTTTCTTTAAAAAGAATATTATTCAAGTTAATATCAACTGAATACAAAGGTACAAGTATAAAGCAAGTATTCAAAGTTTCATGTTGATGACTTTTTCAATATTTGAATAATGGGCTACATTTAAATTTTTGCACACAGACGACAATGATTACACAATGATGACAAAAGCTCAACTTTTTCTTCAAAACAGATTTTATGATAAAAACTTAAAATGGGATAAATGCATATCAGCTATTATCAATAACATTGTTTTATACAAATGTTTACTTTGCAAATAATGTACATGTATTACCTATGTGTTTCAAACTTCTTCAAGAAACTGTACATTGTTGAGCTTATATGAACATGTACAGTAAAATCTTCATAGGAACATTTTTTATGAAGGTAATTATATCCAAAACTTATGCTTTGGTTACAATGAAAATTGTTCTTTTTGATCAAAGCAAATATTTATCAAAGTCTAAGAAACAAAGGAAGCATATATTCACAAACCTTTTCATTATCTGGAATATTTTTCAGTTTTTCCATGGCTTCTTTACAGCCTGGTGCATGTCTAGGTATCTCTGTCTTCCAGCCAAGTTTTTCTCTCAGTTTATGTATATGATACATTACATCATCATTTTCTGGGGCTGTAAATATTTATATATTATATTTCAATGTTATTCATATGTGAATATGTTCGTATGAACGATATGATATCAAACAATGATTTTAGCAAGGCAAGGATGTGTTAATTGTATCTTAAATGTATATTATCTTGTACAAAATTATACAAATGAGTTCCTTAAGTCAATGTATACATGTACAACTTAACTGACTAATTTGGTAAATAATTTCTATCAGCATCATTAACATCAACCTATGAAATCAAAGTTGATGCTTTTTTACAAGTTAAAATGGTCCTTAACCTAGGAAGGTCAGAAGTAAAAGGACCTTATGATGTGTGTAAATTGAAGATGAAGTTTTGCAGGTGTTGCACATTGATGTACATAAAGCTGTTTTGCAGACATATATACACAAATAAACAAAGAAACATTTTTAAAGTGAAACACCTTTAAGCCTTTCTTTAGGCATATGATCAGCATATAATATAATATAATAATTTTCACTAAACATTGAAATTTGAAATCATTTGTGTTTAATGAAAAATATTTTGGGAGCAGTGATGTTCTAATATTTAGACAAGAGAAGAATTACATGAAAAAATGAAAATATACATAAAGGTATATTGTTGTTTAAATAGTATAATAATAACAGTATATAAATTAAGATATATGGACAAAAAATATTTAATGCATGCATCAGAAGTACTTAATTGGATAAAAAAACGGCTTTCTCTAGGTGTTTTTTTCTTCCTCAAATTGTTGAGAAATATATCTGTTGCAACACTTTTGACACTTTCAAATGGAAAAGAAACTAAAGACATGATGCCCTAAGATTTCTCACAAGAGATTGACAGTTTGAGTAAAGTCATTTGGCCAAATAAGCTTGTTTTTTGACTGGTCAGTTAAACTATATAAATTAAAAAATATTTTTTGTCCAGGAAAAGACCTTGTTGCTTAGATTGATGACTAGTTAACCATTTATTTATATGTCAAATTTTCTACTACCATCCTTTTAACAAGATCTTATTCTGATTCTAATTTTTCATCCATTATAAAAATACAATGTACTGAGTTCTCTGGCAAGCAGACAAAGAAGAAAGTCATTCATTCAATAACAAAAAATCTCCAATTTAGCATACTTGGTTCTTTAATTGAGAAAAAAAATGCAATGTTTTGAAATATGAGTAATCATAAAATTACATAGTGTGTCATTATACAACATACACATGCAACACGACAGCATTTAACACCATGCAAGCATACAAAACAGTGTAAGCATCCTCACACGCCAAAGTAAGCACACATATAATATACATGTGCATAAAATATTCACTTGCAAAACCAATATGAAATATGTTAAGGATTTAGGCCTACATGGGCTATTGTCATGTTTCCTTAAATTATAGAAGCTCTAGATAATCTGGGATTCTGATTCACATTAGTATAACTTGTTTCACAATCAAGTTAACAGATATATGTTTAAACCCCAGCCTGCCAGTGGCAACATACTCTATCCATGTCATCAGTGCAGGCAAAGCTCAGTCAGCACATGTATACTGACTCAACTGACTTGTCATGGTCTGCATTGCTGGCTATTCAGTCTGTACATATATTATTGTAATTTGAAATTTTCCATACAATTGGGAGATGTTTTTGTTCAGAATGAAAGATGGATAAATAAGTCCATTTAGGATGGTAAGGTTTAAGCTAGTGAACATGTCTGTTGACAAGGTAATTCAATTTTAAACTTCTTCTCTACATAAAAAAAGTAAGAAAAATTTGAAGAATAAAACAACATTTTTCAAAGAAAGGGTCAGACAAACTATTTTGGACTTGCAATAGTGCATTCATATATAACCAAAAAAATACAAAAACAACAAAAAATGGCACACTGAACACTTCAAACAATCAAGGTAAAATGCTAAGAAATGGATTGATCTCTGTCTACTTTTAAAACATGCAACAATACTCAATCAAGAATTCACTTCATCATATGAACAAAAAAGCTATAACATATAGTACAAATTCCACTGGGACTTGGAAATAAATGACACAATTAGATTTAGAGATTATTTAAAATGAAACATTACATAAAATAAAATAAAAATAATAATTCAATAGAAAATAATATTATTTATAAATACTCTGATAAAAACAATTAATAAATTGTTAAATAAAAATTTTAGTTCCTTTTTTTTCTACAAAATAAATCAAACACAAACTTATTCCAAGTCCCTGTGGATGGGAATATGTTATACTATGTCCATGATATAGAAATCAAATAAAACATTGTAATACAGTAAAAAGAAGATAGCTAACACAAAATACAAAACATTCACAGACAGATAAGAAACAATACATGCCTAAATAGAGATATTTTTCTGAAATAAAAGTTGAAAATCTTAAATAGAATTTATACCATACAAATAATTTAATGTTCTAATAATATTAATGTATACTTTCCATCATAATATTTGTTCTCAGTCTTAAAAGCAAGATTCCTAACTCATCTACCTTAATACTACATGTAATTTGGAATGTGAGTAAATATTTGACAGATTCTCTACTATTATGTACAAATTTAAGAGCATTGTATGTTGTAAATTTAGACCTAAAGAAAAAAGTCTTCATGTATGATAATGGTTTAATAGAATATCAATGAATTTCAAAATAATTCTATAACATACCTGTTTGTGTAAATAACAAGGTTTATTAATAATTTCATCTAGCATTATGAAGTAAAAAACAAACAAAAAACCACTACATATTTCAGTTTACCGGTAGTTTTGCAATACATCTACATCTTTTTTATCTTCTTTGCTTGACTATGGTTAGTTCCTCTGGATTACAAACTTTCTTTTAGCGGAACTTCCTGCTTCTAAAGCTAATATTTTAATTAATAAAATTATTTCCACAGAAAAAAATTCTTTACCTGTGTCATCATACATATTCTTTTTCAGATGTGTAAGAATCTTTGACAAGTCTTTCTTCATGCCAGACTTTGGCATTGATTGTTTGCTGGCTGAACCTGGCCTTGACCCATGCATTGATCCAGAAGTTGGCCTTGACCTTTGACCAGATGGAGGTCTGTCCCTCCGTTCTATAATTGGTATCTCACCAGTTACCCTCATTATATCATCCTCGGTCATCTTGGTAGTTTGACGAGTGTCAGCCTGTGAAATTGGGGGTAAGTCTGTGGACGGGGATATGGGTGGAGGTTTACTGAACGTCACCATTTTTTCTTCTGAAACTGATTCTTCTGCAGTGGGGGTTCTTTCTGTAGGCTCAAAATCTGAATCATCAAAACAAATATTTCATCACATAGATTGTAATAAAAAGGTTTAGCAGAGATAATTAGATTAACAGACTTTCATCTACATATATTATCAGTGCACAAATCTGTTAATGTATTTTTTTCATATTTTATTTGTAATAATTGGATTATTTGTTTGTTTGTTTGTTTGATTGGGTTTTACATCACACCAACACAGTATAGGTCATATGGCGACGTTCCAGCTTTACTGGTGGAGAAAGACCTCAAGTGCCCTTCTGTGAATTTTTTCAGGCACAAATGAGCACCTAAGTAGAACCACAGACGTTTCGTAAGCTAGCTTGATAGCTTCCTCACATGAAAGAATCCAAATACCCTGTCGAAATTTGAACCCACAGCTGTGAGGGGCAAGTGGTTTGAAGTCAACAACCTTAACCACGGACGCCACTTATAATTGGATTAAATGCAAGTTTTTCAAAAGCCTAGTATTGACAGTACATATATAAACAATTTTCACTATCAGCTATTACCAATTTCTTTCTTTGCATCATTAATTTCATCACTTGAGTTTGCAACAGAGGATGGATGGCTTTAGAAAAACATGCAACACTATTATCTTATGTCCATAGTCATAATACTCTCCTAACTAAGCAAACCTGGTATATATTTGAGACAGTGTTCCAGGAGCATTGTACATTAAAGTATGCATTATTTACCAGTTTGTATGACTGTATCAGCGTCAGGACCCATCAACTCTTCCAGCTCGGCAAATACATCATCTCTGTCATCGGACTGCTCTGACTCGGAGATCTCTGACCTTGGTGGCTCTACAGGCTTTGGTTTGTGTAACCTTGACAACAATACAAAATTTATATCATTTATCTTACTGGTAAATATATCATTTTAGGAAAATGGATGAAACACCTTTAATCCTCTTACCATGCTACATATCTTAAATGGACTTTTCTATCTTATAATCTAGACAAACCTATTCATCATTCTTACGGAAAATTTCAAAATATGTACTGACTGAAAAGAAAACATTGCAGACCATGATCAGACTGCAAGGATGCGCAAACAGATCTAGGTCTGTACTGGTTGCATGGGCAAAATATGTTGCTGTCAAAAGGCAAAAGATTAAAAAAGCTTTTGACAGCCGCAAAGCAGATACAAGAACACATACATTTTGTTAATATTTCATTATAAGTTTTTATAACAAGAGCTGTCAGAAGGACAGCGCGCTCGACTTTTTTAGTGCTTGCCTATAAAACAAAACTTTGACAGTTAAGGGCACACAAGACTTTAACTAGGAATTTCTAAGTACAAATCAAGAAACATTTTCACAGAGTTATCTTCTCTTGCTTACAGATAGGTCTCATGATGGCACATAAGAACTCCAACTTCCAAAGTAATATCTCAAATGGTTAGGTCAACAAGTGGACAAGAATGAAAATTTTAACTGAGTTTCTAAGTCAAAAAGGGCCATAATTCAAATAAAATCCTTAACAGAATTACCTTCTCCTGCCCATGTTTGGGACCATGATGGTAAACAAGTATTCCAACTTTCAATTTAATATCTCAACCAGTTTCAGTCAAAAAGTTGACTGGTACAAAAAACTTAACCAAGATTCTAAGTCGAATAAAAGGCCTTAATTTTAAAACAAATCCCTGACAGAGTTACCTTCTCTTGCGTACAGATGGGGGTAATGATGTGAAATAGCATTAAAAGTTTCAAAGCAATATCTCAAAGGGTTAAGGCAATAAGTGGATTTTACCCATATTCAATGTATTTTCTAAGTCAAAAAGGGGCATAATTCTGTCAAAAAACCTTGACAGAGTTATGTCCTCTTGTCTGTTGATGAAGGTCGTGATGGTAAACAAGTATGGTCAGTTTCAAAGCAATACCTCCAATGGTTTTGAAATAAAGTGAGGTGGTACAAAAAACTTAACCAAGCTCAATACACTTTCTAAGTCAAAAAAGGGCCATAATTCTGTCAAAAACCTTGACAGAGTTATGTACTCTTGTCTGTAGATGGAGGTTATGATGGTGAACAAGTATGGTAAGTTTCAAAGCCATACTTGTAATACTTCTGAAATAAAGTGGGGTGGTACGAAAAACTTAACCAAGGTGTGACGCCAACGCTAACGCCGACGCCGACGCCGGGGCGAGTAGGATAGCTCCCCTTTTCATAGAAAAGTCGAGCTAAAAACTTAAACAACATTCATTTAATGGTATAATTACACAAAATACAAATATATCATACTTACATTCCTACAGATAATTTTGGAGTATCATCAATATCTTTATTCTGTTTGGCCTTGATGATATTTTGCCGCCTTTGATAGTCTCGTTTAAACATGGTTGTACGGAAACTGTTTCCAGGAATGCTCTGTTCTCTACCAGAGGGTGGTCGAGGGACAAGACTATTTGGTGACTGTGGCTTAAAATAGAAACAAAAACATTAATATAATCAATCTACGGTAGGTATAATAAAAAGCAATATTCAACATAATTTATGTAAATGTTACAAGAAACTTAGGGAAAAAAACTTAAAAAATAAAAAAATATATAGAGGTTATTCAGTTAAATAAATATACCCTAATGCCAACACCAGCCTGACAGTATGACATTGACAGTATGACTGTGGATACATCACTTTTTATACCAAAAACATAACTGATTTTTTGATAATTGACTTTATATATAAAAAATATCCGATAGGTAGATTTACCTTTTCAATAGGGGGTAAATTAGCTGAACTAGCATTTTCTGCTCCAGTTCTGCCAATAGGTGGTGTTTTACGCATCAATGGATTTACCATTCTCAAAACCTAAAATAGTTCAAAACAGATTAAACATAGAGACAATACATGTATATACATGTATATCAATGATTGATAAGGTCATTGATGTTAAAATAATCTATACCAATATTCGTAGCATACATTTAATTAATTGCAATTTTCTTTGGTTTGTAAATGTAAGATTCATAAACAAAATGGAATGTACATTGATAAAATGTACATAAGTTCAATTATAAAATAATAAAGAAGCAATGGTAAACTACTTACAGTTTGTTAAAATAAATGGATATTCTTACTTATACATTGATAACAAGAAACAATCTCTGACAATATTTGCAAGCTGATATTGGGTAAGTTTTTTATCCTTGAATAGATGGAGCCTTTACACCATTATAAAGCAAGGCCAGTCTGGACATTCTTGCAATATAACAAAGGCTCATTATTACTGGATAACTAACTTAAATCAATAAAAATTCATCTTGAAAATTCAAAAAATTGAAATTTTAGTTCAAAAACAGAAGCTGTAATCTAGTTAGGAAATTCAGCATGGTATGATACCTGAGAGTTTGCAGGTCTATCCACCAATCTGGACATCAACATTTCTGCCTTACTCTTTGGGTCACCTTTACCTAGCTTGACCCTCATCTGTTCTACTGTTTTAGATCTCTCAACAGGCTGCTGTGTGCCAGCAAAATTCACTGCCTATATAAAGATTCATTAAACAAATGACTACTAGTTATTTGTTATAAACAAAATATTAAAATGTAATATATCTATCAAGGGAATAGAAAAGTTTGTGATTGAAAGAAACTTTTGTGGAGTTTCAGCTGGAAAGAAAAGTGATTTTTTCAATCAAAATACAATTCCTTTGACACACAAATACAAAATAAACGTTTACATTTCATGAAACATTAACGGAACAAAACACTGAAGAATGTATGAACTGACATACTTAAGTATTGTAAATTGTAGAGCTTTAAAAGTCACAATAAATGACTGCAAGTTTTAATCATTGTGTGATATCAAAACATCTGAACATAGAAAATGGTGTTTAATTACCAATGGTACACATTACTTATTTTCACAAGTTTGGTTCTTAAACACACATTCACTTTGACATATTAATTAGACAACACTGACATTTTACCACCAATTATACATGTAGAATGTTTTTTCTTCATACCAGTGACAATGAAGTTGATACATGTAAATTTTACCATGTTAGTCATATACTGTCATATACATTAATTAAATCATATGTATGCAGCTATATATTATATTAGATCATGCAGTTTCCATGCAGAATAATGAATTATAATTAGATTTTGTGTGATGTAAGTACTGGTAAAATGCTGTCATAAATTATAATAACTATTAATTTAAAGAATAACAAGGCTGTACTTCTCTCTAAAATATGCACACGTACAAAATTGCATTATTATGATTATTTGACAAAATATGTCATTTAAACATTTTCAGCATAAAGCAAACTAGCATAATATCAATACATTGTAGTTTTATTTCAGGCTTTAATGGTCGGATGTTTTGCCAAGATGACAAAAAACTTGAAAACAGTTCATAATTTTTTTTGCATGTTATATTTGCAGTCTGGGTACAACCTTGTTTAATATTAATACTAACATAGCTAGACACTATTTAAAAGGTAAATCTTTCATTTTTTTTTATATAAATATTTGCCTTTGTAAGTATTCATACTTAATACATACATCAAGATATAAAAATTTAACTTAACAAAGCAACATATCAGCTATTACTGACTGCATTTTACTTTTTGCTACATTCAGTTTCAGTAATTGCTAATTTTCTATAAATAGCAGGTAACAAAAATAAATGCAACAATCACTTTCTATTTCAAAATACAACCAATGTCTAGCCATGTTCTAATAAATTACTATATACATGTATTTAGATAGATTCACAATATTTCATCTTCTTTTCAGGGTAGTAAAAAAGTTTATTATAGCTGAATTTACATAAAAAAAGTCCCTAGCTGAGTGAACAAAGAAAATACTGTATGATATAATTGGATTATAACAGAATTATCTTAATATGTTACTTGTATAGTCCTACACTGGTCTGTGCAGAATGCAGGCTCATCTTACATAATCTACCAAAAGCCAAAACACAATAGGTCCCATATATCGAATTTCATGTAATCATATAAATTCTCATATTTTGAATATTTATTAACTGATGAAGATTATTGTTGATCGAAACTAGTAGACTTTAATAAATAATTTTAACCTATTAGGTGGTGACTTGTGATTTCTCTTAGTCCTCCGCTATCTTAAACAAGTTTTAACTGCATGCAATACATATTTTCACTTCTACTTAGATGTATAATTTCATAAATACTAGCAGACTATGATAATTGTGAATCTAACTAGATGTACATTTATAATGTTTTAAATATGGAATGATGCTATCAGATGTCATATAATACCAATATATCTATTATTAGGTACAATTATAATTAACAAATAGTAACTACCAGTAGTTAAATGTGTTTTATACAGGTATTGATTCATGCATTTAATTAATGACAGAAATATTTTAGATGATTCTAAACCATTCTCTTCCAGGAAATATCAATACAGTCATATACATGTATTTTTAAAACCTATTCATTACATTTTGCTAATGAAATAAGATTGGCCATAACTTAATATATTTGTACTTATAAAACAGATTCTCCACAACAGGCAATAAGCTATATGTATAAAAATGTCGAAAAATAATTAAAGAAAAAATAAGTATTCAGTGACCAGTATTCTAGAAAAATGTAATTTTGAAGATAAACAATAAGGCCTAGTTGCAATTAATAATATATTACTGCAGTTAATATTATACAATTAATTAAATATATTAATGTAATTGGTTTAATTAGACAGAAACAATTTATAAAGAAATTTAAGATGTTAGCTTATACATATTTGTATTCACGGAAGTGGCAGGTATCAATGTTACTCAGAAGTGTTAATTTAATGAAATGGCATTGACAGATGGCAAATAACCATTTGTGCCATAAATCTAATGTGTTAAATTGGGTATTTTCAAAGGTTTGGTTTAGAATTATCTAGCATGTATACATACCGGTGAATTGGCTGATTTTATACTTTCAATAAGATCCTCTTCTAACTGGTTTAACATTTAACATGACATATTAAATATGCAGAATCTACTCTATATTACATTGTATATGATGGTTGTATTTATGTACAAAGACAAAGGTAAATACTTTGCTTTTTTTTTTTAATTTCAACATTTTTAACATACATTGTATTAAAAAATAGCTGATAAAATTGTTAAATCATTTTTTTCATCAATATCAAAAATGTAAGACTTTTGAAAAATATACATAATTATATAATGTAACCTCAAAATATATATGTGGCATTAAATTCCAAAAAAGTGTTTGTAGCCTGTTATTGGGAGTGGAATGTAACCTCCGTGAATCATTACTTTGACCTTAATTAAACAAATTTCATACCTTTGTTGGATAAGGAGCTATGAAGGCTGAATCTTCAGGTACAAATAGGTCCGGCTCCCCAAGGTCCTGATTGAGAACTGTGGACTCTGAGTACTGTGACTGGCTGGCAAAACTTGCCTGTGATTCCCCACGAGACATAATTCTGTTCTAGCTTCCTTTATAATTATTCTACAAAATGAACATAAGAAGTAAAGTGTATGCTTTCTTTAACTGCTGACAACAATTATTAAAGCTAGCATTGTGGTATATTTGAAGCACGCCAGGAATCAGTACCAGCAGGTGACCTGCACTATAATTTATTGAAGCTGGCCTGGAAACAGTTTTTCCGGTTTCCATTCTCATTATGGTTCTCATTCACACTGAAATTCAGAAAACCTTGCTGATTACCATCAATATTAATATCAAGTTTTGCGAAAGTACATTCCCAAAATGCCAGACTCTTAGCACGTTCACAATCATTTTATAAAAACGATGGTAAAACAAACAAACAAAATTTACTAATTTAAGTATATGGAACAATTTGTGATAAATAACAGGCAAAATAAAAACCTTTATAACCCAACTTATTAAAAAATATAGAATAAACAGACATAGATGCTCAGAGTCAATATCAAATTCCAGTAGACTCCTATTTCATGATATCCATTTCCCGAAATTAAATTATTAATAAGGGGTAGTTCAATATATCAGACATTACAGGCTTGTTATAGTTTATGGGTCAAGCCTGATGTCTAATAGTAATTGCTCATAAATGCGTAGCATCATAAAAAATTCAAAAATGTCTATTGTTAAGCCTTTCAAGCTTTATTCAAAAGCTTATCTTCTTTTCTTTCAATTTCATGCTCAATCATTAACAAAAAATCTCAAACAATGTACTTATCAATTTAAAATCAAATATAAACATCAATCTATTTTTGTCTATTGGCCATACTGGTTATGTAAAGCGCTTTACAGATTGATTCCAAATTAAAGGGCTTTACAGATTGATTCCAAATTTTTGAACGGTGCATGGGCAATTATTTCGTTCAAAAATATTCCATTAGAAACTTCCGACTCATAAGCGCTTGCATTTGAATTAGCCAATCAGATTTCGTGCACTGTATGGCAGCCATTTGTTTATCGGCTGTATAAAGAATTAAATGAGAGGATTTAATTAGGATTTTTTGGATGTGACACTTTAATTATTTTGTTCAAAAGTATTTATTTTTTAGTTTTGTTCATAATAGGTCAAAATTATTGTTAATATACGCTGTCTAATTTTTTTTGTTCAGCCAGAATTTCTTGCGGAATGAGGTATGGGTTTTTGAGCAAATTCGGTATGACGTTGCTTTGCCCAGAAGCAAAAATATTCATAACGATGTCATATCTATAGGACTATATACCAGTTAAGTCAAAGGTCCGCGGGCCCGGGCTTTAGCTTGCCCAGCTATAGACTACACATGTATATTTCAAAGAAAATTAAATAAAAAACAATTAAAGAATATAGAATTCTATACCTATCAATGAAATTTTCAGTGTCAATTCTAGTTTGGTGCTGCCATTTTCAATGTAACTCAATGATAATTGGCGGGGTATTCCGATAATAAAAAGTTGCAACTTTTCGGATCAAAAGGAATGGTTGAGTATTCCAAGTGAAAACGGAAGCGGTGCATGAAATACTCCAAATGACACCTTTGAAAAATTAACGATTGTTTTAACCAACTTCCCCGTTCATAGGCTTTTCCTAATTTCACACTACTGAAATTTGATTTAAAGTGGTTATGTTTTCCAATCGTAGGTTTAAATAGATATCATATTAAACATGAAATGACCATTTTATTCAAACAAAAATAGTGTGTAGAAGTGTTGAGTGAATTATTTGCCTACAAGTGAGCAGACATATAAAACTTTTGCAGTTGGTGGGTTTAGTAAATTATACATAGCGTTTTATATATATGTATAATAGCAAGCTTGAAGGGCTGGCCCAAAGGGCCTGCTCACAAAGCAAGCTTTACAGTAACGCGAGTACCTGCTAGATAGCAGGGTTCTCACTAGGACTTTAAAAGATGGAGTCCATGGACTCCCAACCCTGAAAAAGTTGGAGTCCAAAAGCGCGTCGCAATTAATATGTTTATAGATTAGTCATTCAATGCTCACAATAGCATTGCTGATATTTTGAATCTTCAAGAGACTTTCAAAGTTTATAGTTATTCAAAAAAAACTCTGAACTACATAGTATAATTATTGTTTTGTTGTTAATATTTATTATGAAATTATTTCATTATAATGCATCAACACATGGAAATCATTTTTTTTTCCACATTTATACCAAATCAAATTTTATTCTGGTTAAATAAGTCCACTTTAAAGACAAAAAGTTTATAATTTGTAAAAAAAACGTAAATTTATATAGGCAGCGTTTAACGGAATGATTAGGAAAATCCTGTACAGCTTCACACAGTGTGTAAGAGATTCATCCGATCGACAATTATTTTAGCAAATATCTTCAAAAGGGGGCAAATTGAAGATCGATATTTAAAAATTTAATGTTGATTAAATAATAAAGGAACAATTCATTCACATGTTTGGATTGGAAACTATGAATTTTTGGAAAATTTTAGAATTTCTGGCGAACGTGAAATCGCCGATGTTCGGGATCAATTTTCGGATAGAATCTAAATATCAAAGAAAAGCGTATGTGTATTTTGGTTTGTTGTCTTGGCATTTCGGCACAATATCTTAAATTCTTAATACCGAATACTCTTAAAGAACGTTTTTGCAAGAATGAAACTAAAGCAAAATTGTGCCTAGAAGCATACCGAAAATATTCGACAATCATTCAAAATTACACTCATTTGTAATTTGAGAAAACAGTCTTTAAACTTGCAGCGTAAATAGTCGATAATTTTATCCTTTTGTCGGTAAAATTTGCTAATTTCCAATCAACTGTTGATCAAAGATATAAAATTATCACCTTGTGTTATATCTGGTAATTACATGTACAGCGCATGTATACATTAGTCTGATCACTATTGCGTGATAATGATCGGAAGCGTTATCGCTGATTGGCTAATCGCTTCACGGGTCGATGTGCATAGGACCGCCTACCTATAGACTGACACGCGCTGACATTTTGTGTATTTGTGGTTGTAAACAATCGGTAATGTTTATGCGTCCCCAGGCAAAATTAAGCGTACGTGGAATCCTTGCTCTGAAATATTTGCGTCCAGCTGTAATAAACGTGCGTACCAGGACGCCGAAATAAGCGTCCCCGAGAACCCTGGATGAGATGGTTTTGAAAACTTTCGTCAGAAGCACTAAACTGACACATCGCAACTTTAGCGAAATATAAGATAACAATAAATGCCAAAGAATTCTGATTGAAAATGGATGCGTAGACTGGTGTCCTGCACACTTTCATAGGAACTATAATAGGAAAGGGAACCAGAATAAAATGGAAGCGGTGAATAAAATACTGAATGACAGTTTTAAAACGGAAAATGTAAAATAAAACTGAACAATTATTTTAAACTATTTCATGGTAAAAGTAAATCGAGCTCGCTTTAAGGCTTTGCCTTTTTCATATTAAATTCTCCAAGAGAGCTCGCTTTGAGACTTTGCCATTTTTCATGTAAAGGTATTTCAGCAGTTCAGTTCGGTCTCACTAAAAAGCGTCCCGAAGAAATTTAGCGTCCCGAAGCGTCCTGAAGCGTCCCGAAGCATTATTGTTAATTTAAACAGCCAGAAGGGTTATATTTATTGTAAATGAGCTATATTATTATGTCCTGAGGTATTTATGGTAGAAAAAAATAATCTTAATTAACTTTTTTTCTATTTATATAAAAAAAACCTAACATACCTTTGACTCCAGTTCACTTGCTCAAAAACCACCGTATACCGACAAAGCGTCCGGAAGGTTTAACGTTTATCTAGACCAAAATTATTTTGAAATACTTCGTAATTTTAGTTAATGAAATAGTTATGTAAGTAAAAATAATAAGAAAAATGTTTTCCATACATAAAATTATCTTTATAGCGCCAGAAATCGTACGTCTATCCATGCATAGTTCAAGTCGCGTACTGACTAACATAGCATCCCGAAACGTATTCATGGTTTTTATTTTTATCTAAGCAAAATATAAATCGTAATTTAGTTCTTTTACGATATGTGTAAAGTGACATAAAGAAAGAATAAACATTTCATCCACAAATATTATTATACAGCGCGAAAACTGACGTTTCCGATGTTGTGCTAACAAAGCGTCCCGAAGAAATTTAGCGTCCGAAAGCGTCCCGAGGCCAATTTGTAATTTAAACAATCAAAAAGGTTATATTTATTCTAAATGATGTATATTATTATGTATTAAGGTATTTATGGTAGAAAAAATAATCTTACTTATCATTTTTTCTATTTATATAAAAAAACTAACATACCTTCGACTCCAGTTCACCTGCTCAAAAACCACCGTATACCGACAAAGCGTCCGGAAGGTTTAATGTTTATCTTAACCAAAATTATTTTGAAATACTTCGTAATTTTAGTTAATGAAATAGTAATGTAAGTAACAATAGCGAGAAAAATGTTTTCCATACATAAAATTATCTTTATAGCGCCCGAAATCGTACGTCTATCCACGCATGTTTCAAGTTGCCAGGGCTCCAGATAAGATGTTTATACGCGTAAATTACGCATGGAAATAACACATTTACGCATTCAAAACAAAATTTGAGCGTATGAAAACGCACACAAAATTCAGGTTACGCATTGAGCAACATTTCTTTCGCGTAAACGTAACCGAAAGTAAACTCGGTGATTATTCCCTGCGGTCCGGAGACCGCAGGGTATTGGTACGAGTTTTACTTTTGAGGCATGGAGGAGCACGTGACCAGTTTTCGGTACATGGAGGAGCATGTGATCTGTAAACCGTACACGATTGGTTAATTGACCTTTTCGATAACCTGGCTAAATACCGTTTGTCGTTACTTTACGGAATTACCTCTAAGGAATTAGTCAGAATTAAACCTAATTAAGAACAAAAACCTATTACGTGATATTTCTAATTTTCTATAATTATTTTACCGTTTAAGGTGGAAAAACTTGAATGATTTATTTGAAAATTATCATTGTTTCTTTAATATATGTATCTCAAATTTTACAAACAATAAAATATTCGTAGTGGCATCTGCCATAATAGATAGAATTATTTTCTGCGTAAACTTGTGTGTTTACTTTATTTTTTTTTTTTTTTTTTTTGCTTTTAATTATTCATAATATGGTAGGCCTATTTAATCATTTTCTTAAAAAGAAATAATTGTTTTATGTTCGACCTTCTCCGGTCATCAACGGTCACCAGTTTCGAAAGACCTTCTTCTATGTTGATCGATTATTGTCAACTATATTCCTGATATAAACGTTTATTTATTCCCCTCTGCCAAAACGGTGTTGAAAATAGTTAAATGGAATATCTTTATATCATGAAAAATGTTCCCCGCAGGAAACCATTTTACTTGTCTTATTTTTAATTTCGTCTGAACGCTTTGCAAGCGTCTACCGGTAACTTCCTGTTGTTCCGACCATCATCGGTTGTTATCGTATGTATAGTATGGTGGTGGAATTAACTTCGTATGAATGCTTTGCAACGTCTTACGGTAACTTCGGGAGTAGTTCCGACTATCATCGGATGTTATAGTATCGTATCGTAAGGTGGTGGAATTAACGCAATTTCATAAACATCTGGTACAATGTCGCTGTCAAAACGATTGACTCGTATTTTCAGCCGAAAAAAATCGGCGAAGGTTATAAATAATGAAATAATTAGCGCTGCCACGTATGAGCAACAGAAACATGCCTCAGGTTCAGATAAAACGTGCCGTTTGGAAATGCAAGATTATAAACCAAGGGAGTCCAAAAAGCAAAAGAAATAACTTTGACATATCTTGTATTACAAGTATGATAATGCAATAAAAATGGAAGCATAATAAATGTTTTACTCTTTTACATACATTTTAAGGAGTAAAAATGCTCCTGCCAAATTTCAGATTTCAAGTTTTACTCATTCACAAAAAAATCAATGAGTAAATACTCATTGCCCTAAATAATTATCTGGAGCCCTGAGTTGCTAACTGACTAACATAGCGTTTTACCACCTGAGCTATCACGATGTTAGAATTAAACTATATGAGCCGCGTCACGACAAAACCAACGTAATGCGTTTGCGACCAGCATGGATCCAGACCAGCCTGGGGCATGGATCCAGACCAGCCTGGGCATCCGCGCAGTCTGATCAGGATCCATGCTGTTCGCTTACAAACCCTATAACAAGTAGAGAATCTGATAGCGCACAGCATGTATGTGGATGCGTAGGCTGGTCTGGATCCATGCTGGTCGCAAACCCATTAAGTTGGCTTTGTCATGGCGCGGCTCATATATAGTTGTTGACACTTTCGTTTTCGGATAATATGCAGAATTACCCTTTTAATGGACTTTCCCATGTAACGTTAGTCTCATCAATGTACATACATACAACAATATACATAGAACACATATAACATGATTTAAAAAGTACATTGCCACTCATATATTGAGTTATAAGAGACTTTAGTAATAGTAACAATTCAGCGGGACGCGAAATTTCTACGGGGCGCTTTGTTAGCGCGACATCGGAACGTCAGTTTTCGTGCTGTATAATACTATTTTGTGGATGAAAAGTTTATTTCCTTCTTTATGTCACTTACACAAATCATAAAAGAACTTTATTAAGATTTATCTTTGCTTAGATAGATATAAAAACCATGAAGACGTTCGGGACGCTATTGTCATTTCGGGACGCTAAATTTCCTCGGCGCAACATGGGAAACGTCAGTTTTCGTGCTGTATAATAATAATATTTTGTGGATGAAAAGTTTATTTCCTTCTTTATGTCACTTACACAAATCATAAAAGAACTTTATTAAGATTTATCTTTTCTTAGATAGATATAAAAACCATGAAGACGTTCGGGACGCTATGTCAGTCGGATAGCGACTTGAAATATGCGTGGATAGACGTAAGGTTTCGGGCGTTATAAAGATAATTTTATGTATGGAAAACATTTTTCTCGCTATTGTTACTCACATAACTATTTCATTAAATAAAACTGCAGAGTATTTCAAAATAATTTTGATTTAGATAATTATTTACCCTTGTGGACGCTTTGTCGGTATACGATGGTTTTTGAGCAAGTGAACTGGAGTCGAAGGTATGTTAGTTTTTTTTTCATAAAAATAGAAAAAAATGTTAATAAAGATTATTTTTTCTACCATAAATACCTCAATACATAATAATATACATTATTTACAATAAATATAACCCTTCTGACTGTTTAAATTAAAATTAATGCTTCGGGACGCTTCATGACATTTCGGGACGCTAAATTTCTTCGGGACGCTTTGTTAGCACAACATCGGAAACGTCAGTTTTCGCGCTGTATAATAATATTTTGTGGATGAAATGTTTATTTCTTTCTTTATGTCACTTACACATATCGTAAAAGAACTTAATTACGATTTATCTTTGCTTAGATAAAAATGAATACGTTTCGGGACGCTATGTTAGTCAGTACGCGACTTGAACTATGCATGGATAGACGTACGATTTCTGGCGCTATAAAGATAATTTTATGTGTGGAAAACATTTTTCTTATTATTTTTACTTACATAACTATTTCATTAACTAAAATTACGAAGTATTTCAAAATAATTTTGGTTTAGATAAACATTAAACCTTCCGGACGCTTTGTCGGTATACGGTGGTTTTTGAGCAAGTGAACTGGAGTCAAAGGTATGTTAGGTTTTTTTATATAAATAGAAAAAATGTTAATTAAGATTATTTTTTTCTACCATAAATACCTCAGGACATAATAATATAGCTCATTTACAATAAATATAACCCTTCTGGCTGTTTAAATTAACAATAATGCTTCGGGACGCTTCAGGACGCTTCGGGACGCTAAATTTCTTCGGGACGCTTTTTAGTGAGACCCGTTCAGTTCATGCATAATTTTCAATGAAATTTTCATTTTTTTAAATGATAAACGATTAGAAATTAATTAAACAAAATGAACTTACTTAAAACAATCGGACAATTTCAACAAAATATCCTAAATGGGTTGTTGACACTTCTGCTTTTATCGTTTTCTCATGACATACTGATAAAGCATAAACACACATTAAAATATTTCAAGTTTTGTTGATCGCCGCCATCTTAATTTACATTGGCAATACCCAGAATTCCATCTGTCCCGACAGGTGCACGAGAAAAATGAAGTTTCGTCCTCAAAATAGTTCGACCCTGTAAATTATGGCTCAACACCACTAAAAGATAGTAAAACTAAATTGCTGCAAATTCAGATAAAAATGAACTCTATTGTATACATGAAATAGTGGTGTATATGACGTGGGATCCTATATGGCAATTTCATTATAAATACTTTATGATAACCTCCAGAAATTTAAAAACAACTTACTCACACAAAAGAGTTTATGATCATTTTCAAATAATCACTAGTGTTTCACATAAAATATCTTGAATTTATCCATGGTTATCATCAATATACCTGTAAATTAAATTTATTTGAACAATGTTGTTTTCTTCAAAGAGGTGTGAAATAAATATGCACATGTTTTGATTTCAAACAGATTTATAAAAATACGGATTCCTTGTAACATGGACCCTTTTAAGGTCACGATATATATAAAAACAAAGAGTACATAATGTACATTATCTCTACATCTACATAATACTGCTTCAAAATCGTTAGCGATTACACTAAGCAGGTGAGTTGTCTGGGAATAGAGCTCTGTTAAAGCAAAAGTGTTAAGCGCAAATTTACAGGTATTATAAAAGCAAGTTTAGAAGACTGCGCTAGACTAAGATAAAAATAAACATAACTGACTTAAAACTGATATTAAGGATGCAGCTGATCAGTAAAGATATTTAAACTGGGACCAGCTTGTAAGGTTGCAATTTTATTTCAATTTAAAACTTGGGACATTTTTTTTTGTTGCTTCATGCAATGGTATAAAATTCTAGCAAGATAAGAGTGACAAAACTGAAGCATATTAATAATCTAGTTTCATGTTTATTGTATAAATATGCCATGTATTTCTATCTTTTAATAACATTTTAAAGATCAATTTTCAAACATCAAAGAATATGTAAAATATGTACTGCAAATATTTGTGCATATTATATGTAATCATTAAAATATATGCATTCATTTTTTATTGTAAAATTTCACTTTTAAAAACTTTATAAAAAAATAGATTTTTTATTACGTCCTTTTATTTACATGAAATGTTAAATTCGGTAATAACTTTATAAATAATGCTTTTTGGAACCTACAATATTGATGTATCTTAATTTAATCATCATATTTATGATTTAAAACCATACAAAAGTTGTGTTAAAGGATCTTTAAACCACTGTGTATGTAAAAAGCCTTTACAAAGAGATTTATAAAATCAAATTCATTTTCTTTTAGGAAAAAAAATTAGAAAAATGTAATACCTTGTCAAAGTCTTATTTACAAAACAGACTAATCTGATTAGATTTAATATCAATTACCAAGTTAAAATGACTTGTTTCTTTTGATAATCAACCATAACACTTTATTTCTAAAAATAAACCAAAGCATGAATTTAATCTAAATTATTATTTCTTTAAACTTTAATCATTTCAAGTATTTGTATGTTTTCCTTGATCAAATAATTGATAGCCAAATCGTCTGTAAGGCGAATCATGACCAATTCACTGTTTAGAAGTTACATTTACACAGCTCTCACTTTACTTTTTATTGTTCCTTTAAATATATATAAAAAAATCTATATCAAAATATTTCATTCAAAACAAGCAAAAAACAATGAGTGATAGGAGAGAAATATTTAGTTGTGTTCAACTTAAGAACAACAACAACAACAAAATTATTTACTTCCGGTTATAAACAAGAATAATATTTATGCAATTATGGCTTCAGATCAGCATTTACATCTGCTTGATTTACCAGAAGAGATCATTGAAACCATTGTTTCCTATTTAACTTACCATGAATGCAGTGAAACTAGAATCGTATGTTTTTTTTCTCTCATTTAATTTTATGAATGAAGTTATTTCGGATGTTATTGTTTTTCGGATAAGTTTCAAGTAAGCCAAGGCTAGACAGTCTATTTAAAATACCTGAGAAATTTTCCAGAAGGTGGTACCAGTAGACTGAAACTTAATAAGACTTTTACAAATTAAGAGCAAATTGAATTTTACCAGACCTAGTTTATATACGGGAAGATACCTTTCTTGCCTTTGCCTTTGGATAACATGAATTGACATGATATTGATAATCTGATGATGGGGCTGCTGATTGCGATAACAAAGGAATAGTTGATATTGTAATCTGTATATGTCACTCTTATAGACAGGTTATTGATATTTATATTGCAGACATCCAATCAAGAACTGTTATTTAATATGAAATTAGGCAAAGCCTATGCACGGGGAAGTCGTTAAAAATTCCTTTCATTCTTTCCGTTTTAAAGGTGTCATTCGGTATTACATGCACCGCTTCCGTTTTCACTCGGAACACTTGACGGTAATTACTTATCCGAAAAGTTGAGATTTGTTCCGTTATCGGAATACCCCGCCTATTATCATTGAGTTACATTGTAAATGGCGGCGCCTGACTAGAACTGACACTGAAAATTTCATTGTCAGATAGGTATAGAATTCTATATATTTTTTTAATTGTTTTTTATTTGATTTTCTTTTAAATATACATGTGAAGTCTATAGCCGGGCAAGCCAAAGCCTGGACCCGCTTCGCGGGCCCGGTCTTTGACTTCCCCGTATTACTTATTTCTAAATTTCTAAAATTCAGCAATAATAGCTAATACTAAATTATTTCACCTGCTAATTATAATAATTTAGACAGAGGTATCAGAAAATAACAACAGGGCTTAATAAATCAGGATGAGTCTACTTTCCAGTGGAGCTAGTCCTCCAAGAGGAGTGCAAATTTTAGCCAAAAATGATTTTAATAGTAACACAGGGTATGAATAAAATACGCAGGGCTTGAGCTAGGGGGCGACTAGGGCAAAGAAGCTGCCTTCCAATGAATGACTTTGCCTAAAACAAACTTCAAAGCGATTTTGAAGTTGTCCAATTTTTTTATGAGCTGTCATACCTATTTACGAGGCTATGTCTGTTTTTTTTATTTGTTAACTTCTCAATTACAACCAATTACCGTTAATCCACTTGTTTAGAGCGCCTGTCAACATCAACAAAGTCTTATACACGCCGTAAGGCAAAAGTTCACTATGTATAGGTTATGTATAACTTTCTGACATTACATATTCATGCGATAAACGAATCAGAACATGCATTGTATCTACAGCAGTTAGCATTGACCAATCAGCGACACACGTGTTATGTGTATTAATTGACAATAATACAAATGGCGACTGACACAATCAGATTTCGCTGATAACGTGATTAAAGACACCGGCATATACGCAACTGTTGCTAATTGTTGTGGTGTTTTGGCAAGTAAATGTAAGACAATGCCCAACATCTTAAAGGTGTAAATATAAGAAAAAACTTGATCCTTAAAAACCATCAGAGCACAAATCTGTAGAAATTATGTGGCGATTTGTATATATTATTTATTAATATTTTGACTCTGTAAAGTTAACATGCTGGCATATATTATACAAAATTAAATGTCTCCTGGTCTCCAACATCCTAGTTTGTGGTCGAATGGCCCAAATCTTCATCCAACGAAAAATTACATCACTACATGTCTATATGTAAACAGTGTGTTTTTTATTGGTATACATTTAAGAAAAGTAGATTTATAAAAGAATTGTTTTATTTGAGAGGTGTTTCTTAATTCTTTTATGGTTTATAAAGTCTCCTAGTGTATAATTCAAAAAAAAATGTCACGAAAAATGTCTCCAGATGAAGCCAAACATGTCTCCCAACTTTTCCCTGAAGCTTCTCACTTCTCCTAAGAGATGTCACTTCTCCCTAAAATTTTGACCCAGCTCAAGCCCTGATACGCAAAAGAGATTTTTTGGTGCAACATAATTTTTTTTACATAACATAATTATGCATTTTTATGACAATAATTAAGATTTGAGTAATAAAACAGGTTAACTGTGTTAAAATGTAACTTTGTTTTAAAATGTAAAATAGTTGCAATAGGTTGTTTTGAGGAGTCTATGCTGGCAAAAAACAAAATGGCTGTGAAATGAACATATTCTTGGCGCAACATAGATATTTTTCTATAAAGGGAACAATGTATGGTTATAATTAACAATTATTAAAGTAAAACAAATGATATAAATAATTATATAATATATTAAATGAAATATCAACATAAAATTTTGTTGTAAATTTCAATAGGAATTTTTTTTATGCCCCTGGGCATATAGTAATTGAACCGTCCATCCGTCCGTCTGTCCGTACGAGGTTAACCTAGAACGGCAAGTTGGATTTTTCTTAAGTTCTACCTGTACCAATGGCTTCTTTGTTTTAACACTTACTAATCAATACAAAGTACATGATCTGGTCAAGTTACATAACTATGGCTTCCATATTTACCAAGTTATTGCCCTTTTCAGCACTTAGAAAATGAATAATGATTAACCTAAAACGGCAAGTTGGAAATATCTTAAGTTCTATTTATACTAATGGCTTCTTAATTTCCACACTTACTTATCTATACAAAGTTCATGATATTGCCAAGTTATATAACTGTGTCATCCATATTTCCCAGTTATTTCCCTTTTTTCACTAATAGGGCCTTGTCTGGTTAACCTATTCCGGCAAGTTGGATTTATCGTAAATTTCTCTTTAATTGCTTAATTTATTTAATGATATCTTGCATATTTGGTAGGTGGATACCTTTAATGGTCCTCTAATTTTTTGTGGAGTAAGTGGTCTCTAGGGTCAAAGTCAAGGTCACTGGTTTAGAAAATAAATTTAAACATTTTTGCTTATACAGCCTTTATCTTTTGGTTGATGTCTTTCATGTTTAATACAAACATGCCAAGGGAGGTCCTCCTTCTTTGGGTATAGTAAGGGGTCATTTGGGTCAAGGTCAATGTCACCAATGTCAAGGTCACCAATGTTAAAAATAGATTTTTACATTTTTAGCTCGACGATACGAAGTATATGGAGAGCTGTCCTACTCGCCCCGGCGTCCGCGTCCAGATTTCAGATTAAAGTTTTGGTGCAGTAAAATATTTTTCACTATAACTTTGTCATTTCATAAGGTATCAACTTCAAACTTCAAATATATGTTCCTTATCATCAACCACATCTTATGTGACAAGGTTCATAACTCTAGCACCAATATTTTAAGATTTATTTTCCCTTGAACTTAGAATTTTCCTTAAAAAATACTATTTTTTTACTGTTACTTCTTTATTTCTTAAGGAATCAACATCATACTTCAAATATATGTACCTTATCATCATCCCCATCTTATGTGACAAGGTTCATAACTCTAGCACCAATATTTTCAGATTTATCTCCCCTTGAACTTAGAATTTTCCTTAAAAAATACTACTTTTTACTGTTACTTCTTTATTTCTTAAGGGATCAACCTCATACTTCAAATATATGTACCTTATCATCATCCCCATTTTATGTGACAAGGTTCATAACTCTTGAAGCAATTTTTAGCTCGACTTTTTTTTTTTTTGAAAAAAAAGTAGAGGTATTGTTATAGTCAGGTCGGCGTTGCCGTTGCCGTCTCCGTTGCCGTTGCCGTTGCCGTTGCCGTCCGAAAACTTGTACCTGGATCATAACTTTTTTATTTCTTGGTGTATTGTCTTCATACTTGGCCACAACAACCCTTGGGACAAGACCTTTCAGTAGACCACACTAACCTTGACCTTCATCCATAAATGACCTTGACCTTCAAGGTTAAAAGTCCAATTTTTGCTTGTTCATGCTGTTATTGGCTGTTACTTTGTTATTTTTGAATGGATTGTCTTCAAACTTGAACATAATAATCTTTAAGGATATCCCTTGAAAATTACCAGTCAGACCTTGACATTCACTCATCAATGACCTTGACTTTGAAGGTCAAATTATTGAAATTTTCATTTTTTTGGCTATTATTGGCTGTAACTTTGTTATTTTTGAATGGATTGTCTTCAAACTTGAACATAATAATCTTCAAAGATAACTGTTTAAAATATACCGAAAGACCTTGACCTTCACTCATTAATGACATTGCCTTTGAAGGTCAAATTATTGAAATTTTCATTGTTTTGGCAGTAACTGACTGTAACTTTGCTATTTTTGAAGGGATAAACTTCATATTATAACAGAACATTCTTTAGGACCAGACCTTGTTGTTTATCAAACCCAAATTTGCTTGGGCTCTTTAATGACCTTGACCTTGAAGGTAATATTACTGAATTTTCTCAGATTGTGCATTTATCGGTGTGTGTGTATGTATAGTATATGTATTATATATAAATATATATATAAATGTGTGTGTGTATATATATACATATATGCAGGTATATATATATATATATATATATATATATATATATACATATATAGATATATATATATATATATCAAATATATATATATATCAAATATATATATATATATATATATATATATATATATATATATATATATACATGTATATAATTGCGTCATGTTTTTCTATTTTTTGAAATTGCGTCATTTTTTTTTCTATTTTTAGAAATTGCGTCATTTTTTCTATTTTTAGAAATTGCGTCATGTTTTTTATTTTTAGAAATTGCGTCATTTTTTTCTATTTTTAGAAATTGCTTCATTTTTTTTCTATTTTTAGAAATTGCGTCATGTTTTTCTTTTTCTGTAAATTGCGTCATTTTTTCTATTTTTAGAAATTGCGTCATGTTTTTCTATTTTTAGGAATTGCGTCATTGTTGCTATTTTTTAGAATTTGCGTCATTTTTTTCCTATTTTTAGAAATTGCGTCATTTTTCTATTTTTAGAAATTGCGTCATTGTTGCTATTTTTAGAAATTGCGTCATTTTTTTTCTATTTTTAGAAATTGCGTCATTTTTTCTATTTTTAGAAATTGCGTCATTGTTGCTATTTTTAGTTATTGCGTCATTTTTTTCTATTTTTAGAAATTGCGTCATTTTTTTCTATTTTTAGAAATTGCGTCATTGTTGCTATTTTTAGTAATTGCGTCATTTTTTTCCTATTTTTAGAAATTGCGTCATTGTTTCTATTTTTAGAAATTGCGTCATTTTTTTTCTCTATTTTTAGAAATTGCGTCATTGTTTCTATTTTTAGAAATTGCGTCATTTTTTTCTATTTTTAGAAATTGCGTCATTTTTTCTATTTTTAGAAATTGCGTCATTGTTGCTATTTTTAGAAATTGCGTCATTGTTGCTATTTTTAGAAATTGCGTACTGTTGCTATTTTTAGAAATATGCTTAATGTTTCTATTCATATATATACAAAATATATAAACAAAACTAATGTGACAAGACAGACCAACTAAATTTATAAAAAGGAAACATCAATATATGTTCAAACCTTTCTATGTTTGCGTTTAGAAAAAGTAAAAAGTCGAGCGTTGCCCCCGCCCGGCGGTGGCTCTTGTTACAGATTTATCTCCCCTTGAACTTAGAATTTTCCTTAAAAATATTATTTTTTACTTATGTAATAAGGGTCATAACATAGCACCAATATTGCAAGAATTATCTCCCCATAAACTTAGATTTTTTTTACTAGAAAAATGTTATTTTTTACTATAACTTTTTTAGTTTTAAAGGTATCTACCTCAAACTTCAAATACTTATTCCTTATCATCAATTACATTTTATGTGACAATGTTCATAACTTTTGAAGCAATTTTTACAGATTTATCTCTCTTTGAACTTAGGATTTTCTTTAAGAAATATTATAACTTCTTTACTTTTTAAGGTATCTACTTCAAATATATATTTCTTATCATTACACACATGTTGTGTGACAAGGTTCATAACTCTATCGTGACTATTTCTAGAATTATTTCCCTTGATCTTGGAATTTATGGTAACAAATGTTATTTTTTTACTATAACTTGATACATAATTATACATAATTGATTTTTCTTTCATAGTTTTGTCTTCCTTACTGCGTCCAGTATTTTATTAGTCAAGCTTGGCGGTCTCCTGTGACAGCTCTTGTTACAGATGTATTAACCATATTCTGTAGACAGATGTCATTTATAATTGATAGGAAAATAAAATTTGATGGAGTTAGTGGTCAGTTGGGTCAAGGTCACCAGTGCTAAAAATAGATTTTTACACTTTTGCTCATACAGCCTTTATTTATTGACAGATATATTTCATATTTGGTAGGAAGATAACTTGCATGGTATTCCTTCTTTTGATTGGGGTAGGGATCAGTGGGTCAAGGTCACTTGTGCTTAAAATAGATTTTTACACTTTTGCACATACAGGCTTGGTGTATTTCATATTTGATAGGAAGATAACTTGCATGGTATTCTTCCTTTTGATTGAGTTAGGGATCGGTGTGTCAAGGTCACTAGTGCTAAACATAGATTTTTACACTTTTGCCCATACAGCCTTTATTTATTGACAGATATATTTCATATGTGGTAGGAAGATAACCTGCATGTTATTCCTACTTTGAATGGATTTAGGGGTCAGTTGGGTCAAGGTCACAAGTGCTAAAAATAGATTTTTACATTTTTGCCCATACAGCCTTTAAATATTGCTACTGACAAGAATCGGAGCCGGGGGCATTTGTGTCAAACAAACATGTTCTTGTTATTTTAATGTTTTGGAATATATACATACCTTTTTAATGGACATATTCTCAGCATAACGAAGACATTTTTGTATAAAGGGCACAATTAATGATGTTTATACAAAATTTATTCTATATATTGAATAAAGTATCATAATGAAAGTTTGTTCTAAATTTAATAGGAATATTTTTAATTTTAATGTTCTGAAGGTTTAAAGCTGCACGCCTCCAGATGAGCCAAAATATTTCAAGAAATTCCAACTTTAGAAAAATGTATTAAGATCTAAAGAAAAGTAAAAAGATTCAATACTTAATTAATTATTTACATGATATGTGCGATTAATGACTGATTTTGCAGTATAAATCAATATAATTCTATAGCGTTACTAACGCAGTAAGAGGTATTTATGTATATTTTGACCTCTTTTTGGTAATCTAAGTGGATTGTAAGTGCCGTTTGCAATAAGCAAATTACTTTCTCTATTCACTTCACAATATTTTTCTTTTAAATTCATTTTCAAAATTTTCATGAAAATTAGCATGAATCTGGAGGCATGCTGCTTTAAATATGCCGTTAAAATGACATCTGCGCAATGGAGATATTTTTGGTGCAACAAAGATTTTTTGTATAAAGAGTAATGTTTGATTATTAATTGAAATTCTCAAAGTAAAATTTATTCTTTATATTAAATATACTATCATAATAACAATTTGTTTTAAATTTTAAAAGGTACAATTTTAAGTTTTGGATGGTTATAATTATATGCCGTCAAAATGGACATATTCTCGGCACAACAGAGATATTTTTAGGTGCAACAGAGATTTCTTTTGTATATAATTTTTTTTATTATTGTATCACAGGTTGAGGAAAATGTGCAGCCTGACTGTGACTTAAACCTGCAACCCAGAAAATACCATACTATGTCTCTGGCAACTGAGCTACATTGTATCTGGCAGCGTACACATTTTCACACCTAATTAGTGAACAGTTCTATACTTACCCCCACTAAATTGTTTGACTCAATTGAGATAGCTGTATGCAATTATTCTACATGTATTATTATTTACCATTTATATTGCAGGTATGTAAACTGTTTAACAAACTATGTCAACAAAGGTTGAACAAAGGGTTTGCAAAAATTGATAAATTACATGCCCAGATACAAAAGGAAGTGAAGAACAAGTTGCCACGACGTGAATCTGAGCGACGGAACCACCAGCTTGCTAGGCATGTAGATATTTTATCAGCCATTGAAACTCGTCTCTCTTTGCTTGGGATGTCATATATGAAGTACATGGACTCTGGATTATCTTGTTTTATTCCTGGCAAAGTAAGTTGATTATTTTTGTAAGACGTTACAAATGTAGGTATAGATATATAATATAAAATTCTAAATCTTATTAAGTAATTAACCTGAACCATTTTGTGAGTAAGGTACAATTTTTGGAAATTATGAATTTAAAGAAAATTTAAGTTGGGAAGATGCCTTTTACAGAACTGGTCTCTTGTTGATGCCTTTCGCAAACTTGTACCTTGATCATAACTTTTTAAGTTCTTGTTGTATTGTCTTCATACCTGGCCACAACAAGGTATTTTTGTGGATTGGTCAATCCACTAATGTAAGATTTTTTGCATTACATTATTTACATTTTCACTTTAATAAGGAAGATTGAAGGACAAAAGTGATAAATATTTTGCAGGTATTAGATGAACTTCAAGCCATCTTGCACAAACTTCAGTCCAGTGACCAGCCACCCAGGTCACATGAGTTTCTGCAAGAGCTACGTGATATTTCATCTATGGCAATGGAACATTTTGATGAGAAAATTGTACCTGGATTGAAGAACAAACTTCCTGCAGTCACACTGCCTTATCCTTTCTCCGAAGCATGTAAGTATTGTAATACAATGTATAGTCTTGAAGGATGAAAAGCTGTAATTTGCGAAATATTCTGTAAGAATTTCAAAAACTGTACAGTTTTTTTTAGCTCACCTGTCACAAAGTGACAAAGTGAGCTTCTGTGATCACTTTTTGTCCGGCGTCCCTAAACTTTTACTTTAAATGACATCTTCTCATAAACCACTAAGCCAATTTCATCCAATCTTCACAGGAATGGTCCTTTGGTGGTCACCTTTGAATATTGTTCAAAGAATTTAAATCAATGCAGAACTCTGGTTGTCATGGCAACCGAAAGAAAAACTCAAAATATCTTCTTTTAAAAAACCCAAAGAGGTAGAGCTTATATATTTGGCATGAAACATTGTCTGACGAGTGTCTACCAAGTTTGTTCAAATAAAAGCCCTGGGGTCAAAATTGGTCCTGCCCCTGTGGGTCATTGATTTTCCTTAAATGTATATAGTAAAAACTTAAAAAATCTTCTTTTAAAAAACCAAAAGAGCTAGAGCTTAAATATTTGGCATGAAACATCTTCTAGTGAGGGTCTATCAAGTTTGTTCAATAAAAGCCCTAGGGTCATAATTAGCCCCACCCCGGGGTCATTGATTTTCTTTATATGTATATAGTAAAAACTTTTAAAAAACCCAAATAGTTAGAGCTTAGATATTAAGCATGAAACATATTCTGGTGAGTGTCTATCAAATTTGTCCAAATGAAAGCCCTGGGATCAAAATTGCCCCCGCCCCAGGGGTACTAATTTTCCTTATATGTCTATAGTAAAAACTTAAAAAACCTTCTTTTAAATAACACATAGAGCTAGAGCTTAGATATTAAGCATGAAATATCTTCTAGTGAGTGTCTACCAAATTTGTTCACATAAAAGCCCCAGGGTTAAATTTGCCCGGCCCTGGGGGTCTGATTTTCCTTATATGTTTATAGTAAAAACAAAAAAAATCTTCTTTTAAAAACCCCAAAGAGCTTAGATATTCATCATGAAACATCTTCTAATTGGTGTCTACCAAGTTGGTTAAAAAAAAGCCCCTTGGTTAAGATTAGCCCCGCCCCAAGGGCCTATATACAGGTGAGCGATTTCAGGGCCATCATGGCCCTCTTGTTTAGTATATTTATATCTAAAGAAAATTTATACCGAAGGTGTTTCTGTTACATAATTCACACAGAATTTTGCAAGAAAACAGATGAAATATTGTCAACAAAATATTCAGTAACTTTGCACACATGTCATCCATATAATCTGTAATTTACAAATACTATCCTTTCGGTGCACTTTGCATCATTATTTTTAAAAGTCAAATAAATGTAACTTTTGCAGGTTCATCATCATCCACATTGTTCCCATTTCAATCATCTCCTGTACGGGGACCCAGCATGAGGTCAGAAATCACTAATCTTGGTACCCAGCTTCGAGCACAGAGTACCACAATGCAACAGGTGAGGAAGGATGTGTCTGAAGTTAAAATAGGCTATACAAATAATAAAAAGAGATTGACTGATCAGGAGAAGAAAATTATACAACAAGGGCAGGTAATAAGTGAACTGGAGAAAAAAGTTAGTGATATGAATCAGAAATTCATAGACTTGTCTGCTGAGCTCCAGAAACTGAAGGAGGTTAAAGAAGGAGGAGAGAGTAGTAAGGCTATTGCACATCTCCATGAAGAAGAGTATACAGCCAGGAAAGGTAACTCTAGCAGTGAAAATAAAGAAAGAGTAACACGAAACAAGGGGTTAAAACGTAAAAATGGTGGGCACGTTGAATCAAGGGTGAAAAAATCCAAAAATTAAACGGAAATTGAGAATGCAAGAGTATAATTCATTGCCATGAGAATGATCTGAAAAGTGTGAAGCACGGAAATTTCTAAAGCAGTTTTATTTTGTCCAGATAGCAATATTTTATTTTGTTTGCAAATACAGATAGTTGTTTTAGCAATCATGTATGTTTGATTATTATTAGACATGTAAATAGGGATTTTTTTATTTGCCTTTGTGCAAAACAGTCATCTGTTAAACTATGTTGTGGTAGTGTTCTAAGAAAAAGATTTAAAAGAACATAAAATTATTTAAAAGACTCAATTTAATTTGTAAGAGGTTATATCTCACTTCTCATAACTGATATGAGTGATATTGTTTATATTTCACTGATTGAATCCAGAATTTTATTGACTATGATAGATTAGAAGTAGTATAGATCTATTCACATGATGCATGTAGAATGTTGATAAGTAGAAATGAACTGATTTCATTTTATGTACTGTGACAGTTTTGTTATTATTATAACTGTGATATTTCCATGTTATGTTCAAAACCCTTTATGTTATCAGTTTTGTTTTTGTGGTAGTACTTTTTATAATATTGTTTTTTTCTTATCATTTTAAGATTTCATATGCAGTGGCATTAATTTTAACTTTTCTTTGTTTTTTGGTCAGAAAATGGGTGTTTATAATTTTATATCAGTTTATATACATGGCGACAGAAATGACATTTATGAAAGTAATAAGTCTTTTTGGTCACTATGTCATATGCCTTATAAATACATGTAATAAACAACTCTGAAATTGCTATGGAAATATAGATGTTGCCTATTGTGCAAAAACTTGAATAGAGCCCAATACTCAGATGGCACAGTAACAGTTATAATGAGAAAGGGCATTTTTCTGAAAGATACAGTTTTGGAGTTAAGCCACCATTTTAACTAAGAATATTTGTAAAAATGGTTATGATAGAAAATTTTGACAAGTAGATTAAGTACCAAAGATATTGTATTCATTCTTAGCATACTTGCTAATGGGAACAAGACACATCTGTTGGACAAGGGACATAACTAAATGATCAGAGTTATACCTTTTTTTTGAAGGGTAAACTATCAAACTTCCGCCACTCACAATCACAAAGTTATTCATTTTATTGTGAAGTGAAGCACATTTACAGACAAGCATTAACATTGCTTAAAGCAGTTGTTTTTTGTCCGCTTTTTTGTTAAAAATAGGATCTGCATGTGTTAGTTAGTTATTTTGTACACTTGTGAATCTTTTGAATGCTAGGTGTGTTTGTAACCAACCTGTATTACTCATCTATAGAGCTAGTCCAGCCTATATAGGTGTACAGTCTGTCCTGACTATATAACGGTACTGTTGGTTGTATGGAATTAGTACTTTAAAAAATATAAATATAAGGTATTAATGAGACAATGAGATATTCTCTTACTTTACTTTAAAAAAAAATTATAAATATAAGGTATTAATGAGACAATGAGATATTCTCTTACTTTACTTTTAAAAAAAAATATATAAATATAAGGTATTAATGAGACAATGATATATTCTCTTACTTTACTTTAAAAAAAAAAATATAAATATAAGGTATTAATGAGACAATGAGATATTCTCTTACTTTACTTTTAAAAAAATATATAAATATAAGGTATTAATGAGACAATGAGATATTCTCTTACTTTACTTTTAAAAAAAAAAATAAATATAAGGTATTAATGAGACAATGAGATATTCTCTTACTTTACTTTTATAAAAAAAATATAAATATAAGGTATTAATGAGACAATGAGATATTCTCTTACTTTACTTTAAAAAAAAAATATAAATATAAGGTATTAATGAGACAATGAGATATTCTCTTACTTTACTTTTTATAAAAAAAATATAAATATAAGGTATTAATGAGACAATGAGATATTCTCTTACTTTACTTTAAAAAAAAAATATAAATATAAGGTATTAATGAGACAATGAGATATTCTCTTACTTTACTTTTATAAAAAAAATATAAATATAAGGTATTAATGAGACAATGAGATATTCTCTTACTTTACTTTAAAAAAAAAAATATAAATATAAGGTATTAATGAGACAATGAGATATTCTCTTACTTTACTTTTAAAAAAAAAAAATAAATATAAGGTATTAATGAGACAATGAGATATTCTCTTACTTTACTTTTATAAAAAAAATATAAAAATAAGGTATTAATGAGACAATGAGATATTCTCTTACTTTACTTTTAAAAAAAAATATAAATATAAGGTATTAATGAGACAATGAGATATTCTCTTACTTTACTTTTTAAAAAAAAAATATAAATATAAGGTATTAATGAGACAATGAGATATTCTCTTACTTTACTTTTTTTTTAAAAAATATAAATATTAAGAGGATATTTTTCCGTTTGAGTGAAATATGGAATATATTTCCACGAAGCATGATAAAATGCCACATATTTTCACGAGCCGGGACGGCGAGTGAAAATATGTGGCATTTTATCATGTTGAGTGAAAATATATACCATATTTCACAAAAACGAAAAAATAACCTTTTTATTTTATTTAATTTCATTATCAAAGAAAAATGGTTACGAACCCCATTGCTTGCTACGCAACTGCAATGTACAGCGCGCAGTGATATAATTATTGTCTTGTTTTGCACGCGATATTTAGCGCTACATTGTGACGTCACGTAAACTACTCTAAAAACGTCTGTACAGCGTTAATGACTGAATTAAAGATATTGGTGTTCCGATTAATTTTCTTAGTTAGACCATTTTCTATCATTCTAGATGGTTTTCAAAACGAAATTCAACAAAAAGTTGTTTGTATTTATCAGATTTTTCAAACAAAATGGCGAAAGAAGTCCCTTAAAATAAATATGAGTTTTGACTCCGCCCACTTTCATATTTATATTTCATATTAATTTTTAAAAAATATGAAATATTTTTGACTGATATAGCACCATATTTCATAGGTAAAATTAAATAAAAGGCATTAATGAGACAATGAGATATTCTCTTACTTTACTTTTAAAAAAATATATAAATATAAGGTATTAATGAGACAATGAGATATTCTCTTACTTTACTTTTATAAAAAAAATAATATAAATATAAGGTATTAATGAGACAATGAGATATTCTCTTACTTTACTTTTAAAAAAATATATAAATATAAGGTATTAATGAGACAATGAGATATTCTCTTACTTTACAATTTTTGCACAAACAGGGTTTACTTGGTTTGTAAAACAATCACTGTTCACAACAGACTCTGTTCCTTTGGCAGCTCAATTTCAGAATCTTGATATTAAAGTCCCTTGATTTATTTGGAGTACTCTTAATTTAAACCAGGGTAAGTTCACTATACAAATGTAGCAAGTTAAGGGTTACAGACGCTGATCTACAAAAAACCTGAACTATGCACAATTTGTATGAAGGCATTTAAGAGGATGATTTGTTGTATATTATGCCATATGCCTTATGTTACGGTAATTAATTTGAATTGAGTGTATATAGCGTTGTTCATTGGATAAGGCTATTTACCTTGCATAATTTCTTTAAGAAATACTGTTCTTAGAATCATTGTTTGAATGATGTAATTACTTGTCTTCATATGGATCCAATGGGTTATGACCTTAGGAGCAGTTTGTTACAAACACACTTGTAAGATGAACACACTAATATTATATATCAACATAAAAACTTTTTCACAATAAATCGACAAGAATTGTCTGTACTTGTTGTACACACCAAATACCTATCTAACACTGTATTCTGTACACTGGATGTAATATACAGATTCATAAAACTGGATTATATTTCAAATTCAGCATTGGTATATCAAAATGTTATGTTTTGCAACTGAAGGGACTGTACACTAATAATACAATAAAGCATTAGTTCAATATGAGGTAAATTGTATTAATTCGTTTATGTAATGTACAGACTATGGATATTGCATGCCAGAGAAATGCAACAACCAGAACTACTTGCTTGTATAAATTTGTTGTTTTTTTTTGCATGTAAAACATGTATTGCAGGTTAATATATATTAATGTGTATGAATTGTTAAACTGTTTATAATTTTTCCTTTGAAATAATCATGATATTAGATACTACAGTTAAGTAAGTATGCAAATCAGAAAAACAAATATTGGGGTGCTCTCGGTAATATTTATGAAAATCATTAACTGCATAAAGAATGACTTTTGATAAGAGTGAATTTATGACTATATATGAAATTAGTCTTAACTTTATGAATTATGACATTTTATGTGAAACTAGTGTTAATTTTATGAATTATGACTTTTGATATGAAAGTAGTGTTAACTTAATGAATTATGGCCAAATATGAAAGTAGAAAGTAGTGTTATCTTGATGAATTAATACTTAATATAATACTATGAATATGATAATATGAATTATGTCCTTTAATATGAAATTAGTGTTTACTTATGAATTATGACAGAAAATATGAAATAAGTGTTTACTTAACTTATGAATTAGGACTGAAAATATGAAATTAGTGTTTACTTCATGAATTATGACAAAATATAGAAACTAGCGTTAACTTCATAAATTATGACTTAATATGAAACTAGTGTTAACTTCATGAATTATGACTTGATATGAAACTAGTGTTAACTTCATGAAATATGACATATGAAAACTAGTGTTATGAATTATAAATATTGATATGAAATTATGTTAACTTCATGAATTAAGACTGAAAATATGAAATAAGTGTTAATTTTATGAATTACAACTGAAAATTTGAAATAAGTGTTAATTTTATGAATTACGACTGAAAATATGAAATTAGCATTGTTTCCATTTTTGTTATTAGTTTTAAAATTTCATCTGATAGTCATGGAATGTTTATCAATTGACAGAAAGAAAAGAAACAGTGAGCTATTTTTAGATATCTAGAAAAACAGTTCTTGTCTTGTTAGTGTATAAAATGCAGATAAAATATATTTTTTATACAAGTAAAATGGTTTCCTGCGGGGAACATTTATAATGATTTAAAGATATTTCATTTAACTATTTTCAACATTGTTTGGGGGAAAAAATAGAAAAAAATTAACGTTTATATCAGGAATATAGTTGACAATAATCGATCAATAGAAGAAGGTCTTTGTTCTTGGTCAAAAATAAAACAATATTTCTGTTCAAGAAAATGATTAAATACCATTGTATGAATAATTCCGTGCAAAATAATAATAAAATAAAGTAAACACACAAGTTTACGCAGAAAATATCTCTATCTATTATGGCAGATGCCACAAACGAATGTTTTAATTCTGTGGATTTTCACTATAAACAATTTATTGTTTGTAAAATTTCAGATACATTGATAATTTTCAAACACATCATGCCAGTTTTTTCACCTTAAACGGTAAAATAATTATAGAAAATTAGAAATATCACGTAATAGTGTTATGTTCTTAATTAGGTGTAATTCGGACCAATTCCCTAGCATTGTGTACACCGGTCATTTGAGAGACCGGTGTATATAGAGGTAAATCCGTAACGTACCGAAAACAGGTCACGTGCTCCTCCATGCCTCAAAAATTAAACGCCTACCAATACCCTGCGGGCTCCGGCCCGCAGGGAATAATAGACAAGATAATGATTAACTAATTCTTTACTAGTACATGTACATATTGTAATCCCTGAAATTAAGAATGGGTGGTCCCAAATATGCAGTGGGACAAGTCCATGAGAGGAGAAAAAAGGTGACAAGAGGTTAACGAGACTAATAACCAGACAAGAACTATTGCTTTTGCTATCTAAAAATAGCTCATTGCTTGTCTTAAAGGCTAGTAAAGTAGAAATAACTGATGTCTAGAAAAGTAAAGATAGCTCATAGCCCGTTTTAAAGGCTAGAAAAAGCTAACAGATTACACAGATGGCATGATGAATTATCGCCATCATGGATATCATTCATCATATGTACATGTTATCTAATGAGGATGATTAAAAATATACTTTAGATGAAAGACAAGTAACATGTCCTATATGTCAGTAGAATTATATCAATGCTTTGTATGTTGTTACTTTTATATTATAACAATTACATATATATGTTAATATAGTCAAAAAAGACTAAATGCTGTGAAAATAAATGGGTACAGAAAACTACAAGTTTGTTCGTTTTATTTGTTTAATTGATTTAATATATGTTTAATTAATAATTAAAAAACAACAGAAGGGAAAGCAGCTTTAATTCAGAATGATTCAGGTAAAATAATTAGAGCCAAGCCTGTCAGCCAGTATGTAACGTACCATGTGCTGCATCTTTTAAAGGATTTTTATTATGCTCCTGAGATGGGAGGGTGGGGCAGATAGTCTCTGCCTTGCCCATCTTTCCATCCATATTGGCAAACATTAAATGGTTTACAAGCTTCATTTTGTTCAAAGAAGGAAACCACAAACATTGTAGGTGTAAGTGGTAATTTTCACTGGTTTATATGCACAAAGATCAAAGAAAAGTCCATAAACCCAAATTGTTAGAATGTCCAACTGTCATCTTTCACACTCTTGTCCAGAGAAAAACTTGGAAAAGTCTTGAAGTTATTGAACCAATGAGACATAGTACAGTGTCAAATAACCATAATTGTAACATGCTAAATAATTCAATTATCTCCCTGAATGATCATTAACAATGCTTATTACAATGTATTACTTGCTTGTCCAGGGTAAAACTAGTAAACTGTATGTAAAAAACTTATTGAAACTTCCGACAGACCAAGAGGAAGTGCAATGATGTCAGCCTTAGTAAATATCACTTTAGCCAGAGCCATGACTTCAATATTTATCCGTTTACTATAGTAACCTACTATGATGAAAATAAGGTATATTTGCTATCAGTTTTTGCTTTGTCATATATATGACATGCAAAATCTTTCAGAGTTCAAGTGAATATGTGTTACATAAATGTTTTACTTGTGAACATTTTACATGAATAACCTTTGATTATAATTGTCCTACTATATTATTATAGCAAGGGGGCTGTGGTGGCCCAGCTCACTCACCTGAGATCCAATACAGAAGGTCATCATTCTTCATTACAGAGAAGGAAGTAATTACATTGTAGTTTACTTTTGGTGTGTCATTTTTGACACCAGTTGCATAATTTATAAAATACTTGTCCACCTTTGCTAGGACATTATACAGTCAAAATATCTAAGCTCCAGGCATAAAGTTTTATTTAATTAAATATTTAAATCATTTTCCTATACAAGTCTACATTAATTAAGTGACTCGAGGGGCAGGTTAATTTTGACCCATAAGGTATAGTAAATTGTAGGGGACTAAATGTGATCATACATGCCAACATTCTAAATATTTAAACTGTGGCCACAAGATCTAAATTTGGTTACCTGATCAATTTTTTTTCAAAGATAAGTGACACCCCCCCCTCAAAATTTTGACCCCAGAAGCATGCTTTATAGAGTACCAAATTGTGATACTATATGACAAATATATATAAACTCTGGGAATTGTAGTTTACAAGAGACATGTTTACTCTTTAAGGCCTAGAGACATGAATTGTATACCATTGACAGAGGGTCCACAAGACGAAGCTGCATGCCAAATATCTTAGCTCTAAGCATTGTAATGTCACACAAGAACAAATGTATTTTTTATATAAAACTAAACAAACTAAGTGACCTCAAAAGGTGTGGCTAATTTTGGCCCCAGGGGCATGCTCCATATAGCTTTAGTAGAGGAACCACAAGGTACTTTAATTATGTCTGTGCTCTTGGTAAATATTTTACTATACATGTATAAGTCTATGTAAACTAAGTGACGACGAGAACCCAGCCCTTTTTGACTTTAGGGGCATGATACTTATATAACTTGTAGAAGTCATTACAGCATTTCTACATATCAGATTCATACCATATATCTAAGCTCTAGACACAAGAAGACTTATATGCAAGACATAAATTATCACCATATTGAGCTCAAAATTAAACCTTTAAGGATATGACTGGTAACATGTTCTGGGTCTGTGTAAAAGTTACATGCTTATGGAGCCTCATAAAGCATAGACTCACACACATACATGTACTTATGAAAACATTGCCATCACAAAAGCTCATTTTTGCTCAGGTGAGCTAAAAATGAAATAAGAACATAACAAGATCATTTATGAAAACTGGTATTTATTTATTGCACGTACAATAGAACTGAATCATAATTCTGGCATTTTATCCTACACACAAATTAATACAACTGGAAACAAATGCATATATCCCTTAAAACAATCAATCTTAGTAAATAAACACTAATACACATTTTGACCACTCAATCTGAATGACTATGTTAGACATATCTTGATTATTAACAGTAAACTTGTTGTTGACAAAATCAAAATAAATCAAAACC